CCGGAAATGAGAGGGTCTGTTACCGCAACAGTAGGAGACGGCACGCCAAGGATGGACGAGAGTTGCGAAATCAGGCTAGATACTTGAGTCGCTTGAGGGTCCACAGGAAGAAGGCTTGCAGTGGGCGCTCCGGGAAGCAATGAGTCTGCCCCAGAAAGAGTCAAAGAGGCTGGCAAATCCGACCCATCTGTCTGCGTTACTCCATTGAGGACGCTGGAAACGAGCGATTGAATCGATTCAAGGGGCGAGGACGGGCTTGTCTGGATGACTCCCGTGGTGGATAGCACGCTTGATAAGAAATCTCCCAAAGAAGAAGTGTCGGTGTCGAGCGACCTGGTAGCGCCAGATGGGATACCGAGGAAACTACTGATGATATCGGTGGGCTGCAAAAACGTTGGCAAGCTCGCGGTCGAGAGCATGCTGCCAATATTCTCAGTCAATGAAGATAACAGGCTCTGTGCGCCTTGAGAAGTTGCAGGCAGCGTTGGCAGTGTGTCTTCCGCACTGCTCGCCGCGGCGCCGAGCGAGCTCGTGACAGCAGGCACGTCCAAAGAAGGCGCTGCGGTGAGCGATGGTAGATTCGTTGAACCGACCACGGTGCTCGCCGCGTCTGTTGGAAGTAATTGAGCTATGCTGGATATTGCACTTTGGACGTCGAGGGAGCCGGCACCGCTCGGCAAGGCTTGTAGTGAGCTCAGTATGCTCGAAATCACCACTGCCGGTTCTGTGGCACCCGAGGCTTTGGGCGCAACATCAGTAAGCAAGCTAGATGCCAAGCTGGTCAGAGCCGCAGTTCCAGTCGGAATTCCTCCTTCCGTCGCTGTGGGTACCGAAAGGATGTTTGTGGCATCTTGGAGACCTGTCTCCAATGGCAAGCTCATGCCATCACTTGTGAGGCTTGGGCTACTAATGACAGGTGTGGTGAACAGGTCGCTTTGGAGGCTGGACAGCAAATTTTGAGCAGATTCTAGGCCGGCTGCTGAAGACAATGATCCCAATAGACTAGAAGCTTGCGCCTGAGGTTCCGGCAATTGAGTTGCTAGAGGTAGCGAGGCAGAAGGATCTTGTAAGGCTGCACCAGCACTCGTAATCGAGCTGATTAGGCCAGAAGCAATGGTCGAGACTGGCAGCGATTCAGGTAGAAGACTTGTACTTGCGGGTAGGGCTTGCGTTGCTCCGTCCATGAGACTTGAAACGATGCGAGAGATCGAATTGATAAGGTCAGATCCGCCAAGCGTCGTGCCTTCGCTGCCACGAATACTGCTGAGAGCCGAGTCGGCGGGAAGCGAAGTTGGCAAGGTTCCTGTCACACTTGGATTATTGGCGTCTATCTGTGAGAGCAGGCTGGAAATCTCGGACTGTGCTTGAGAAACCGGAACACCGTCTCCCAGTGAAGTCGGGAACACCGTCTCTATCGATGGTACACTCGCAGTCGTTGGTGAGACTGGTGTGACTTGGGCGATGTCCGAGAAGAGCTGCGAAAGGGAGGTGAACAGAGCCGACTGATCCACTGTGCTAGGAAGATTTGCAGAGGATAACACATTTCCTGGCCCATCTGAGCCAGCCAGCGACGTGACGGCTGCGGGAAGAGATGTCGGCAGAGCGCCGATTGCGCTGGTCAAGTCGGCTCCCACACTTGTGAGAGGGTCTGTCGGCAGAACGATACCCGGTCCTGACTGAGATCCGGTCTCCACCCCAAGACTGATACTGATGCTTGCACTCAGCTCACCCGAAACGTCCGGAATTGTATCGGTCGCAGCGGATCCGGTGGGAAGCACACTCAGGGTAGCTAGGGTCGTCTGTGCAACACCGTCAGGGATGATGGACCCCGCTTGATCAAGGATCGAGGTTGGAATCGAGCCAGCAGTTGCTTCGACACTCGTGTCGACATTTGTGCCGATTATACTTGTGACCCCCAAGTCGGTGAGCAAGGTGGGGATTGGCGAGATCGGCGAGACCAGAGGTACACTCAGGCTAGTGGCGCTGGGCAGGGATGTCTGTGCAACACCGGCAGAGGTCTGCCCGAAGATCAGACTTGTGAGGCTGTCAACGACAGTCATAACCAGACTTGATGCTGAAGCTTGACTCGGCACTTCGCCAGACGGGTCCAGTGTTGGCAAGATGTCGGAGGTCGCGCCGAGCGATGAAGTTGCCACCCCAGCCAATGACGTTGGGGCAGAGGCCGCGTCTGAGATCGCACTGGAGAACGCATTGTCGCTGGGCACGATGGTGCTGGTAATGGAGTCTACTTTGCTAAGCAGCTGCGAAGTTTGTCCAACAGATGATGTTATAGCTCCGAGGCCAGAGCTCGCCGGTATCGAAAAGTCTTGAGAGAGCGTCGCGCCCAGAGACTCGCTCAGTGAAATGCTAGCACTGGGCACAATCTCGCTGAGAATACTAGACGCTGCTTGAATCAGTGAGCTCGTCGCGTCCAGTGGCAAGCTGGGCAGAGGTGGCCCTGCAGGATCAGTCGAGCCAGTAGGAATCGCTGCACCGCTTTCCGACGCTGTCAACGACAAGTCTGCTGAAATCGAAGGCACAGATGCTGTGATTATGTCGGAAACGGAGATCGAGTCCGTGGGAAAGTGTGCAGCGAAAGATAATAATCAGAGCACATATGATTAGGTGAGCTGTAATGATCCATCTGAACTCGATATTAGCGGTGCGCACCTGGAACAGCTTGGATCGAGCTGCTGAGTGAGTCAAGCAAGCTAGAGGCGACCTGCGTAGGTTGGACAATACTTGGGACAGGAGCGGACGTGAGGCTGGGACCTGTCGAAGAGTTGAACCAAGGTCAGTGGCAATGTCGAACTTCCATGGGCGGGCTGATCCGAGACCTACCTGTGATTCCACTCAGCGTGTCAATGATGCTTGACAGAAGGCCATTATCATCGGTGGGTAGGGATGCCGCCTGCGAGACTGCGCTGATGACGCTTGCCTGACCGTACAAAGGGTCGCGGGTCAAAGCCGTCAGCTGCGTCTGCATATCCAACACGCGCCGGCCGACTCACCTGCGTTGCTGACAGGTCTACACTTGAAGTAGCGGGTACGACATCGCTTGCCACGGACGAGGCGCCGAGGTCAATCGACGACATTGCATCGGTAATGGTCTGCACAACGCTCGCGATAATAGAAGAGAGGCTCGCGGTAACCGGGATGGAAGACACAACAGGTGCTGGAATGCTGGCTGAAAGGGACAAACCAGCTGAGGCCGACTCAGAATCGAGGTCTGGTAGGCTTATGGTCGCAGACAAGGAAGGGTCGATACCTGTCATTCCCAAGTCTGCGGAAGAAAGACCACCCTGGCTGCCGGGTACTGATGGTAAGATTGTGGCAAGAGAGGTTGCTTGGGGCAGACCGCCCGACTCAGACAGATCTGCTGAGAATGACACAGCAAAGCCCGAGGTCGAGGAAGGCGAAGAGAGCGTCAACGAAATGTCCACGCCAGGCGCAGAAATCTGCAGGGAAGCGTCCGGCGCGATGTTGCTTGCTGCTGGAAGGCCAGCAGTCACGCTGGTGACCCCTGGGTCTGCAACATCCGTGGTCGAGAGCGGAGCACCGATGCTGAGGGAAATGGAGCCGTCGACCGCAGTGGGAAGCGCAGCGCTTCCGCTAATCGACAGAGATGGCAGTATGCCGCCGCCGACTCCCTGCTTCAGAGTGAGGTGAGAGTCAGCCACCTAGGAAGGGACATCTCCGCGAGGCTCATGTGTGTGCACTTACCGCGTCCGACAAAGAGAGCCCCACCGAGGCCAGAGGGGAGTCGCCAGCGGTGGTCGGCGCCACCTGAGATAGAAGAGATGACGCAGACTGTAACAATGACGTTGCATCTTGAGGCGGATTCAAAGAGCCTGGTAGCGAGACCGTGCTAGCTCCAGGGAGGGCCAGACTTGGCTCGCTGCCCTGCTCAGTGGAGCCGAGACCCAGCAATGAGCTTGCTGTAGAGAGGGCTTGACTGGCTTCGGAAAGGACTGCGCTGGCAATGCTGGTGGTAAGCGGCTCATTCGCGGCCGTTCCAGGTCCGAGCTCTGATGTTGCGTCGCCCACAGCAGAGGTCAGTCCGTCGACGAGACTTGTGGGGGACGGAACATCCAACGATGCACTGAGGCCCAGTGAAGCTGAGACCGAGGAATCGACGAGGGGGACCGAAACAGCTGGTGACGGGTCCTCAAGAGTGATTGAGCCATCGCCTAAGCTTACTCCCAACGAAGCTCCCGCGGATGCGGTTGGAATAGCGTTGGTCACCGTCGACGTGATATCGCCGGCCAGTGTCGTCACCTGACTTCCACAGCCTCCGAACGGTCCAAGGGCAAGACACAAAATGCTGCTCAGAATACCTGTACTCGTGGGTTCGGCGACAGGTGCACTGGTAAGATCTGGCGTTCCTGTTGGCTGCGCTGCGGCATTCGTGTTGGAGGCCAAGCCAGCCAGAGAGGATGCAACTCCTGCAGCGGAAGCGGAAGCGCCTGACGTGGCGAAAGAGGTGAGGTCGCCGGGACTTAAGGCGGTTGACGCCGGATTAGCTATTGACAGAGAAGGAGCCAGGCTTGCTGCTGCCTGCGCCGACGCAACGCTTGCCAGAGATGCCGATAGAGCCGCTTGCGCTTCTGCGCTGAGGACGGAAGCGCTCGCTGCGGACTGAGCAGCTGCTAGTGAGGAAGCCGCGTCTGCCGCAGAGATCGCTGACGCGACGCTAGCTAGCGAAGATGATGCTGAAGCCGCCGCCACAGAGGCCTCGCTTGCAAGGGAGAGCGAAGCTTGAACGCTGGCAAGTGATTGAGAGGCAACGGCTGCATCGGATGCCAAACTAGCCGCCGCGAGCTCAGAAGCGACGCTGGCCAGCGAAATCGAGGCTTGCGAGGCAGCCACAGATGCTGCACTGGCGATGGATAACGAAGAAGCTGCGCTGGCGGCAGCACGTGATGCCGAGGCCGCAAGATCCGATGCTATACTGACGCTAGCAAGGGACGAGAGTCGACTAGATTCCGCTTGAGCTTCTGAAAGCACTGAAGCTGCCGAAAGCTCGGACGCCACGCTCTGCAGCGAAGCAAGACTTGCCAGCGAGACTCTGCTCGCTTCTGCTGAGGCCGCTGAAAGCGCTGAGGCCACGGAAGCCTCCGAAGCAATGCTTTGCACTGAGGCTAGAGACAACGACGCAGCCAGCTCTGCTGAGACACTTGCCGCCGATAAAGATGACAGACGACTGGCCTCGGCTTGCCCAGCCGACAAGACCGAGGCAACAGACGCCTGAGATGCTAGACCTGCAATAGAAGCCCTGCTTGCTTCTGCCTGTGCTGCTGATAGCACAGAGGCAGCCGATGCCTGCGATACTAAGCTCTGCACAGAAGCTAGCGACAGCGACGCTTCAGCCGCTACGCTCGCAGCCGAAATGGAACTGATGCGGCTCGCTTCTGCTTGTGCGGCTGACAACACCGACGCTACCGATGCCTGCGAAGCGATGCTCTGCACTGAGGCCAACGACAGCGATGCCGCCAAGTCCGAAGCCACGCTGGCGGCTGAAATTGATGAGATGCGACTTGCCTCCGCTGCTTGACTCGCAGCGGAAATAGCGCTGGCTATGGAGGCCTGCGATGCAATGCTTTGTGCCGCTGCTAAAGATAAAGACGCCGAAAGCTCTGCTGCTACGCTAGCCTCTGAAATGGACGAGATCCGACTGGCTTCAGCTTGACTTGCAGCCGAAAGAGCGCTTGCTACAGAAGCCTGTGAGGCGACACTTTGGACTGACGCCAGTGACAAAGATGCCGACAATTGTGAAGCCACGCTGGCTGCTGAGATGGATGAGACTCTGCTAGCCTCGGCGGCGGCGGATAGAGCAGAGGCGACAGAGGCTTGGGAAAGTACCGACGCAACCGAGGCTTGCGATGCAACGCTGGCAATCGAGGCTGACGAGATCGACGCGGCGAGCGCAGAGGCAACGCTGGCTTGAGATGCTGCAGCGACTTCCGAGGCGACGCTTGCGGCACTAGCAGCTGATATTGATGAAGCGACGCTCGCAAGAGAGGCTTGGACACTTGCTGCCGAGACTGATGAAGCCACGCTTGCAAGGGACGCTTGAGCACTGACGGAAGACAGAGAAGCAGCCACACTTGCCTCGCTGGCGACGCTTGAGAGCGAGGCGGCCTCAGAGGCTCTAGACAGCGCAGATGCAACACTTGCTTGCGAGGCGAGGCTGGCAATTGAGGCTGCAGCATTTGCGGCGGAGATTGATTGGGCCAAGCTGGCCGCGCTGATTGAAGAGGCGACTGATGCTGCTGATGCCGCTGAAAGTGAGGATGCAACCGAGGCTGCGCTGACGGATGACAACGATGAGGCAACAGAGGCTACCGATGCCTCAGAAAGTGAGGATGCCACGGAGGCTGCGCTGACGGATGACAAAGAAGAAGCAACGGAGGCTGCTGAAGCTGCTGCCGATGCAACTGATGCAGCCGAAAGCGACGAGGCTACCGAGGCTGCACTGACGGACGATAAAGATGATGCAACCGAGGCGGCCGAGGCAGCAGCTGATGCTACGGATGCGGCCGAAAGTGATGCGGCGACGGAGGCAGCGCTGACGGACGAGAGAGACGAAGCTAGCGAAGCCGCCGACGCAGCAGCTGATGCGACTGACGCAGCCGAAAGCGACGAGGCTACTGACGCTGCGCTGACCGATGAAAGGGAGGAAGCGACCGAGGCGGCTGAGGCAGCAGCCGATGCCACGGATGCGGCGGATAGAGACGAGGCAACCGAGGCGGCTGATGCTGCTGCTTGTTCTGCAGACAGAGCAGCGGCGGAAGAGGCCGAGAGAACAGAGGCGATGCTGGCTTGACTTGCGGCAGCTCTAGAGACTGAGGCGACAGACTCTGAAGAAACGCTGGCGAGAGAGGCGAGAGAAGCAATGCTAGCGGCCGATGCTTGGGCCTGTTGGGCAGAGAGCACAGAAGCAGCGGAAGCTGCTGCTTGTTGCGCTGAGAGGACTGAAGCTGAAGACGCTGAGAGTACCGATGCGACGCTGGCCTGACTCGCCGCGGCTCGAGAGACGGAGGCTACCGACTCTGATGAGACGCTCGCGAGACTGGCGAGCGATGCTACGCTGGCCAGTGATGCAGCCGACGCTTGCGCCAATTGAGCTGAGAGAACGGAGGCAGCTGAAGCTGCGGCTTGAGAGGCGGAGAGGACCGAAGCTACGCTGGCTTGACTTGCTGCGGCTCGAGAGACCGATGCGACTGATTCGGATGAAACGCTTGCGACACTAGCAAGAGAGGCAGCGCTCTCTGCCGCCTGTTGGACCGAAAGGACGGACGCTGAAGACGCCGCGGCCAACTGAGCGGAGAGAATGCTTGCGCTTGCAGCAGCTCGTGAAACCGAAGCCACAGACTCTGACGAGACGCTGGCAACACTGGCGAGGGAGGCGGCATTTGCCAGCGACGCTGCGCTTGCTGCGGCTTGTTGGACCGAGAGAACTGATGCCGAAGACGCTGCCGCTAGCTGAGCTGAGAGGATGCTTGCGCTGGCGGCTGCACGAGATACAGATGCCACAGATTCTGAGGAGATACTGGCCAAGCTCGCTGATGCAGCCGCGCTTGCTGCGGCAGCGACCGAGGCCGAGGAGACGCTTGCGATACTAGCCTGTACGGCAGCGCTGGCAGCAGCAGCAGCAGAGACGGATGAAACGCTAGCGATGCTTGCTAATGAGGCTGCACTGGCGGCAGCAGCAGCAGAGACCGATGAAACGCTTGCGATGCTTGCTAGCGAGGCTGCACTGGCAGCAGCAGCAGCAGAGACCGATGAAACGCTTGCAACACTGGCCACTGAGGCTGCGCTGGCAGCCGCAGCAGCGGAAGCTGACGAGGCACTGGCTACGCTGGCGAGCGAGGCAGCGTTTGCGACGCTCTGGACGCTCTGCACACTTGCTACGCTCGCGAGTGATGCCGCGCTGGCAGCCGCAGCAGCGGAAGCTGACGAGGCACTGGCTACGCTGGCGAGCGAGGCAGCATTCGCGACGCTCTGTACGCTCTGCACACTTGCCACGCTCGCGAGCGACGCCGCACTTGCAGCGGCGGCGGCCGAGGCAGAAGAAGCACTGGCCACGCTTGCCAGCGAGGCAGCATTCGCGACACTCTGTACGCTCTGCACACTTGCTACGCTCGCCAGTGATGCCGCGCTTGCGGCGGCATTTGCAGAGGCCGAGGAGGCACTAGCGATACTGGCGAGCGACGCGGCATTTGCGACGCTTTGAACGCTCTGTACACTAGCTACACTGGCCAGCGAGGCAGAACTTGCAGCCGCTGCCGAAGCAGCAGAAGACGCGCTCGCCGCACTCGCGAGAGATGCAGCGTTAGCTACGCTCTGGACGCTTTGAACGCTAGCAAGGGAAGCAGCGCTGGCTGCCGCAGCGGCGGCAGAAATCGAAGAAGCGCTGGCAACGCTCGCCAAAGAAGCTGCATTAGCCGCGCTCTGAACACTCTGCACGCTTGCCAAAGACGCCGCGGAAGCCGCACTGGCAGCACTGGCGGCGCTGACACTTGCCCGAGAGACGGAGGCGACCGAAGCCGAAGATACACTTGCCAGACTGGCCAGACTGGCCGCACTGGCAACTGATGCTGATGAAGCGCTGGCTATGCTGGCAAGACTGGCGGCCGATGCTGCCGAGGCCACAGAAGCAGCGCTAGCAGCCGAAGCCGCGCTCGCAGCACTAGCAGAGGATGCTGCCGCTCCGTTCGACGTTGTGGTCGCACCCCCCGATCCACATCCTCCCAATACACCTCCTAGCACATCGCAGAACACCGTGCTGGCGATACCTCCCGTTCCAGTAGAAGTCTGCTCGCGGTATGGAACGGTCAGATCAGCATGTGTTGGTTCGATCAGCAAGCCGTCGTTGGTCGTGGCTGCATCCGGTTTCCAAACAGGTTCCGCTCCATCCAAATTCATGCACTCACAGATGTGGTTTTGGGAGCTGCCACCAGCCGACGGTCGATAGTTGGAGTCGGAGCAGGACCTGCCTGTACGGCTTGTACAACCACCGCTGCCGCAAGAGCCGCGCGCACGAGATTGACCATTTCTTCGCGAGTCGAAACAGAGAACGAGCGGTCGTCAGCTCGTTGAGGGGTTGTCGCACAACACCTGGCGCCTGGTCACTCGCGCACTGATCGCGTACATACTTGAAAGTCTCGTGCTCTTTCCTACAATCTATTCCTTCACCCTCCGCGATTGACAGGCCCCTGCTCGCCCGCCCTCCTGATTGAATGGATTTCCCAGATGATCGCTGCCGCTGAGCCGTTCTCCGGCCAGGTGTCGCAAATAAGAGTTGGTGAAGATCGAGAGTTGATGAGGAAAGCAAGCAGGAGTGGGCGGAACTAAGAAGAAGAAGATGGATGAGACGAGCAAGCAAGGCAAGCAAGAAGCGCAAGAACGAGAAAAGGAAAAAGAGGGTGTGTGGCTACGGTCGGATGATGAGGTTCAGGATCGATGAGGTGCTCGAGCAAGGACACAAATCTCTACAATGAGCGCGGATGCTGATCGATCCTGTTTGCATCCGGATCTGCCGTGCTGAGCGGACGACCACTGCCAAGCGTGCCTTGACCGAAGATCTGCGCTCCTCGCATCTGACGCATTCATTCGCTCACCTGGGCCAAGCTGAGCGCCATGCGCTGCTGGGGTACATAGCGCCAGACAAAAAATCCCGAGCTTGTACGCAGAACACTTTGAGCCTGATGATCGATCCACACTAGACCGCGGTCGCCTTGCATGGCCTGGCTTCGGAAACATAGCGACGTATTGACACATGTACGTAAGCCGTTCGGGCTTTGTTGCGCAAGAAGGACTTCGAGAGGCACCTCGCGGATCGAGCCAGGATTGCTGCTCAAGATCATGCGCATTGACCATGCGGCGTTCGAGCCAGCGGCGTGGCTTTGGTCGCATGCGGAAAGAGATTGCGGATCTTGATTACGTCGGCCTTTCAAAACGCTGTGCGGTACGGTATCGGGCTGGGCGTGTGCAACGTTAGATGTCAAAGTCGGAGCACGAACATTGAATGTTGCGTGGACCACACAACCCGCCTACATCCTGCCTGGCTGATGAGATGTGAGACATGTCGTCGATTCTGTCGCGCAAGCCTAGCGGAGTCGCAGTACCTGGCCCGGGCGATTGTTGCCATTCGCCTGAACACTGGACCGCTGAGGAAGACGCGCTTTGGTACCGACCGTTGCTGACCCACAGCCGGTACTGTACTGCTACTACTGCAAGCTGCTCTGCCGTTCTGTGCGAGTCTTCCCATCTATAGGTACAGCATGGCTTCCCACATTCACGATGCCTTGCCCTAGGCTCCGTCTCGCGCGCGCATTTCGTTTTTCCACTGATCAATTTCTGGTGGCCTGGAGCTATCGATCGAGTTACTGCATGGGCTCCTTGCCGATGCAAGCCATATGATTGTGAGACGTGTGGCGGAGGATGGTAGGTCAGGCCGAGTGGTTAAGATGAATTCCGTTGGAGCGCCTTCTTTGCATGCATCAGGCAGAAAGTCGAAACGAGTCCAGATGCGTTCTGGCCCTTTTGGATGAGGGAACAGTGGAACGAATGGGTGAGACATGTAGGCTTGTTGCCGCGCCAAAATCAATTCACGACTGATAGCTGGTCAAGTGGCAGCGCACCGCCGCACCGCGCGCGATCGCGCGATCGATCGAGACGTTGACGGACCGCGCGGGCCGCGAGTAAATGCGCGCGGGGAAATCTATCGTACGTACGTGACGACCGCGCGGATCAACACGCGCCCAATATAAATTTATGTCCAGAAATGAAATCACGAATGAGGGAATAGATGAAATTAAGGCCACATCCACCGACCCAATTTTGAAGCCCGATCACCGCATGCGGCAAGAGCCGAGCAACATCACCTCCTCGGCTCGCGCGACACATGAGCGTGGCCATGCTGGGTGCGTGGGAACTTTTGGAACACCGCTCATATAGCCGGAGGGCCAATGTACCAGCAGCAGCGGTCATGTGAGTGTGAGTGTGAGTACCGTCCGCGTTGGTCTGCTATAGGCTTCGTGTTAGATCATGCCTGGAACAAAGCTGAGCCAAGCAGCAAGCTCAGCCCTCCCGCCATTAGTGCAGCTCAAGCACTTCAGTACGGTGCATGAGTCCTGTCGGAGCCAGTCCGCTGTCAAGTCGCCCAGAGGAACGAAGAGGCCGGATATCGCGTCGGACGCGAATTTGGGTGCGTGGATGTTGCTGTGTGCGCCTTTTGGAGCGGAGTGTGCTTCAGCATTCAGGCAGCTGAACGAGACGCCGCTTCTGCTCGACAATCATCTCAGCATACATACTGCGGTAGAACACACACAAAGTCATCCACGCGACCAACCAAATCCGGAAGTGGATATCTTTGCGGAAGGCTCAGGAACAAGGCGTGACGAACCATCGTACTCAAGAGCTGGATCCCGTCACTGAGAAGGAGACTGAGCAATCATAGGCCTCGCAAGCAACGACGATAGGCAAACGATGAGCGGGCCTACTGGGGCATTGAAGCATGTGCAAAGCTCGATGGAAAGTGTGGCTGGGCTAGCCAAAGGTCTGTACGCGCGAGCACCGGCCAGCACGGCCACTCTTTTGTCCCTCTTGTTGTCCTACCTGATCACGACTGCTCGATCAGACTACGTGCTGTATCGCAGTCTGGGCGTGGGAGGCCTTGCGCCTCCCGGTCCCATAGGCTGGTTGGTGCACACGTTCATTCTTCGGCCTCTTGCCATGTCATCAGGTCGAGAGAAGGATCCCGAAAGATTGCCGGTCTCGGATGAGCAGGTGCAGGGGCAAAGCTTGTCACTAGATCTTCCAAAAAGAAAGGGAAATGCTCCATTTACTTTTGGTCTCATGCCTCATAGACAATTGGACCAGACTTTGCCCGAAGATGGCGCGATGCAAAAGGTGAGACATGCTGTGGGTACTTCCACCACCCGGTCGCCCAATCGTCTGCATTGCAACTCTCGCAATGGGGGCGGCGGCGCTGTGGTGAGGTAGAGCTTGTTGGCTTATGTCACGCTCAAGACTATGCAGGTACGCAAGATCCAAGTAGCTTGTGACGGACAAGCCACTCACCCACTGGCCGGCCGAACTGGACAGTTGAGCCCCGATATTCATGCGGCGGTCTCACCGATGCTGACCCCTTGCCGTTACACTTCGTCCCCACATCCTCTTCCTTCCACCACCTCTCCCTCGCGTTGTCCTTCGCGACGCCATGTCCAGGCTCTCGCATCTCACTTCAACAAGCTAGCCACGCTCAACGTCAATCTCCGTCCAAGCATTTCCGTTCTCGAAGCGCACAACTCTCCCAGCTTGCAAGTGCAGCACTCGCCCAAGGACATTAGCGCAACACAAATCCATTCCTACGCCCGGCTCTTTCTGTCCGGTCTGCACGCTCCTCGATCCGACGTTTCTTCGCCTCTCAAAGAATTCGCTCATATCCATCTGCACGACGGATCATTGCACCTCGTCCTCTCCCCCTCGCACGCCCGCATCGTGCTTGCTCAAGGATGGGGAGAATTGCACAGACTGGCGGGCGCATTCTACAGAGGTCATTGGTGGCCTCTTTTCATCCTGCCCAAGTGGCTGGCAAACGATGCAAAGGCTAGATGGGGCTATCTGGCCCAAAGAGCTCAGAGCTCCAGCAAGGCTGTGCTGCTGCCTCCTACGTACCTCATGATCTACGCTCCTAGGGACGAGGAAGAGCTGCAGCACGTCAAGCGCATCATCGATGCTGCCGCAGCTTTTGCTCTTGGTCACGAGCCGATCTCAGAGCCTTAGCTCAGTAAAGATGATGCTATGCTATGCTGAATATATTGCAAATTGCGATTTGAGATACTATAGAAGTCTGATCGGTGGATGCGTTCAAGCAGTCTACCTAATCGAAATCGTAATCGTGTTCGTCTTCACCTTTTTCTTTCTCTCGCTTATCTAAGTCTTGGTGCCCTCGCAAGCCTCTTCCACACCCTTGTACTCTTCCGTCCTCTCCCTCACGAATTGCTCAAAGCGATCCAGCGCGCAGCTTCCTTCAGGTCCATCGTGACAAGCCGGCAATTTTTGCACTGCGCCATTCACAATGACCCTTACAAAGTCTGCCTTTGAGAGGCTGCTGCTGGTTGCGGTGGTAGAGGGAGAACAAGTGATGCGTTCCAGAGCCACATGGCCCAAAAAGGGCAGGACGTGCGAAGTGTGCCACACGCGATCTTCTGAGGTACCGATGGTAAGGAAAGAGGCGTGATCGGGATCAAAGGCGGGAATGGCCGCTCGCGTTCAGCTTCATTCGGTACGGTGGCGTTGCACGTCTACCACCTGCTCACCTGGGTTGCGATCCGTTGGCAAATCGTATTGCGCAGTCTGGTTCCAGATACCCAGTGCGACCAGCGCCATGGGAGGCTCCTCACGATGAGTGAAGTAAGGGAAGAGGTACTGCGTGTGGGTCTGATTGGGCGGGAGAGGTAGCGGGTCGTCCAGCGATGCCCGGAAAGAAACATCGTCGTGAGGATCCGCGTCCTTGCCAATAGCCAACAGATTGTGTGTTGAGGTGTTTAGCCCTACAGAGAGGAAAAGCAGAGCAAACGCATGTCAGAGAGACACATGAGCTGAAGACTCGCGCAGATTTTATACTCGCACTGCGCTCCGAGGTATGGAGCGAGGGGTGATCCATATCCGACCATCTTGTGATAACGCTGTGAGAAAGTAGGCCCACGATTCGGACGATATGATACGCCATAATGTCAGCCTTCCGCTTAGCCACAGGCGAAGCCGCGAAAAAGGCATTATGACTCACCAAGTCGTTCCAATACCCAAAGTCTCTAAAGGTCTTGTGATCGAAAATGTCGCAGAAGTGGGATTTGCCCACACCAAAGATGACTGTGAAAGTGCATACCATCGAGGAGTATGAGTACCAACAGTATCAGAGGAAGTTCGATTTTGGATCACACGCTCACCGCTTTCGTATCCACAAAGCATGGGAAGAGCAATGACATCCTCAAGTTTCCAATCGAATTCAGGGGCCAAGTTCTTGAGCTGCCGCAACGGTCTCTGACCAAAGACCTCTAGCCATTCTCTCTGTTCTTGCGTGCCTGGCTCTTTGGAAAACTTCTTGCAGACCTTGTGAGGTGTGAGGGAGTAGCCCCAATTTGGGTCCTTATTGTTGACCGTGATCAAAGTGAGGTGCTGCGTGGGACACCGGTCGAACATCAAGTGAGACGTGTGCAGGTGTGGGCAGGTCAACCAGACCTCGCAATGTGTCGACTCACCTTTCCATCCCCTTCTCCGCTCTCTCCTCTCTGCCATTCGGGAAAAGCGCCCCTGATCCAGTTCTTTGCTGTCCCTACGTCCCTATCGCTTGAAGCGGACCAGACCTTGAAAGGCGTCTTGACCTTCCCTCCTCCACCAGCCTCCCTTGTCTTTTTACCCAACTCCAAAGGAGGAAATAAGTGAGGATGAAGATGTCTCAATCTTTTCCCTTGTCTATATGCGTCGTGCGCTCCGGGCTCTGTGAGCGCTTCGAGATTGTCAGAAGAGATGGGCGATTTCCATCCGCGAAGGAAAGCGAGTCGGCCGCTCTTGGGCCAATCTGCGTCTGGCGAAGCAAAGTGAGAGGCAAGTCGCTGGACAAATGGTTCCATGTATTCTTCCCACTCGTCGTCGTTCGCTGCGATGGAGGAGCTGATCGAAGAGAGCGTGCGGACAGATCGTCGGTCAGCGTGATGCGTCCGTCACCTCTCAATCAGCGCGGTCTTTGCGCTTTGCCATCCCGTCGTGACTTACTGCCTGATGAGCATCGCGATGGCTCTGGAGGTGCATCCTTTTGGAAGTTTGAGATTAGCGCCCGGAGCATCATGATAAGGACTTATTCCAGACATGTGCTCCAGCGGATCCCAGTCGCCATGATGAGGTGATTTATCAGGGGAGGTCAGTAGCGGCGATTGGAAGGATTGTTGGTAGGCAGGTGCGGGTGCGGGTGCGGGTGCGGGTGCTGAGCGGGTTGAGCTCAAGCAAACGAGCAGGATAGCGCTGAGAGTGACGCTCTTGCGAGGCATCGGCCACAGCATCTTGCCGTAATGTGAGAAATGGCGGGTAGGCGCGGTCGTGAGAGAAAGGAAGAGGTGTGGCTAGTCGGCATGGCATGGCGAAGCTTGAAAGATAGGCCAGGAGGGGCGAGCGTGTATATGTAAGCAGAAGATAGTAGTAGTAGTAGCGTGAATGAGCGAGCCGGAGGGCGGCCCTACATGGCTGTTATGCCGGATGATGCAAGTCACGAGTCACGAGTGGAGGCAGCATCGACGCGTGCATCAAGGTCGGTCCCCTCTGCTGCTTGGCGCGCGTGATTCACATTCACATTCAATTCAAGATTCGTGATTATTCGTGATTTGTGGTTGATTGCCAGATTGATTCAAGATTGGGTACCCTTGACTATTCATTTCGCGACTGCAGCGCGGGTCACACGCACGCACGATCCAGTGCACAACTCTTGCCTTCACTCACAACCACGCACCTTTAGTCCTTCTCATCTGCTCCTCTCATACGTTGCCTTGCTGACCAAACGCGTCGGCAATCGCTTCCATAGCACATTCACTAGACAGACAGTATCAGCAGTGCATTCCAATCAATCGGCTGGCAAGGCACCACCTCAGAGTCTGAGCGGCGGTAGAGCTTACAGTTTGGGTCAGGATGGAACAAGCTGGTGGATCTTATCGGATAGGAGCAGCATCCACGATGTCGAAGCCACAGGTACGTGAGGGCAAGCACATGGAGCCGCAAGTCTTGGCGATCTTGTGCCGTGCCATGATCGAGATCGAAGCGACATGAGGCTTTCACCTTTTCGTCTTCGTCTTCCCCTTCACCTCGCTGCATGCGCGCCGCTCTCCATGTTGGCGCATATCAAAGACGGCGACGAGCACATCGGTGAAACGTCTCGCTGGGGACGAAAGAGGAGAAGAAGAAGAGGAGGAGGAGGATGAGACACCGCTATACTCCAGGTCTCCATCACCGGTACTCGACCGGCCGAATAAACACGAGGCAGCGAGCTTGCAGGATTACTTGGCACCTCGCAATGTAGGCCATGCTATGCTGCTCAAGATGGGTTGGGTCGTTGGACAAGGTCTAGGCATCACGGGCCAAGGAAGAGTGGAGCCTGTTCCCATCAGCGAGAAGCGAGGTTCAGATCTGACGGGAATTGGTGAGTGCTCGCGCGCGCGTGTGCGTGCATTGCGCGGGCGAGGCGGAACGGAAACTGAGCACCGGTGTCATTCGTGTCGTTTGGGATGGTTACGCATTCGCGCATTGCAGGAAAGATGTCTTTGGACCTTCGAACGGTGGATGCGTCGGTTGCGCAACGCAGAGAGATGGCGTCGGAACGAATGGGTAGGGAGACCGAAGAAGAGCGATCTCGCAGATTGGTGAGGTGACGCGACTCATGGCTTACGCGTATATTCGCTCCTGGCTCGATGGTCTTGCGCTTACTCGCTTTGCGTCTATCTGCTTCCCACGTTTCAGGACGAGGCGGCTCGTATGGCCACGGCAAAAGCTGGAGCAGCGGAAGCAAAGAGCGCATTCAGATGCGAGCTGTGCGATAAGGGCTACTCCATTCCTTCGGCGTACGAAGCGCATTTGACCTCTTACGATCATCATCACAGGAAGGTGCGTCCCTCTGAGCCCGCTTGCTAGTGCACGAGGTCACAAATACTTAGCAGCGCGGCTTTGCGCCTCACTCACTAGCGCCTCAGGGAAATGTTGGCGAGCGAGAAGGCGCGGCATGGGGCAGGAGCTACGGACAAACGTAAAGCAAAGGAATCTGCGCGAGAGGCCAAAGAGCTGGCTAGGCTGATGGGTGCCAGCGCACCCACTGGTCGGGCAACGAAGCCTCCCAACACGACGGCTGCCGGCGGGCTAGGGCCTCAGAGCGCTCTGGACAGCGCAGGAGAGGCTTCTACGAGCAATCCGGTAAGGCAAGAAACTTCAACGAATGCTTCGACATCGGCTCGGCCTTCTCAAGGTGGAGGTTGGAAGAAGGTAGGCTCTGCGAGCGTCTTGAATGTCTCTGGTCCGGCGGCATCTGCTCCGAACAACCCTTCGAGCGGCGTTGCCAGGCCCTCACACGATCCGCGCGATTCTCATCACACACACGCCACTGCCTATTCACGTCTCAGCGCGCCCAAATTCAGGTCGTCCGGCTTCGAAACGCTCGAGACCACTTCGACAAGACGCGACGAGCGCACTTCATCGTCCACCCTTGCGAAGCTACCCGCTGGGTTCCGACCCGTCGACTCATTCCGACCCCTTTCTACGCCCAAACAGACCGCAGCATCTTTTGCGCCTGTGCTGTTGCTCGATCGAGCAGATAGACATGTCGCGCCAAGTTTGCGTACGAGCGGGGATAGCGATCAGCAACCTGCGGAGCCTGCCAGTCCTCCACCGCCTCCACCAGAGGATGTGTATCCGCCTCCCTGTCCGGTGGAAGATTTCCCACCTCCGCCTCCTCCGCAGAACTAGGGATGAGATTGATGCTTGCGTGCGCGCTCAAAGCTTTCAACGAATATCTCGTCGCCGGACTTTTCGTGTCCCGCGTTTGGAGATCGTGGTGCAGACATTGCTTGAGCTGAAAGAGGGCGATGAGGTTCGAAGAACAATGTGATGACAACACTCGGCAGGCCACTGACTAGCTACGGGCCTCGCGCCTTGCCTACGCTTTACAACTCGTGCAGAAGATTACCTCTTCTGTTAAACGCCTCGGCTAGGCGTGCGACTAGACCTGCGCTCACTCGCGCCAAGCTGCTCGATCCAATCATGGCTGTTCTGGGGCCACGTCAACGCCTGCGGACGATCTTAGTCTTGAGGCTTGTCCACATTCAAGAATGCTGCTCTCTCTGATACAGGTAGCCGCATGAGTGCCGCAAGATGGCCTTCAGAGGCAGCGCTGGCGCAATTGATCTCCAATCAAAATGAAGAGCTTGACCGAGTCATGAGTCACTATACAGTTTTGAGCCTAGCATTCGTCATCAAGTCTTCACAGCGACTCGTATGACAGCAAGCAGTGCATTCAAGATTTGGATCTCTTCGTGTTTCAATCGCGCTATAGCAATTCGTGAGTCTGCAGCCAGCGCACAGGAAGATGAGGTCTCACACGGCTGCACCCTGACCAAGCATCGGTCGCGAGTCAAGCGTCAGAGTAGCAAGGGCCAGATGCACCCTATCGTATCTTTGATTTTGATTCAGATTGATTGCGCCACTTGATGAGCGGACTGTATCCATGTGTATATGGGTGCGTTGTGCTGTGACGAGCAAGTCAGCTGAATGCGTGAACGTCAAGCGGAGCAGTCACGTAGCATGCAGTCACAGTGCATGCTTAATTGCCATGCTCTGGTGATCGATCGAGTTGAGTCGCGCTCGAGCGCGCGCCCTCGCGGCGGTCGTTGCGCACGCGGGGCATATGCTGTGGGTCGAGCTGCACGCACACCCGCCTTGATTCACATTCACGATTGCCTCATCCTTGATCATACTCAGACGTCGTGAGTGCATGTGCATGGAGTCGACTTGACCGAGGCTCGCATTCCACTGAAGACCGAACTGCAAGCAAGGACCCCATCGTGAGCGGCCCAAGCGAGCCTTAAAGGCAAGTCATGAGTCACAACTTTACCCAAGAATTGTGGAAACGCGCTCGAGGATCGTGAAAGCCTGAACGATATCTGGAATCGTACTCAAAAGTCATGCTGTTGTGTAGCTGTGTCAAAACCTCTATGTAAGGCGCACGCATTGTATCGAAACCTCGACAACAAGGCAAGCATGAGTGGAGGCCTGCAGATTGAGGATTGCAGCACGTGTGAGTGCGACTGTCGATTTCGCCACACTAAGAGTGGAATCGCGAAGGTGCTTGTGAGAGCACAGCGCGAAAGCCAGTCGATAGCCGTGAGTTGATGTGGATGATCTTCTACGAGTCGAGAGACTATGCGAAAAGCAGGCGAGGAGTGTGAGTTGCCAGTCTGCGCAATGAGCTCCAGCACGCTTATCCTCCTCCTCACCTTTTCTAGCTGAGTCTTCAGAACCATGCGCCAGTAGGACTTGATCTGCACAGTGCTCCTTCCACCGCATTGCTCGCTCATGCGCGTCCAGTCAACGTGTGCCATGCCGGCTTCGCACATGCCGAGTACGAGTGCCTTTTTCTCCGAAGGCTGGAAAGCAGACGAGCGGCTCCATGTCAGCATGCTCCATGCGGGCAGAGCGTTCCTCTTCTGACCTTCCAAGCTGTCCTTGCTCCGCCACGCTTGCTGCTCTGTCCCTGCTCCTCGAGTTCAGAACGTTTATCGTCGCGAGGTTCAGGCTTGACTTTCATCGGACTGCGCTGAGTCGTAGAGCTCCTCGCCTCTTTCTTGGGAGTCTTGGACGCGCAAAATGAGGTGTCAGCGGCTGGATCTGAAGTCTTGACGAGTACAACTTTGGACTCAAAGTCAAGCTATCGAACACGAGGAGTGCTCGCTGTGACCGCGTTCCCGTCAAGTGTCTTGGCGTTGCTATGCAATCACCGCAATGCTTTGGGCTGGCGACTCACCGCTGAGAGCACACCCTCTGACTGCCGTTTAGTTGGTGTTGGAGGAGATCCAGACGGAGATGAGCCATGCTCCATTTTAGGGTGTGAGATTTTGAGTTCCAAGGAGTGATAGCGGGTAGCAAAGCTCGAAGAGGGTAGCTAGAGGCATTCCTAGAGGCAAAATGGAGCAAAGCTCGCGACGCACGTTCGTGGTCATGACCATAGCAGTCTGATGAGTGAAAGATCTGTAACATCTAGCTACGGGCAAGCGCGCCGAATGATCACAAATTTTCTCCTATCAATAATACACGGCTCCGCACTAGAAGGGCCCGAGGCAATAAAGGTCCATGCACGGGCAGCGGGCTCATCTTGTAATATCCAACCAAGCGACATACATACGCCTGAACATGACTCAGATTTCTGCACCCTTCAAAGTTCCACATTCACCGGTTTCAAAGATCATTCAGCTATATATATAGCTGTGACTTTGCTCCATATGCGCGACTGCGCCTCGTAGGTATGGACTCGCATCACCGAGAGCGCAATTCAGCCGCACTCGTGACTGTACCACGCACAGCTGTGCTGCTCGAATCTTGAAGGTTGGCTCAAGGGCCTAAAGCTGTTCATTAAGATGTTCATTGAGACGGCATTTGTCACGAATCTGCAGGAATTGCGCAGGTTGAGGAGTTGAAGGCGTGTACACAGAGTCGTAGAGAGAAGCGAAAAGCCGAGCAAGCTCGAACAGTGCACGAGACTAGCTAGATACGGCGTGCAACGAAAAGGTGCGTGGATGTGGGCGTCATGCTGATTGAGGGCCCGCTAAGATCGTGGAAATTATGAACAAAAGGGGACCGACAAGACTCGCTTGCTCAATGCGTGAAGGTGGGCCTTGCGCCGACGACTGCATCATTTGGGATGCCTTCAAGTGCGTAGAGGGCTATTGGATTGTGCAACCGTCAGTGGCATGCCGGTGAATTGGAGCACTAATCATTCTACATCTCCTCAAGTGCCTGGGAGTGACGGCCGATGCGCGTTCAGCGTCAGATCGATCGGAGGTGGCTATGTTGGTCATTCCCATGCATTGGTTCACCCACCTTCTCGAGTTTCGGCTTGAGACGCATGTTCCAATAGGCCTTGATCTGAGTCTTGGTTCGACCGCCACATTCTGCGGTAGCTTCGTCCCAATCTACTGCGGGAAAGCCCGCTGCGCACATCCTCATGACGAGCGCCTTCTTCTGAGCGCCCTGCGTCAGTTGGTCAACATGAGCTCATGTTAGCGCGAGGCGCATGACCGTCTCCGTCGCTGATGGTGTCACTTACTGTCCACGCTTCGGCTTTACCGCCGCGCTTGTTCTTTCCATCTTCATCTTTGACGTCCTCTTCGTATCCTTCGTCGTCCGCTTCAGGCTTGACCTTCTTCTTCTTGGGAGAGCCTCGAGGCTTTTTTTTGGCCGCGCTGTCCAAAGACATGGGCTACATGCAGGCGTGACCGTGTGCCAGCGTGCATACGGGAAGAGGTCGAGGCGGGAGGCAAGGAGCAAAAAGGGTCAGCGAGACCGACGTTAAAGTCGCGTGTACGATGCAAGGCGAATCACGAATCTAGTATGTGAAGCTCAGACTTGGTCGAGTTGCGTTCTCAAAGCGAAATATTGCCTCTCGCTCGGCAGGAGTTCGTGGGATTTGCGTGCATCATTGCTTGTCTCAACATTGCTCGCATCGACTCACCGCCACGGAGAATGGGTCAAAGTCTGGCATGTTGCTGCGCTTCTTGGTAGGATTTACTGGAGTGGTGTCTTCTCCAGATGACGCTTCGCTTGCCGTCGGAGAGGTGCTCATGGTTGTCAAAAGAGGTGAAGCTGATGATCTTGAAAAAATGACTGGCTGGCGCGACTGGACTGAGTCTGAGTGATCAGAGGACGAGGATGGCTGCGTGAAGGACGATGAGGTCGAGAAGGAATGTTTCGTACCCCTCCAAGGATCAGAGGTTGCTCGCGTTGCTTTGGACGTCTGACCAGACACATCGCGCAGGCTTGAATGAGAGACCGAGTACCAAAATGCATCCTAGACCGATACTGTGTTATAGTCAGTTGATTGATGTTGCGTGTGCTACCACATGCTCAGTGAGACATGTAGTCTAGCAACGATCCAATCGCGTCAGACGGTCAGAGAGGAGATAGACCGCGAGGCTGATCGCGCGTCGTCGCAACTCAAGCACATCAGCAGCCCTCGCACTCACGACTGGTCAAATCAATCACAATCACGAATGGTGCATCACCGTGCAGCAATCAACCATGATAGATCCATACGTACATGATCGTGGACAGCAGGGAAGGAACATCTACTCGTGACTGCCCCTCGTCGTCTCCCGGCCAGCATGCAAGCACACTTGATTGGGCGCCCCGCGCTCGGTATGACGTGTCGCTCGCCTCTGTATATATGTGTAGCCAAACTCACTGACTCACGTTCGCCACATCTACTGTTGACTTTTATTGTCACGACTGCAGCAATCTATTATACAATTGAATGCGCAGCAACACAAGGTGGGCGCAGTCACCCCTCGCTCTGTTTCAAATCCGGCAGAGCGCTCATCCAACAACTACGTCTACGCAGATGCACGGATGGACTTTGACTGCAATCAAGACGCACTATATAAGGATCTCAATCCACGATTGCAGAGGTGAAACGTGATGAATGTCAAAATAAAATTTGTGATTAGTATCGAAGTGAGTGCTTCAGGAGCTCGTGGAGGCATGGATGGACTCGGGCTGACGATATATGTGGATGGTAGCCTCCCCACTCGTGACTGGATTCGCCAGTCGTGAGAACGCGGCTATCGCGAGGCGTCTCGAGACGGGTGTGCGTACAATCGTGAATGTGAATGAGATTCAGCAGTGACTCAAACTCCCAATCGTGATCCTTGATTCACGATCCACGTTTGTATGGAAATTCTGCGCGTGCACGTCACGGCTGCATGCATAGTTCAGCCCCCAGGGACCTACACATGTGCATGCAAACCAGACAGCGCAGTATCGCAGTTAAATTGGCGCGACTCTGACTCGGGATTGGATGGATGTTGATTGATTCGCGCACATCCTGATCTGCGATGTGAAGGGCTGCTGCTGATCGCCCGGATGATCGACTCGTGACTTCGTTCAATCATCAAATCGACTTGGTGATACAGATTCTGATTCGTGATTGTCATTGTTTATGCATGGCGCGCTCAATATCCCGCGCTGTGACTCGCCGTCAGACGTTTAGTCTGCATGATGAGCCTCGATCTAGCTTTGATGGGGGTCTGTCAATCAAGCCATCAAGGCGATGGGTGCATGGAGCAATCACAATCAATGCGACCCCTCGGCCGTGTAGATCACGCGCAAGGGTTTCCAAGAGTCGTCCAGACACGTCGTCTGAACTCGAACGCTGTATCGCAGGGGCTTGCGGTGATTGCAGGCGTGCAAAGGCGTTTGTCACGAACGTCTGACCGCTGTCCGCATATCTACAGAGGCTGCTGGTTGGTCTGTTCTATAGTTCATTCATGGATGCTGGATACGACTTTCTGTATGCCTTTCACTCGTCCCACAACATCCCTGTCCCCGGCCACAATCTGCAATCGTAAATACCAGAACCACCGTCCAAGTCTTTGCTGGCACGATGATCGGGTCTGATCTCTCCGCACCACCTTCACCAGCCGCCTCTCCACCGCCAAGCAAGAGAAAATCAGCACTGTCCGATGTAGACGTGAGTGCGGGCACGCTTTATGTACGTCGCTCGGGTGTTGATGTGCGATGCATTGAGATGCTTACGCCGCTTGACGAGCCTTAGTGTAGCATTTACTGACCTCGCACATTGCCCACATGCCGGCTCTAGGAGACGCCAAAGAAAGAGGCTCGACCTCCGAAGCCGAAGAAAAGCCCCAAGAAGAAGATCAAGATTGAGGCTGACAGACATGGCGAGCGTCAGAAACATGCTCAGGATCGGCCTGAAGAGGACCAAAAGCTCAAAGAAGGCAAGTGTGTTGGGAGAGGCACGGCCTGGACGGTGAGCGTGGCAATGCAGATGCGCATCTTCTCCTCCCTGACAGGAGCAGAGCTGACGAAAATTTGACGTATCGCGATGCTGCCATTCGTCACGCTCGCCACGCAGCCCGAAGAACGAAAAGCTGTTATCACTGCCCTCTGCGCCAAAGGGGCGGCCACTCTAGACTGGAGCGAGCTCAGCGATCAGTGCGGCAGTCGCACCCCTCAACAAATCAGGAACTACTACAACATGGTGTTGAAGGGTCACATCGAAAAGGTGAGCCATGAAACCGTCAGTCAGCAGTGCAAACAAGCCTACAGAAGCTCATCATGCCCTCTCTCGTCTCGTGGTGCGCAGGCGTTTGAAAGCTAGAGCATATATACGTCTCGTCGAAGGTGCGCTCGTGGCTCATTGCAAGGGCTCTTGGCAACATGCTCCCATTACCTAGGCCAATCTCAATGTTCTCTCGAGCGAAGGGCAAAGAGCTCGCGAGCTTTGAAGAAGGTCAGCGCTTCAAGGAGAATCGCGCATGTCTGTCCCCTGCCGCAATCACAAAACCTTCTGCTTCCCTTCGAGGACGATTCATGCAAATGGCTGTGCTGCGCTTGATTTAACGTGACGATCACGAGCTCAGACTCGCGAAGACATGACCGATGTTGACGCGAGATTGTTGGATCTTCAGCAGATCCTGGGATGACCTTCACAGTGAGGAGAGGAGACCACTCGATTCTCATTGACGCCCGAACCTCGCTTGCTGGATCACGCACCACTGGATGAGGGCTGCTGCTGCCATGCAGCTGGTTGCCAAAGGGGAGCTCCAAGATGTCGCTTAGCTCGGTGTTGAGACGCACACGATTGGTGATTTAAATATCGCATTCAAGATTGATGACCTCTTTCCCCCTCGGCATGACAGCTATAAGCAGCATACCGGCACCAGCTAGTATACACATGCACGCAGAGTTTGCGCGCGTGCCTGTGTTGTCGCCGTTAATCTGTTGCCTCCCGCGCGCGTGCTCATCAGAGCGGCCTTTCTACGTGAATAATGAGCTGATTGCTAAGTCAGGTGAATCACGAAGGCGGCCTTTGATCATCATCTAAAGAAGCGCCTAGCTGGAGTCGCGATGCAAGAGGCTCAGAGCAGACTTCGCGTACGGAGGCACGATTCATCATCAATCACGAATTGTTGTGGATTACCGAATCTGAATTGTGGTGAATGTGAACGTGATCGGTGCTCGCAGACTCGAAACATCTTGGTTGGTATATGCGCTATAATCGTGGACAGGCACTTGTGTCGACTTCCGTCTGAGTGCCGAGTCTGATGCATCTCTTCTTCTGCAGCAGCAGCACCGCATTGCTCTTCATTGCTCTTATTGCCCTTCCTCCATCTTGCCTCCCTTCAGGACTTCAGCCCCCCGCCCTTTAGCTTCTACCAGTCAACACGTCAACAAGCAGTCAAGCGCATTCTCGACACTTCTCGAAGAAGAGGATGAAGAGCGGACCGACCGATGATGTGCAGCAAGAAGAGGAAGACGCCATGGACAGCAGCGCGCCAGAAGACAACTGCTTTGAAAAATTGATCAACCAGAGTACGAAGGTGCGTCCGTCATTGAGGGGGCAGTGTGGGGGACGTACGACTATGAGAAGAGGTAGCTAGGTGACCCATGGGCCTGGTGAGGTAGTCCGAGCTCGTTGTGGACTTCCGATGGCACACCCACTGCCATAACTAGGTACCAACTCTCCAAAGAAGAGCAGCTCCTCTCCTGTCGCTGACGCAAAGGCCTCTCTCTTTTTTTCCGTTGCTCTCACAGCTCAAATCGAAGAAACAGGCTAGAGCGTTGGCGAGCCCCAAGAAGAGGGCTGTGTCAAGCTTAGAAGACGAGGAAATGGACGAGGCACAATGTGCGTCGCCATTGGCGTCCTCGAGACGCACTGCAAAGGTGCGTCGCAAGAGCGGAGCTGTTGAAGAAGGATGCAATGTCCTCAGGCAAGAGTGGAAGGAACTATGGCGAGACTTTCACAAATCATGTCGTTGATTGTTGCGACCGCCGCGCATGATGCTGATTCAGCGCTTCTCCCGCCCACGCCGTTCTCTTCGCAGGGCACTCCTAACAAAACTACTTCTGCACGACTCTCAACAGGTCAGACCAGTCCAAAGAAGAGGCCTGCACCAAAGAAAGAGATCGATGAAGAGATGAATGAAGCGAGCTCTCCTAACAAAAAGCGTCCGCAGACGGGCCAAGCAGCAAGTGCATGGACCGTGAGTATTAACCCGCGACCTGATCTGCGCGCCTTACGACGTTCCACACGTTTACAAGCTCTAGTCCACGTATGCGCTCATGCAGGCGGAGCAACGCAAAGACATGGTCATGAGCATGTGCGACCTGGGTTATCCTGCCATGGACTGGGCTGCTCTCGGCCAGAGGTGCGGCGGACGCACAGGGGTGCAAGCTAGAGACTACTGGCGAAAGGTCATGAAGCCAAAGCTTGCTAATGTGAGCTGAAATACGATGGGCTGGCTGGCACTGTGGAAAATACTCGCAACAAAGCTGTCGCACGTTACTGACCTGAATGTATCGGTGTCTGCAGATGCTAGAGCAAAGCTAGGGCGTCCGGAGGGGACCGATCAGTATACCTGGGCGTCTCAAGATCCGACACCATCACCTCGAAGCAAGCCTCCTTCTTCTTTGGGGAACCGGAGCGCCTCCAGCTCATCGATGCACACAGCATCTGCTCAAATCAGCAGCTGTTTCCTCGACTCCTTTTAGACGCATGTCTTGCTACTTCGCGTATCAATGATGTTGCCCGATTGTCTTCTGAGCGTCGGACCTGCGCACCATATGCTGTCGTCCTCTTACCATACAAGGACTTTCTGGCTGAACCCTAGTCCGAGAGGCCACATGGTCCCTAGGCCAGCTTCAGCTAAGCCGTTTTCTCTCTCCTGCCGCCTCGAGTATGCCATCTCACTGCACACGTCTTTTGCAGCTGACTTCAAGTTCGTGCCATTGCGTTCTAGAGGGGCCCAGTCCGTACACACCGAATCTGGTCATGACTTGGCGGCAACCACGGCCTGCTCTGCCAACCTGGGCTCTGACAACATGAAAGGTCCTCTATGATTGAAAGTCATAAAGTTTGATCTAGTTTCCACCTGATCGATGGTCCTACGAGTTGCATGGATCAGATTGATCAGCTGCTCCGAATCGCGTATCGTTGCTGTGACTTCTGCGACATGCAGAGCAGCGACGCACCTGCCTTTCCATTCTGCGGCCCACGAAATCTGCCTCAAAGGCTGTGCAGTCTTGAGCGTGCCCACTGCGATGAGCAACAGAGCGAGTAGAAGCTCAAGGAGGATCTGTGATGTGTTGCGTAGAAGCGACAAGTGAGCTCCACTTTACCACAATGCTTGCAAGGAATAGCAGCGCATTTGCGCCATTCAAACTCACGCTAGCCGGCAGACCTCCTTCTGATGGGTCTGCAAGCAGGGCATTATCGGCCAAGACCAAACCGAGAGACTTGCGAATGGAAAAGTCTGCACGCAAGAGGGAATGAGGGGCAAGGGTTAGTAGTGCACATCATCAGGGCGATGCCAAGGGGCGTCACATCATCCCTCGATCGAGCTGGTCATTCTGCCTCTTCCGCCCTGATCCACTGCTAACGGTTAGGTGCGCCTCCCCTCCTCCTCTGCCTAGCTGGAAGTTTCCGTACCGCCCTGCCCTTCCCCCCCTCCCCCTGCACCCATTGCAAGTATCCCGCGCCACAGCAGTGCATGATAGACCAATCTCGGATATCCCACGCACATTCGTAAGCAGAGTATGCAGCGTGGAAAAAGGCAATGGTACCTAGAGCCAAGGTCGCCCTGCCGGCTGGCGAGGAGCGTCGGCTCCGAGTGCTCGACATGATCAGGTGCACCGGCCCGCGCGCGTAATTGTGAGCGAGCTGAACGCTAGCTGGACCTGCTGGTGCGCGTCGGGTTGAGCCTGTAGAGGCGATTGGCCCCTTTGAGGAGGATGAGGTGGAGGCTTTTTGGATGAGAGAACAGAGGCACGCATGTATGCATAGGCTGACCGGGATGATCAGTCAAGGCACGGGAGTCTTTCGAGCTGCCAGGCGCGAGATCGTGACGAGGTCCGTGCCTCTCGTGCGATACAGCACGCAAAGAGAGAGAGAAAGAGGTTAGAAGGTCAAAATCTCGATTTTGCGCGCTGCTGCTTGACTGCCGGTCAGCCGCCCGCCTCCACACCCACTCACTCAGCTCGATCAGCAGTCGGATTCGTCTTTGCTTTTTCTTCCAATTCAGATCACACCGACCATCCTCAACATTCCACCTCAGACAGGTCCTTCCTCACGCTACCAAAACGCTCATGGCCACGAGAAAGCTCCTTCAAAGCAGCTCTGCATTCGATTCGCTATTGTCTAGCAAAGTCCTCTCTCACATCAAGGCAAGGCGAGAGCCGATCGACATGCCGCCCGACAGACAGGGCGGTGGCAGTGGCAGCCGGATTGCGTCCCTCGACGATCGACCTCTCTCGGGCATCTTTGGCATCAACAAACCGTCAGGTCCGCTGTCAATGGTGTTGCTGGACGACATCAAGGAGCTCTTCGCTTACAGTTCGTTATTCAAGAACCCGGATGGAAGTTTGCCCGCTGAGAACGGAGGCAGAGGCTGGAGGGGGGGCAAGAGGAAGACGGGATTGAGCAAGGCGGAGAGGAAAAAGAATGCTCCACCAAAGATTGGACAGGGTGGGACGCTGGATCCTCTCGCTGACGGCGTGCTCGGTGAGTTCTCGGCGTCCAGCGCATATATTCATGATCCACACCTGCTGCTATCCTTGTTGCGTGAATCTCATGTCCCGCACTCCCCATAAACACACACACAACAGTTGTCGGTGTCGGAAGAGGGACAAAGCAGCTGCAGCGCTTTTTGGATTGCACCAAAGAGTACCGTTCCACCGGCTTGCTGGGAACAGCAACGACCTCGTACGACTGCAAGGATCCTATCCTTCTTCGCGCGCCTTTTCAGCATGTTTCTCGAGAGACCATCTTGGAAGCCCTACCTCGTTTTCGAGGGGACCTGAAGCAACTACCACCCTTGTTCAGCGCCATCAAGATGGACGGCAAGAGGTTGTTCGACTATGCCAGAGAGGGATCGGAGCTACCCAGACCCATCGAGCCAAGGAGTGTCCGCGTAGAACAACTGGAGCTGGTCGAGTGGCATCCCGCAGGGAGTCACGCGTGGGTGGAACCTGTCGAGGAGTGCGGAGAGGAGGAGAAAAAGCTGGTTGGAAGGGTGCGCAGGCTGGCAGGTCTAGATCCGAGTGCGCCAGGTACGGACGACGCTGCCTTGAGCGGCCAGAACGGAGCGTCGAGCTCGTTGATCGTAGAGAAAGAAGACGAGACAGGCCCAACGCCAGAAAAGGCGAGTTCCGGTCCGCCGGCATTTACAATCGACATGACGGTGACGAGCGGGACGTATGTGCGAAGCATAGTCCACGATCTGGCTCAATCGGTAGGCAGCGCTGCGCACGTGGTCAGACTGACGCGCAACAGGCAGGGAGAGTTCAGCATTGGCACGTTGGGATCAAAAGCGGACGTCACGGCAGGAGTGACACGCGACGCTTTCTCGGATAGCTTGCGGGATGACAACCGTGCGGAGAGGCAACACGCAGGGACTGGTGCGGACAGGGCGGGCGAGGTGAAGAACGGAGACATTGCCGAGCAGGACAAAGCAGCAAAGACGAGCAAGGACGTCGCATTGCCGGGCAATTGTATCGAGTGGCACGTTTTTGAAAAGGCCTTGAAAGAGTTCGAAGAGGACACAGTGGAGCGCGACGAGCAAGGCTTGGCTGAATGGGAACGAATCTTGCTAAGCAGGTGAGCAGGGCAACGCGCATTCTGGAACAACAAGTCATTTCGCATGCCACTAACTACGGCTCTGTGTACTGCTCGTTCAGAATTCAGCCCTGTTGAGCGGTTCATCGTCACCAATACATGCGCACCTCAAACCATACCGTGGCCCATAGAGCAGGACCTGTTGGCGTGCGACTCAGCATCTTGCATTACATAGTCATCATCTTGTCTCTAATCCTGCTGATCGTTTTGCCTAGCTGCCATAGCGGGGACCACGCGAAAAGGCAGGTGGCAGATGCCTTGTCAAGGCGAAAAAGGGCCTTTCGACCACGACGAGCTCAGGATCAGCCCTTGCTGCGGTTGTTGGTGTGATCGATCCGAGTTGATGCGGGCTAGAACCTAGCAAGTCGACGTAGAGTAGAGAGCTATACCTCTTTGTCAAGTTGACGTGCCATGCTGGTCCAGCATCAGGTTTGTTGGTTCCGTCTGACCCACTGAGTGCGCCATTACTACTCCCACCAGCTTCAGAAGCTCCTCTCTTCCGACTCCACTTGCGAGCGGTCGTCCCTGGTGCAGATGCGCCTTCGGTCAGCTTTCTCGCCGTACAGATGAAAGATGCGCCCCACACGAGCAAGGCGGCAGACGCTTCGCGGGAGCTCGAAGCAGACCTTTGGCCAATCCAGAAAACGCCGATCGCGCTATCTCTCTGATTTGCCAATTTGGCACGCAGATTCCTTTCGAGCGCTTTCATACTCGAGTCTGCTGAGCTGGCCGCGTCCGATTGCTCGAGATCGTACAGCAAAAGTCGATTTGTGGGCATCAAGATGGCCAGCCGGGACGACTGAAGCGGATCGAAGGATGCGGAAGAAGGCACGTGAGCAGGAGAGGGTAATGTCCGATGGAGAACGTGTGTGTCGAGATTGAAGACGTGCAATCTTCGTGAGCTGTCCCCACTGAGCAAGTAAAGCCCATCTGCTGAGATGACCAGCATATCGATACGCGCGTGAGAGTCGCGTGCGCTCGACGCGGCACCCGCAGAAATCTCGTGTTCCTCTAGGCCCCGCTCAGCCTCGTTTTCCGGCGCGTCCGACTCTCCTTGCTTGTGAGCCGTGCCATTTGAAAGCTTGCCATTCGTCAGAGCCGACTTGTCTGTTGATGATGAAGGTGTTGCTGTCGTGGTGGCGCGTCCCGCAACGCTCCTCTCGGTGACGACTCTTCTCCGATGGTGGCCAAATGTCTCCACTAGGGCGCATTTGCCCGCAGAAGAAATGCTGACGACGTGCAAGAAGCTGCCCGGGTGCGTAGCGCATACCAAGCGCGTAGAGTCAGGTGTGAAGGCGAGAGCGCTGCTTCCCGGAGCTTTGCCCCCAAGTGCAGCTCCAAACGACTTTTCCCGACGAGGTTCCAAGATCAGGTCGACTGCCGCCTCGGTACCGTGGGGTTTGAGCTCAAACAGCTTCGTTTCGTACAAGTCAGACACTGCTAACCACTTGCCGTCCGGAGAGATGGCGTGCGCGACAAGATTGCTCTGCGCGCGCGGTTCCATCTCCAACAATTTCCTCCATCCTGCTTCGGGCTGTTGCAAACTGTCTAGCTGCTGTTCGGGTGCAGATGCCGAGTTAGCTCCAAAGTCGGCCCGATCGGGTAGAGCCCAGATAGCAGTGCTCTGATCTCTGCGCAGAGACAACCAACGCTTCAGAGGCGCACTGCTGACGACTGCACCTCCGCCCAGGGTGCTGCCTCTGCACGAGGCAGGAACGAATGGCAGCCTTCTCTGTACAGTCTCGGCAAATGAGACATTGTCAGTCGTTGAGACGGGGTTGATCAAGTCGCGAGCAGTATCGCCTCTGAATGCCGATCCGCGGTTCTTTCGGCTGCTCTTGCCTTTGGTTCCAATGTTGAAATTCGACGGCGAGGCCGCTGGTGTGAGCGTAACGCCAAAGTCGGTTCCGCCGCTAGCAAGAATCGGTACTGTAAGCTGGCGCAGTGTGGATGCTGGAGACTTGCTCTCTTGAACTGCTTTGGCGTCAAGAGGTGGGCAAATGGCTAGCGCTTTGATGTCGTGCGTGTGCAGCTTGCGTAAGCCGGTGTTGACCCACTTTGCCTTGATTCCTTCTCCGATGAGTGCGTACTCAGACACTCTCTGGTCCACTGAGCCGGCATACACGGTTCTGCCGTCAGGTCCAGCAGTCAGACAAAGCACATCTGCGCCTTTGCCGTGCACGCCGAACGAAGCTCCCGAGAGCGCTGTCCGAGTCCGGGCATCGTAAAATGTGACGCTGCCGCGGCTATCGCCAAGCACAATCTGGCCATTTGGCAGGGCTAAACAAGACCACACGATTGTCTGCTCCGATCTGCTCCTATCCACGTTCAACTTTGAGACTTGTCTCCCGGTCTGAGCGTCCCATATGAGTGCAGAGGAGCTCGATGTGCCTCCGACCAAGAAGCTGTCCTGCCAACCGTCATCTTCGTCTTCATCCTCGTCCGAACTGTCAGTCTCGTCAGCGCTGCTATCTTCCTTGTCGGTGGAGGGCATCTGCCGTCTTTTTACGCCGTGCACAGCGGATCTTCTGCGAGGCGAACCCCAGGCCAAACTGACAATTCGCGTCTTTGCACGATCGCAGCGGGGCGCTACGCCTGTGCGAGATCCGTCCGCTCTCCTCTTTCCCGCATGCTCAGGCGTGAGATGCTCAAAGCGTCCCCGTGCAACGTCTACAATTCTTACCACTCCGTCTTCGCAGCCTAGCGCGAGGTACTTGCTGAGAGGATCGGCGGCCATGCTCCAGATAGCACCCCCGCCGCTGCTCAGAGTTCTCGAAAGGCTCCTTTGACTTCGACCCTTGTCCAAGCCAAGCTGCAGGAAATGCTGAGCTGATTGTTCTCCGGTGATAGAAGGAGCAGAAAGCGCAGAATGAGACAGCAAGTGGGCCGGTAGAAAATGCTCCGTGAGGATCGAGCCACCGGAAGAGGAGAAGAGGCGAGGAATGCTCAATGTAGTGCTGCTGCTGTAGCCCGCGACATCCTCGGGCGCCGAGGTGAAGATGAAGGCCAAATGGTCGATCTTAGATGCAGCAGGTCCTACGAGAGTCTGTCATGATGCACGTTGGATGTACGAGCAAAGAGAGCGGATAAGGCATATCAGCGAGGGTGCGGGGTAACGAAGGCCACCTCTCACTCAGCACTCACAGAATCGACAATCCAGCTCTTGGCATTGCCAGAGCTGTCACGTGCAGCAGCATCCCCATCGCCGCCAGAGTTCTCAGACACCCAAGTACAAATGTCGATGTTGCCATTGTCGCGCCCGATGGCAAGGACTGGTCTGACGTGCAGTGAATGATGCGGCAATGAAGGGCTAAAGGCGAGCGCAGTGATGGATGAAGGAGACCAGTCTAGGAATCGCGTGCGGTGCACTGCCAATGTGTTGGAAGAGGATGACGCGACAGGACCTCGTTGCTGCTGTTGCCCTCTTGCTGCTGACGGTGAACTGGCAGTCTCTGCTTTGCCATCGGCCATGTCAACATCGAGCGACATGACTGCGCGTAGAATCGCGGGTTTGGTGAGGGAGCTGCCAATGCCTCTGCGAGGAAGGCTGACCGAAGGGGAAGCGATGCGTGACTGTACCTCGAAGAGCGCGATGTGAATGAACAGCAAGAAGGTTCATATCTATGTATGCTAGCGCTTTCAATCCTTCTCCCCATTCCCAATCCACTGAGGAGGAGCATCTTTCCAAATCTTGAATCATCCGTCATGGCTGCAAAACGGCTGGGCTGCCACAAATTTTTCTCTACGACTCACGTGAGCCATGAGCAAGGCGAAAGTCTACGGACGGACGTTTGTCGGACACCGCGGAGTGGACTGGACTCGCATCGCATGCACGCTTCTGATGCATGATGAGCTGCGCTATACCTCACGACTGCAGCCGCGGCGTGAGTGGTGAGTGTGCAGCAAAGACGCGACGCGTTTCCCCGTCATTCGTGATGGTGGTTGCGGCTCTTCTTGAGCGCTGCGAGCAGAGGCCAAAGAGCGTTCATGCAGCAGCGTACTTGGATACCTGCTGGCTCCCGGCAAACTCTTCTCCCCGAGAGTCCATCCCGAGCTACTCGCGATGGCGCGGAAAAAGGGGAGGGTGATGATTCATTCGTGATCCATACGTCGTCGTCTGAGCTCTTGCAGAGGTTCCAGGCTGGTAGTCTGCCGCATTTGATTAACGGTCTGCCTTAATTGTCCCGCTCCTCATCTCCCTATACGGCCCAACAGGAACCTTCGCGCGGGAAGTTGTCACCCACAGATTGGCTGCCCTGCCGCCGCCCGTCTTCCAAGCAAGATCACAGCCCAGAGCTCGCTCTCCCTCCTCTTGCTCATCCACGCTTGGTTCCTTTCAGTCTTGAGTCTTGAGTCTCGAGTCGTGAGTCGTGAGTGTCATCACATCGCGTCACGCGCTTCGCCTTGTCCATGCAGACGACGGCCGCGCGCGCGCGCGTCCCGCACTTGTGACTTGAGCAAACGCCTCAACCTCTTTGTGACACTGCGGCCATTGCGATTGCCCAAGCGCGCTGCTCCAACGGATTCGAGCTCCCGGCTGCTGCGCGCAAGGGGATCGAGGACATCGCATATTCCAGGATCATCAGTCTACATGAAGCATCGACGGTAGCAGCCGCGCGAGACCCGACACTTGACCGATGCAAGGCGTTGGGGGAATCAGCAGCGTAGCAGCAAGACTTCTCGCCGCGTCGCTCGATCAGCATCACATTCAAGAATGGCTGCGCGCCCTCGTCTGTCAACGCGGAAACATCGCCTGATGCGAGATGTCGATCTCGCTCAGGAAGAAGCGCCGATACGCAAGGGCAGTGCACACAGCGCACAACCGTCATCGGATGCTCATTCCAGCTTGAGGAGCGCTACAACTCACGCTGGCAGTAGCAGCGCATACAGACCAGCCTCGCTCAGCGAGTTCGCACCGCCACCTCCCTCCACCTCATCCTCCACCCTGGTCTCCTCTCACGATCCGATTCAGACCGCCCACCACTCGCCTCCTGCATCTGACCTCACGTCATCCGATATCGAGACTTCACCCACCTTGGGACCCGTCAAGCGCAAACGATCCTTTGGCTCTACGGCTAGAGCTTTCGAAGATGCCTTGGATCGAGCGACACTGACCGGCGATCCTGGCAAATCCGCTTCCAGCCCACTCTCGCCAAGACAAAACAGGTTCAAATTCGTTCCGCAAGCTTGCCCGCAGGACGTCCGGTGCTCCATCTCGGAAATCGAAGCTGGTCTATGCGCTTGTGCTATTCCGGCCACAGACTCGGGCGAGGGCAGTTCCCCGAACAGCGCCAACGAGGGCCTGGCAGGCTCGCACGCTAGGAGGCGGAGCGCTTCGAGGAACGGAGCGGTCAGTGAGCTGACAGCGGTTGGAGAGGTGGAGCCTGCATGGGATGCTCGAGAGAGGAGGAGAGCTCGAGAAGCCGCACACGCCAGCCGCATCGGTGCAACCTCGTCCACGCTGAGCTCCAGCGAAGAGAGCACAGAGCTGAGGGCTGAGGCCGAAAGCAGCCGCCCACGCATGGGGAGCGTCGGGCTGGTCGACCCTGCTGGCGAGCAGAGCCGTCATCGTTCCGGTGGTTTGCGACGTGCCCCGCTGTCTCCCCGGTACGTGCAGCACATTCTCGAGAGAACTGGTGAGTTGCCGACCAAATACTGTTCACCCGTCTCGATCTCACCCTCTTCCTTATCCTCTTTATCATTGTGCCGCCTTCTAAAGAGCCGGCCTCTCTTTCTAGCCCGCGGGGTCTGAGCTCCCTGGCAAATTTGCAACCGGATGGACCAATCCCGAGCCCTTTTAAGCGACGATCCTCACCCGATCCTGCTGCTCGGCCAGCCAACCGGCCTAGCTCAGTTACTGCAGCACCACCAAGTGTTAGGGCCTCTGCGAGCACTTCTAGGAATGCAGAGGAAGACCTGAACCCGGAGACAACGAGCTTGGCTCGTCAGAGCATCAGGTCGGTTTTTGAGCATATGCTGGAGCTGGAGGCGGAAGCGTACAAGTCGAGCCGAGCGAGGAGGGCCGAGAGAGAAAACAGCAACCGGGTCTTGTCGAGCGAGAGGCGGGCCGAAGCCACGAAACGCTCATCTTCTGAGCACATGCGCGAAGCGCCTATAAGACCCGTGCCCACTTCCGCCCGGTCGCCAAGTCTAGTCTCAGCACGTAGTGCAAGCGCCTCGACAAGCAGAATACCGCAAAGCTCTGCTCGAAGGAGAAGAACGGATGAGGACAGGCTTCGGAACTTGAGCGGCACGCAGCTGGATCTTTCGAACATGCCTTTCGGGAGCCACTCAAATGGGGCCTCGCGCAATAGACTTGCTCATCAGCGAGAAAGATCTCTCGAAGCCGTGACATCTGAACTATCGCAGCCTATCAAGCCAAGTCGGCATGATCCTAGCCCCTCCAAATCCCATGGGTATGCCGCCAGACTACGCGCTGCACAAGCTGATTTGAGCAATGGGGAGCCGAGCGGGAGCCGGGATGCGCAGGCGCATCCGCCAAAGCCTTCAGGCTCGTCGATACCCACAAAAGGCGTACCATCAGGAGCAGAATTTGTCGTTGACGAGTCACAAGCAGCGGAAAGGCGCACAACATCTAGTCGTGCTCGCTCTGCTTCCACAGGGACTCCGCATTCGGCGACAGGTGAGGGGGAGAAAGTATCATCGCACGAAATGCGCACCTCACTATTGAAACGAAGCATAAGTGGAAGTGAAGTGCCCACCCATTCTTCGGCTCCGTCCTCCTTTCCTGCTACAGCTCGTATAAGCAACTCGTCCTCCAGAGTGCGATCCTTGGCTGCCGGTGAAGAGTTCGGGAGAAGCGCGAGCGGCAATGCCGAGGGTGAAGCAGACGCGACGGTCTCTTCACGCAGTCTCACTGTGGAACAGCTAGAGGAAGAAGCCGAAGAAGCGGATTTCGCCATGCCTCCTCTTCCCGCTGACGGTCGTATTGAGACTGCAAGTCGACCTGTTCGTGGGCCTGATCAGTCCCTGTACGGCCAGAGAGAGGCCGACGAAGAGAGCACGCCAGCAGCGCCCACTACGCCAACACTTCACGTCACTGCTCCAAGCGCTGGGCTAATGCAAGACTTTGTTTTTCCATCGCCTACCACATCTGATCACGGCACTAGTCCGTTGATCGGCTCTGGCACGGGAAACAACTCGCCCATCTCTGGAAGTCCAAGGAGGGGCCATCGCCGAGGAAGGGGTAGTCCAACTATTAGCATATCTTCGCGAGCACCTGCAGATGCTCAAACGAGGGCGGAAGTGGGAAGAGCGCTTGGCAGCCCGTTGTTGGAGGTGCCGCAACAGTGGGATCGCAGCAGCGACTCGGAGGCTGCTCGTGGTGATGAGCGTGGGCAAGATGGGCCCGGGCCGACAAGGAAGCTCGATGAAGAGCCAGAGAACGCTTCCGAGTCTCTTGCAGGGCGACGAAGGACTGTGCGATTCAGTCCTCAGCCAGAGGTACACGAAACCACCCCGCTCTCTTCTCCAGAGCAACCTCAAAGGAGAGGCGGGCCTGCTTCCGACTTTGAAGGCAGGTTCGATCTTTCGTCGAAGAATGCGGCACAGGACAGCAGTCCGCCTGTCGTTGATCTTGAACCTGCTGCCAGGGCTGCTGAGCCTCATGGCTTTGACTTATTAGGACATGACCCTCGCTTTCCCGGCATGTACGAGTCTCCCCTCAAAGAAGCTGGACGCGGGAATTCCTCGCAGGGCTTAGTGCGGTCACAACTCGCACAACAGACACCACCGACCCGCAAAATCAGATCTCCGCCACCTCCACTTGGCTCCCGGACCGCGCAGTCTCTCTTTCCGACCACTCCGCGTCCACCGGGTGCGTTCAAGATGAGCGTAGGATCAAGCAGTGTTGGTGCTGCCCACGGGATCGTACAAAGCAATCAAGATGCAGGCGCTGCTCGAGAGCCCTCATTACGACGTTCCATTGATCGATCTCACTCTTTATCCGCACTCGCCGAGGAAGATGGTTCTCAGGAAGAAATCGATGACCTACAGCAGGACGTCGCAGCGGATACCACACCAACTTCGGCGATCAGCAACCCTCGCGAGTCAACGCCACCTAGACCTTCACGAGGGATGAGCATGTCGGTGATCTCGTCTATGGCGCGCAGCGCTGACGCGTCTATTGCTTCGATCGAAGCAATTGCAGTGTCTTCCTCACGCGATCTTTCTGCTGGAGAAGGAAATACGGGCAGAAGCTTGCGAGAAGTCGCAGTCGAGGGTCTTGGAGCTACACTGGAGCAGCTTCAGCAGGTGCTCAATGCATCACTCGACGTGCCCAACAGGTCCCTCTTGGAGGCGCAGGTTGCTCAAGCACGCGCCAAAGTGCAAGAGCAACAGGAGGCGGAGGAGAAGGAAGCGATCGGTGGAGACGACACAGCGGAAGAGAAGCTAGCCCTGGCACTGCGGAGACGTCAGAAGAGGGAAGAAGACGAAGCGGCGGAGAAGGCGGGAACGGAGCAGATCGAGGCTCTTCGCAGTCGCCTGGGAAAGTACACGGATATCCTCGTCGCCACGCGCAACGAGTTCGGTGCCGTATCGACGTTGGCGCCGGCTGCGACTACGTGGTTCGGCTTCAAAAAGCGGTCCGTCATCATGATGCTGAGCGTGCACGTCGGACTCTACTATGGACTGTTGTTGTTGATCGACCAGAGCTACGAGTACCATCTGCACGCCGCTATCTACGACCCTTACTACACGGGTTTCTATGCGACCGAAGCGTCAGCTTTCGTGCAGGATGAATCGGGAGTGTGGACGACGATGGTCATGGCTGCGAGCAGCGCCATCTCTTCCCTTTCTTCCTTCACCCAACGAGCCGCACCCTCTCTCGTGCGTAACGCGCTCGGCCTCTGAGCGATAGGTCTGAGCTGCACTGGTACAACTGACAGCCAGACCGCAAACGCTGACCAACATTCGCAAACACTGCCTCGTCTTCGGTCGATCTTCGCATTCCCCATCTACTCTTCTGGCGAGGGCTTGAACATCTGAATTTTGTCGGTCCAAGTGTATTATATCACATATCGTCAATCAAAGCACCAGCGTAATCGCCTGAGCCAATACCTCGGCGCAATTAGAATCTGTCAGCAGCTGAAGAGCACGTGCGATGAACAAGCCAGCGTGGCTGACCTTGGCGGCAAGAGCCGTGAGGGTACTGCGTGAAGTGGACGATGAGGAGCGCAAGGCAAGCGTTCGCGCCTCGCCTGTGATCTTAGTCTTACGACGGACGAAGGGTTGCTGGCTGATCCGCGGTGCGTCTGGACGGCCGTCCGACAAGAGCAGCAGAGCATTTCTCGTTCGTGACTCTGTTCCTCGCTGTCGCACAGATGGACTGTATATTGAAAGGTGGATCGGCGTCTGCAGTCCAGCTCAAAGGCAAGCGCGGCACATCTCCAGGGCATGCTGACGCATAGAATGTTCCCAGGTGAACGTCATCATGGCACGCACATCAGCGATTTGAAACTTGTCCCACCGATGAGAGACACGGGCATGCTAGAGGATAGAGTGTAGCAGCAAAGTCAGGTGAGAGTCGGCTGTCGGACAGAGGTCAAGAGGCTCAAATGCAGCTCTCGTCCGCTCAGGGCAACAAGTCAGCTGTCGATTGTCTCAAAAGTCTTCTGTATTGCAGTGATTCAAGGGAGTTGGAGTGGAGCTGCCAACAAGGGAAGAGCAGGCATCATCTTGCTCACGATTACGAAATTCTGAGAGCTGGATATGCCTCGGGCTCTTTCCAATCTTTGTGCACCTGATTTAATCTCAGCATAGACCCTGTCCGCACCAATACTGAGCCTGATATTGTAGGAGTCTTGTAGGCTCCCAGGATGTGTTGTTGTGCGAATAGCAATTATCAGTAGGACGAGTGTGGCTATCGAGCAACATTCGATTGATTGTGCCTGAATATCTTGCCCAATCTTCTTTCACTTCATCAGTACTTGCCCTTCCATTTGCTCTCAGTCTTTTCCAACTGACTTCTTTTTCTGAGCTTTTCCAGCCTTCTTTTCCGCCAAGTAAGCCTGTTCATCCGCCAATGCTTCCGCCTCTGTCATCTTCTTGTCCCCCACGTACCACCCACCGTCGATGGGCTTCCAAAGAGTATGAGGTTTGGTAGTGGTCGAGGTGTGCACCCGACCATCTGGCTGCATTTCCTTGACTGTCCGCACAGGTCCGTAGTTGGGGATCATGTGATCGTGGAAATGCTCCCGGGGCATTCCAACCCCTGCGATTTGCTCATCGGAGTGATCTTGTACTCGCCACTTGCCATTGTGCTCCGTTGTGTGGTTCACGTGGATATCGTTGTGCGTGATCCTGTTGTCATCCTGAAGGAGCATTTAATTGAGCTGCGTTGCATCAAAGTCTAGGCGCACACCAAATTGACTCACCCAATTTGCCGGCGTGACGGGTACGCGATTGTACGTCTTGGAGAACCTGACGCGATGCGCACGCGCAGTGGTGAGTCACGAGGGCAATCGAGCGCGTGTAAGGACGCCGCGTTGCACAAAGCTACGAGCAAGACGGACGCGGATGAATGCTCACTTGTGTCCAGTCTCTTTGTGCATCCTGACATAGCTTTCTGCCACGAGCTGCCCAGTCTGTGGATGTCGAAATTGCGTAGTCAGATGTACTCTAAGATCAGGCAAAATCCGTGGGGAAAGGAGGATGAGCATCTTTGTCACGCCACGCGTGATCTGTAGCCGACTCACTCATCTTCCGGCGCCTGCAATCGCGGTGGGAGGAGGAGATCTTCAGCAAAAAGAAGAGGTGCAGGCCTCTGCGACTGGGTCGAGTCAAAGGGCTTGCTGCACAACTCACCACCCCCTTGTAGACGCCGGCCATTTCTGGCGTTGGCTTGCCCATGATCAGCTTGTTGGCTACCGCGTGATACGCCTTGCCCAGGAATGTTTTGGGAACATCGGCCTCCACGATAGACTGTGGCATGGCGAGCGTGTTGGCTCCGGCTAGTTCTCCCCTGAGATAAAGGCTGACAACTGACACTGGGAATTTCATGCAACACGTCAGCAAAGAGGTGGCCCTAGCAACGACAGTGCTTGCTGAATAACGACGCACCAGGTGCGTTTCGCGCCGTGATCGGTGCCGAACTGACAGAGTGACCAAGTAGCGCCGCGAGGGCGGATGCCCCTGCCAGGCAGCGAGTAATTGTCATTGTGAATCAGCTTACTGTGGTGCACGACAATGACCAGCACTGGCACAGGACGAGAAGAGCGTGCAGAGGGGACAATGTCTCGTAATGGGGCAAGTGCACCACAGACCACCTGCGGCGCTCGCGCTCAAAATAAGTAGCGAGCGACAAAAAGGTCGAACAGTGCGAGGCAGTCGTGAAAGATGTGAAGCCAAAGTCGCTGCGTCTAGGAAGCCGGTGCGCGGTTGCAAAGGGTCTTCCGCTTGTATTTGTAGCGTCAGGGACCGCGCACTGCATTCAGATGCTCGGCTCCGCTGGAATTCGCGACCGCAATCGTCCATTCAGCCTTGGCATAATCGGTGGCAAGGAGAGAGAAAGTGGTAACAGTCGTAACGATGGTAGTCGATCCAACCGCTTCTTGGGCGAGGTGTATCTGCGCCCATTTTTCCCGGGTCAGACTCGCAACAGCAGCGCGCTGACCGTGTCTGCATGGGCACCCTTGCATCGGGTCAATCTCCGTTTTGTGAACGCCAGAGAAATGCTGATGTTCGGTGGCAAAGCTTTCGCTACCATACTATAGTGTTGATCTTCTCGGTAGACGGACTCGTACAGCTGACCTGAGCACGTATTCGTTGCTTCGAAGAGGACGAGACGCCACTGAGCAGGGTGGCAGGGCCAAAAATTCACGGACGGTGTCACAAATGTTTGTGCTGACCACTTGGGATTTGTATTCGCCACTCGTCTTGCCCCGATCGGTGGCGATGATGATGATGATATGAAGCCAGGAAGGCTTCTCAGCAGTTGCGCCTCTTCTAGATTGAGGCTTTTGCTGACGGTGGCGCTTGCCTTGACCTGAGAGGCGTTGTGCGTAAGTGGGTGGCGAGTGAGCAAAGTGAGGCATCGCCCACCTCGCTTGTGTGACGCACGAAGGAAGCCTTTGCTCGCCATCAAGGTCGGCAGTCGTGGACGATTGCTCCCGCTTACCCCTCATCGACTCTACGGTTCACGTAGTGTGCAGAGTAATACAAGTCACCAAAACGAGCGGAAGTGAGTTGTGGGGCGCGAGTTGTCGCACACGCAAAGCAGGGCAAACGTCTGGGCCAAAGGTCGTAGGATCACATTATAGACCGATGGGTGGACCGATTGACCGACCCGCCGATTCGAGCAGAGAGTGTGTACGATTGCAATTGCTTCTCGCTGCACGGTGACCCAGAGCTCGAACGGAAGCTTGGCCTAGATCGCACGCTCAATAGCCACACGCGGTGTTATCGGTCGGGCGTCTGAGCGACGTGGGGGTGTGGTGCTCACAAGGCCATCACAGGGATCTTGCGAGGCTAGCCTACCCATCATGATGCGAGTCTCTCCTGACTGTGAGTCTTCGTGACGTTGAGGGTTTCACGATCGGCTTGCAAGGGTGTGATTCAAACGATCGGCAACATCTCAAATTCGCTTTTGTTCCGACGTGTTGAAGCACTCGAGACTGACCGGACGTCACCGTGACGTATGACAGCGTGCATTGCAGAAAATGTTCAAGGCAAGGAGGAGGGCTGAGCTGCGGCCCTTTGGCGACGTCCGAGTCAGCAAATTCCATCGCCAAGCTCGAGTAGTGCACTCGCACTCGTGTGTGTACCGCACACGATGCTGTCTGAACTCTCAGAAGGTGCGCGGGGGGGTAATGTCGCGCGACATCTGCAGACTCCTCGTGAAAGCACCCACGCATCTTCACACTCACTACCAATCTGAGTGAGTTGTTTCTTCTCGATCGATGCTGAGAGCCACGACTCGTGACTGTTTCTCATGCTCAGTCACAACTCGTGGGAATTCTTTGACTGAACCGCGTCCAACGACCCGGCCGGGCTCCGAGGGTTCGCGAGGTTGATGTTCCAGCTCCGATGTACAAAGGCAGGCTCACATGCAGATAGACCCCACTCCATCTGTGAGTCTTGAGTCTCAATCGAGCTCCGCTCCATGGAGCCCAAATTCGGCGCTGTGCCAAGCGAATGGAGTCGGCGGCGAAGGGAGAGAGACGACAACAACAACGAGGCCGAGTCAAGCACGAAGTTTGCATCAGCTGACGAAGAATCGGGTCGAAGGTGCATGTCGACTCGACTCACACTTGCGACACGCTTGACTCATTTGTGCATGACTCAGACTCACGACTGGTGAAGCCCTGCTGAGTCGAGATTGAGAGTCACGAGTCTCGATCGAGTCTGAGTGTGAATTCGTGGATAGCGAAACGCTTCCCGCCCACCCTAGCTGAGCTTGCCCTGAGAGTGTCTGTCTACCTGCAATAAGATTGATGAATCGACCGTGAACCTCATTTGCACTCACGAGACTCGAGACTCGCCATCAAGAAGAGCAATATTAAGTGCGCATGCAGCGGTCGCGGGTCGGAGTAATGCTGATTGACTCACGATTTTTGACTGTCTTAGAGGCTCACTGCCCGCCGGCGCCTTCACGCGACGTGTACCGTATGCACGTAAATAAGCGAATGCTCGCTCGGTGAGACTTGCTGCTGGTTGCAGCCATACAGCTGCAGCAACCTCAATTAACGTGTCCGCTTTTGACTCGATCGATCGATCCAAGTCGCACATATGTCGCACTCAAGAGTCGCAATCAGGAATGCTGCATGACGAGCCAGGCTAAGAATCAAAATTAATGACCGACAACTTGCCTCTTCCTACAACGCCGAGACAAAGGTCGCGATGAGTGGCGCGGAGGGCTTCATCAGGTGTGCGGCCCATATATGGATGCAGATCATGCTGTACACGCGCTTCAACCCTCTCTGCGCGCGTATAAGCATACGCACACGCAGCACATGCACAGCACATCACGCACACGCATGCAGCCCACCGCGGACTTCCGGCCTCTCACAAGTCGCACCCGCCTTTGCACCTCGCGTACCATCGGCCGGGCCTCGAGTTGGTTTTGCTGGACTCGGCAACGCATCCCGTGACGGCACGTACTGTACGTTGGCCGCCCTACTTTTGCTGCAAAGCGCATGCGGGCTTCATGGCCTTTTAAAAGTCACAAAGGTTCGGTACGCACGCACACTGGTGACTATATATGCGGCCAGCCAAGCTGGACAACATTTGCTTCGATCGAGCGGGACCGTGGCAGGCGGGGTTGAAGATTGGATCGCGAAACAGTGCGAATATACGATACATCGTCGATGAATTCGCGCAGCATATCACGGCTCACGTCCCTTAATTGCAACTTGCCCTCGGTCATTCAAATTGTGATTCACGATTGAAAGGTCAAGTCACAGTCACAATTTGAATCTTGAGTGTCATTTCACTCACAAATGACGTGAGCTCATTTTTGATTCTCATGGCTGGGCGCTGACAAGGAGAGTCATCTCACATCACCCTTCAAACTTCTTTGATTGAGCGCTCGTGGTGCCGCGCAATTGATGAAGTGCGCATTGGGAAAGTCAAATCCACGCTGGTGGACCGTGGGCGGACAACCGTGAGTGCGCCAGCAGCACTTTGACTCGAGGAGACCCAAGACTCCTTTAGTTGTGAGACCGGCTAGTCACCGCTTGCGTGGTACTGAGCAGGAGCCTCATCTTGTCAAGTCAATTATTGAGCGGACCGAGCTATGTGGAAGTAGATCTTAGGTGCCGGAGTTGAAGAGGTCCCATGTACGGCACGGTACCTAAGCTGCGCGACCCGCACCTGTTTCGGTATTTCCCCATCTGCGTCAAAGCGTCCAAGACCAGCAGCAGCAGCGGCGAGTGTAAGCGAGATCAAGCGCGTGAGGCAAGACGAGCAACAAAGCCGCCGCCGTGACGGCATACCTACGCGATACAACCGCCTGATGCATGGAGATATGCGTACGGTACCGGCAGGTCACTGCACCGCGGTGTGGTAATTCCACTGCATACATCCACCCTCCAATTTAGCTTTTGGCCCGCCTATTGCACCCCGCTGTGTTGACAGACTGCAGCTGCAGACTGCATCCCCCTCCGGACTTGCATCAGCAGCTGCAATCATCATCATCAGCAGCACATCTCATCCCTCCGCGTCCTTCCCCACCGCCGTTGTGAAGCGCATTCCACCCCCCTCTTGCCACTTCTCATTCGCCTTCAGCTCGGACGTGGCGGCCCTGCAGCTGCTGCTCAACTTTGCGACAAGCTGCACACAACCCACAGATACCTACATGTACTACTACTGCGCTGGTCCAGTGTAGGAGCTCAGAACCGCACCGTCGCGTCAGGCTTGCGCAGGAAGAATCTCATCGCAACCCGTACCTGCGCCTGGCTAGCGCATCGACGGCGACCAAACAGATCCAAAGCCTCGAACGTGTCTTTTGGGGTAAAGTGCACGCTCAGTCAGGCGTCGACCGAGTCTTCTCAGCACGCGCGCGCCGAATCTCTCAATCATCTGCCCCTCCTCTCCTCTCGCGAAAATCCTTAGAAGTTCTGACCCACGGCCATCATCTCTCTAATTCTCGATATCTACTCCGAGTGTCGAGGCCGCGGCTGCCAGCTGTCACAAGCCGCTTCTCGAGCAACGTGCTGCTCCTCTGCTTCGGCGCATCTCATCGGAGCTCCACAAGCCTGGGTCGTGATGCCCATCGCGGTCGGAGCAGCACCTTCAATTCATATTTCTTTCCCGGCTTCGGTAGAGATGTCCGCTATCCAGTCACAGGGGGGGGCCTTACCAGTTCTACAGCAGGCGCCAGCGGTACGATCTGATAGTATGGATGCAGACGATGAACCGCGGATCCTCAAGCGCACACGACCGATCAAAGCGTGTCAGGCTTGGTGAGTGGAGCTGCCGCTGGAGTCAGGTGGTGTCGTGCTGGCTAAGGTCTCGCAATGATATCTACTGGGTCTCCCGCTGATCGCGACCTCGTGTTCTCTTTTCACCCTACATAGCCGAGCGAAGAAGGTCAAGTGCAATCTCAAGCCCGACGAGCCCGTGTGCGAACAGTGTGCAGCATCGGGCAAGCCTTGTCTCTTCAGGATAGATGATCTCGACCCAACGCTACGCCGCGAGAGGTTTGCGGCTTATGGCCCGCCTGGCGAGAATGCTAGGGTCATAGGCTCCAAGAAGGCGCGGGTCTCGCGACCCAAATCCTCTACTTCCAATAACGACTCAGTCAGAGCTCCCCTTGAAGATCCATCCGTTTCAAGCTTCAGTAGGGCAAAGACCGAGGCGACAGAGGCCGATGGGCTCAGCGGCTCGCCAGAGTCAGGCTCAGATGACAAGTCGAGCGCTAAGCCGAAGTCCAAGGCTAATTTCCGGAGCTGGGCGAACCCTACCAATCTTGCAGCTCCTTCCACAGCTCCGCAGCGACATACTAGGACAGTATCGACGCTTGGTAATGACGCAGTTGGAGCTAGCGCCATTCCAGGCGTGCCCGAATCAAGCCTTCAAAGCGGTCACTACATGCAGCGCGCCAACAGGCTACCGACCGAAGCATACCCCACTGGGACCCATCCCGAGTGGTATGGACATGGATCATCTGGTTCCCTCCAGGCGCCCTCGGTGCTGGCATCAAATGCTGCGGCTCACCCTTCTTTGACATCGCATCACAGAAGCCAGTCACATAGGCCGGCGAGCTCCGCAGGACCGGGACACTCTGCATACACGGATCACGTGGGCCTCCAGATTTACGGCAACGAGCGAACATCTCATTCACGCTCTACGTCCCAGACCGGCGGGCAGAACAGCCAGTCAGGACCTTTGCATCTCGGCGAAGGACTGCACCACCACCTACCTTCCTTCCGCTCTGCCTTTTCTGGTGTCGAGGGCAGCAGCTCCAATCCAAAGCTTGTTGGCCCACCTTTGGGCCATGGCTTCGAAGCGCAGCGTCGCGGCTCCCTTGCGGAGCGCGAAGTGGACCCTGCTGGCGTCCATCACAGGAGCTGGTCCTTTGATCGAGGAAGTGACACTATGCATGGCCTGAATGCTTCGAGCCCGGGCAATCGCTGGACAGCCTTCTCCAGCGCCCGTTCGCCCGCAATTTCGGCCAACCCAAATGCCCCATCGCCCATGTCATGGGCGATCAACACTTTCGGACCTGGAGCAACACCTGGAGGCGCCTACAGCCACGGGACACCTCCTTTCGTCAGGCACTCGCACTCGCCAAGCAACTCGGCAATAGCGTCGTTGAGCGTACACAATGCAGTCACGCACAGGCAAGCTGGACAGTCGCCTCGCAATGCTTTTGAAACCATTCATTCGTCTGGCAAGCACGTGCAACTGCCTAGCCTGGTGACGGATGCAAAGACGAGGAATCGGGCAAGAACGCTTGACGTATCGAGAAGCCCGCTGCCCTGTGCCCTTACTTCAGGCGCCGGATCAGAACAGAATGCCGGCAGGAATCGCGCTGCGGAAGAAGGCGAGTCGAGCGAAGTCTCTCCTTCGGAAGCCAAGCCGCCCATTTTCAGCAGACGCATCGCCCTACCATTCTTCAGATGGTTTGGTGCGACTGCAAACACCCCGGGCATGCGTCGGATCAAAGTCGGTGTGTATCACGAGTCGGATATCGATGCGCCAGGTGAGAGCGCTGCGCCAACGCCTGCCAACAAGCTTGTTGGGCTGCCTCGGCTCTCGTCTGCCGACGAAGTGACGTCGGCACGAGAGGCAGCCCCCGCCAATCCGGACGCTCGGGATGCGAGCTCGGACAAGGCGTTTGCCGGCTCGCCGGCCATGTCACCGCCTATAGATGCCGCGCGGTGGCAGAACGGGACGCATACGCGGGAAGAATCTCGTCAATTGCCGAATCACATCGCGCCTGAATCAACAGTTTCCGCCTCGGCTAGGCTACTGTTTGAAGCTGATCGTCCCCGCTATCCTCGCGGTGATCTTTTGCACGGAGAGTTGATACCTCTGTTCATCAAGCACTTCAAATGCAACTGCTTTCCCTGGCTCAATGACGCGGAACTCACGTCACAGGCCCTCTCAGGAGAGTTGCCGGCTATTTTGGCAAATGCCATTTGCGCCGTGGCTGCTCGCTTCTCCACCCGCCAAGAGCTTGTCAATCGAGGAGCGCCGAAGTCGAGGGGTGATGCTTTTGCGGAGATGGCGAAGACACTGCTCATTCCCATGCTTTCGTGGCCATCGATTGACGTGGTGGAGACGCTCGTCATTCTGAGCTGTGAGTTGCATCCCTCGCCTTCCTTGGAATGTGCTTTGGTGCTGACAAGACCATCACTTGCTTATGTAGACGCCGAATTTGGTGCAGGAGCTGATGCTGGCCTGTGGATGTATGTGGGCATGGCACTGCGCATGGCGACTGACCTCGGCCTTCAGTATGAGGCGACGATCGCCTCGATGTCGACAGAGCGACAGCGCGACCGAGCTCGATGGCTCTTCTGGAGTGTAGTCTGTTTGGACCGCATCACGTGCTTCGGCACTGGTCGGCCGGTTACAGTGAGTCGAAGTGGAAGACTCGATTCACCACGATGACCCATGTATCCGGGCTGATGATCATTTCGCCTGCTCGTCGACAGATTCGCGAGGACACCTTTGACTGCGAGATGCCTAAGCTTTACGATGATCCCTCGTCTGACTTTTACGTTGCAGGGCACATTGTGCGGACGCTGATGCGGCGTGGGCGCATCGGAGACCTTCTCAACAGACCTCCCACCCGCACAAAGGACGAAAGCAGTGCGCACGAATTAGGACAGCGCCTCTCTGCGATGTGGATCGACCTTGTCGAGTATCACGACTCCATGCCCGCTGATCTTCGCTTCTCTGTGCAGACTTTCCGGCGAGCAGCACAAGCTGGCCAAGGTTCTGCTTTCGTGTACTTGCATGTCCTGCTGCAGTCCACCATGAGCTTGCTCAATCGCCCGAGCTTGATGCGCCGCTTTGAAGGCATCTCTCAGGCACCACCAACGAAGCTCAGCGCAATCGCCCGACATGCTGCTGAGACGATCACTAGCATGTTGCGTTTCGCCGACGACCAAGGCAGAAGCGTTGGCGAGTCGGAGCTGAGCTTCAATCCCTACCTCGACACGAACCCATATCTCGATCAGCTGATTCTGCCGTGCGGCAGAGCCTTCCTATCGGAGCGCGAGGACGTTAGAGAGGCTTTACGGCGTTTGGGCTGTGCGCATGGGCAAGGGACCAACTCTCGGCCAGAAAGTCGGCATGGGGAGCGTGCTGCCGAGAGCGAGGCAGCATGGGGTCCTCTGCTTTCTAGCCGGCAGTACGCAGAAGCTCATCTCAAGAGCTGCCAAATGGTGCTCGACAGACTTGCAATCTATTGGGGGGGTGCTGCTTGGCCTGCTCGCGCGATGGAACAAGAGTCTGCGGGCGGTATCACGGACACTATCGATCCTGACGCGCGGGATGAAGACGCTCAGCCTGCACCTGTGCGTGACCTTGAGATGGTGCTCACCTGGGCGAGACGCAAGGCGCGGGTGAGACGCGCTCGAGCGGGAACGCGGACACCTGGAGCTTCACGAAGACCATCCATCGCGCCGGGTAGCGCAGCCGATGCGGCGGGCCAGTCTGCTGATCAGGACGGCGCCATCGATGTTAATGCTGCATTGTCGGGCCAAGGTGCCGAAGCAAGCGCTTTCGGTGATAATGGTACGACGGGAAGCCTGAGCCCTTTGGGTCTCGGCTTTGGATTCTCGGGTACCATTGCCGACGCTGCAGATATCGACTTGCAGGCGTTGATTTCGGCTTGGGCTACAGAGCAGCCGAACAATTTCGGGATGGAGGCACACAACGCGAGCCATGCTAGTGCTCACTATCAACCGGCGCAAGACTGGAATCCGGTTCCGCCCCTGACCGCCACTCATGATGGTGCGTACGCGCAGTATACCGGTCACCACCCACACCACGGGGTTGCTTCGTCGAATGACGCTGTCAATTTTGGGCAAAATGGAATCGTCGGGGATGTCAACGATCTTGGTCTCTCCGCGATTGAAGCTATGCAGCTGGAGGAATTGTTGTCGGCAGGCGCGCCTGGTGGCGATGGAGAAGTTTTCCCGATGGACCTCCTCTCGGAGGATGTGTCACCATCGCTGTACAACGAGATGCCACCGGCATTGTTCAACACGTTTCGACTCGGTGCGCCCTCGACGATGGTGCCCTCTCAACGAGCAAACACGTACGATGCCAATGCGCAACGACAATATCAGCGACCCTCGTAGAAGGACGCACGCACCCTCCGCACCTGACACGCTTCGCCAGCGCTCAAATCGCCTTGTGTGTTGGTTTGCTTGCGCACCAAACTTTGCTGAACCTCTCTGTACTACACGCCATATGATCGATTGGCACGTCCCATCTGTACCTTATAAGCTACTGTCCGTGCAATCACATTTTGAAGGGTCATCTACAAAATGGAGCAGCTTTAGCCGCAATCTAGACAGGTCTTTGCGATAAAATTTCGTGAGTGATGAGACATCTTATCCGAAGGCGTATAGAGAGACTTGAAAATGCGAGCGAGGGCGTAAATGTGAGAATGTGGTGACGAGATCATTCGGGTTCGCGTGTCTCGAGGATCCTTTTTTCTCGTTTGCTCTTTACATCGAGTACAAGTGGGAAGGATGAGAGAATCGGTTAATAGTAGTGGTACAGGATGGGACGATGGAAACTAGGTCGACGAGTCAAGTCGGGTAAGTGCGACAGGGCTAGTAAGGTAGAGTGTGACGCTTGCGGCGGCGGACGGCGCGTGGGACGGATGCGTACCCAGTCGAAGTGGCTCATGCGTTTGCCAAGATCTTGCATGTGTAGGACCTCTGATGTCGACGGTCGGCAGCTACCGGTGGCACGGCGTGCGATTTCCCAGCGTAGGTTGTCCCTGCGAATCCAGGTGAAGCCAGAAGGAGATGAGCGGCATCGGTGTGGCCGTTGAGTAGGGGTCCTCTCTTGTTCAGTGGGCGTTGAAGTGACCCATTAGGAGTCGTTCGCCCATTGGGCTTGGCCTTCGCTTGATCGCCGCTCCAGCAACCATGTTGCCGTTGGCATCGAGCGTCCCGCTAGCTCTCCTTCCACGACTGAGTCTGCGCTCGGTGATAGGAGGACTCGATGCCGTTGCGCCGGTGATAGGAGCGCCGGGACTCCCACCGGTGCTCGCACTGCTAGCCACGCTCAGACTGCGCGAGTGTCCGCTCATAGGAGTACTGTTTGGTTCGGCAGCCAGCGGCGGAGAGATTGGTGTCGTAGTCGACAGCGACGCGGATTTGCCAGACTGACCGATGGAGAAGCGACGCAGAATGCCCATAGCTTTGTGCTCCCTCTCTGGGCTATGAGCAGCAATGCGTTGAGAAGCCCATCCGCGACCGACACCTTCCGAAGGCAAGCCGCTGCCCATCGGGAAGGATGGTACCCGCCCGAGTGGGGCACCAGAGATCGGCGAAGTAGCCAGCCCATTACCTTCAGTTGAGATTGGGGCTGAGAAAGGCTCTTTGGGTGTCGAAGGAGCGATGTCCGATTCGGAAGAGGTGCTGGAACCTTGACTAGTGCCAGCCCAGCTGTAAGCGGGGACGGTGGGAGAAGCAGCAGAAGTGATGGGCATAGGACCCGGCCGACGAGCTTGAGCGGATCCGGCAGGAGCTAGACCAAAGTTGCTCCTTCCTAAGATGGGAGACAACAGTGGAGGGCTGACACGATGAGGAAGACTGCCAGAGCCTCCGCCGTAGCTGAAGGATGTCCTGTGTCCTTGGGGTGAGGCATCCGGAGCTTGGAATTCGCGCGCGGCATTGGGATGCATCGCAGAAGGTGCGGGAATGGGCTGAGGAGTGGCCATGTTGAAGCGCAGAGTTGGGCAGGCGCTCAGAGATCGTGGATGAACAGAATCTCGCAATCAGTGTTGATCGGTTAGTTCGCTCGATGATTGAGCAGGTTGCCAGCTCGATTTGGACCGCCTGTTTGTGAGAATTTGGAACTCGTGCACGAGTCCTTGACTATCTGCAACGAGACGATGAGGCATTTATCGGAGACCTGTGTGAGGGATCCGCCAGCGCTTGCAGGGATGCACTGGCTGAGTCTAGCTCCTGACTTTTGAGCTGCTGGCGAGGGGTGACGGAGGGAGCCACGTTGTTTTGCCAGGATCAAGCCGAATCAGAAGCGTGGCGGCAGTAATGGTGGTGGTGGTGGTGATGGCGGTCAGGGTGGCCGGTTCAGGTTGACTCTGATGTGCAAAGGCCCGGATCTGGATAGCGAGAGATCTCAATTGCTAACTTACAGCTCATCCCTCTCGCGTGACCATGCAGCATCCGTCACAGATAAGACCCTCACTTTTGCGTATACAGTAGGAGTCGCGCTCGGACTCTCGGCACATCGCGTGTGTCTTTAGATATGAGACTAACATGGATGCGCAGTCAGATCGATTACTCTCCAGAACTGAGGGTCTGCACGTACCTGCCCCGCAACATACAGCCATGGCACGGTCAGTAGTATAATGTGAATCATCTTACCGTCGCATCGTCGCGCTTACCGGCAGAGCACCGCGGCTGAGCATGCCACCTTGGATGCTATAGCTCGATCGCTGCTCAGCTGACCCGGCCACGCTCGTGCCGAGGCGGTCAGCCGCCCTTGTGCTAGAAATGAGAGGGAGGGATCAGAGGGAAAGCGCTTCATAAGCACGAGCGCACAGCCATCAGGGCCACAAAAAGTACACGTACCGCACCTTGCTGCTGCTGCTGCTGCTGCCGCTGCGTGCGTGTGTGCGCGTGTGCGGCACCACATCAGCCACTCGGACGCAGGGCGATGCATGCATGCAGCATGCAGCCCGGCACACTTGATCCACAGCAGCAAGTAAGCGTACGCAGCTACATGTGTCTTATATAGAGAGGCATCAGCCCAGCTTAATTCGCATCCAACACCCATGCAGACTTGGCCACCAGGCCCGTGCGCGCGCGCAAGTATACCGTACATTATATGCAGTCAAGCCCCGCAATTTCTTCTGCTGTCGGAGTGGGGTCAATCTAAGCGCGATCATCAGCAGTTGTGAGTCGTGAGCGCCGGCAAGCGCGGGCAAAGTGCGCTCCAGCAGCTATAGCTGTGATACACACACACACACACACACACAGCATATATATAGAGGTATATGTATAGCTGACAGCGGGTATAGCGCATCAGTCTATGGTGCCGCGGCAGTATCAGAGCTGAACATGTCGATGCATGGTCTCGTCTCTGCGAATCTTGCTCCCGAGTGATGGGTGCGTGCATCCATCCCAGCATGATGCATGGACGGACGGACGCTTTGAACGCCATGCAGACAAGTCACGAGTACAAGTGGGTGCACGAGACGGTGTGGCTCGCGTCTAAACACAATCGTCACTTGCAGTCAAAGTCGCGCTGCATGGTCTCTGGCGATTGTGACGATCGGGGTCGAGAGCATGCTGCCTGCCTGCCTGCCTGCCGGCCTTCCCTGCCGCTCACTCAGCCCCTTGCGGCCGGATCTGGACTGAAGCGCTAACACGATGACTCACACTGTGGCTCAACTACTTGTGACCGACCGTATTTGCACGGCACAGTACAAGTGACATATGTGAGCAAATTGCACCTTGACTCGATACTTCCCTCTTGCGTGTTGATGCGGCACGCGAATTCCATTCGTAATTATAAGCGTGTCTGCTCTAGCGCGAAACCATCTCGCCGCGCCGTGTCCGCACGAGAGAGAGAGGCCGGCTGATCTAGCTGATGAGAGAGAGCTTCGCCCTTTCGGTGCTCCTCCACAGCAGCCACAGCGTGAGTGTGCCGTGTCCCGCGCGACGCTTATTCTTCATTCACCGCTCGCCTAGCATCAGCAGAGACGATGCGCGGATAGAAGCTCCGACATGGAAGATGTGAGCATGCATGGATGATCATCACCTCCTCGTTCAAGGACTTCGCACTCGCATCATGCCTTTCCTGACTTTTCTGGCCCACAAACGACGCGCGCTCCCCAGAGGAGGCTGATGTTGCTTATCACTTGCACGGGATGGTATGCAAATCACGACTTGAATCCGAATCCTGCCCACGCTCGTCGAGCAGCAACGCCCGCACCCGTCACTTATGGGTGCGTGGTCACGTCACGGCTTCCAGCAGTCACTCTGCTGTCCATCAGCCATCCCAAGTCTAATCGATACACAGGAGCATCATTCGAAGCGACGCGCGGAAAGTTTTGCGAATTGAAAGCCTTAACAGGAGCGGTCTGAGAACCGCGTTGGTCCAAACGAGGCAAACACCCAACCTACGTCTGATTCCAAGCAGAAAAGGGGAACGGCAGAGGATCACCACCATCTTGACGTCATTGTGTATTCGCATCTTGCTTGTATAGTGCTACATGAGGAGAGTTATGCAATGCTCTTTAAGCCTTAAGACCGATGACCTCACCGTCCTCGACCTCGAGAGAGTCGAAGAGTTTGGCTGCCTCCTTGGCAGCCTTGATACCGGAACCAAGCATACCACCGAAGCTGGCACCGCAACGCTGTTGACGAACAAGAGGTCACACGCAAATTCGTGAGCAAAATTAGCTGAACCACAATGTCGAGAGGCTGACCAAATCATGTTGGACTCACAGGGTGACCATCAGCCTCGCTGAGCTCCATGCCACCGGTGATGAGACCAGCAAAGATCTCACGGGTCTGGTTGACAATGACGTTCTCCGACTGGTTCATGTCGAGAGGGCGCATGTCGCCGAGCTTGATGAGACCGGCGCTCTCGAGACGCTTGACGCTAAAGGCTCCGAAAGGACCATCGTGGCCAGCGCAAGAGACGATTACGGGTGCGGTGATGCTCTGAGGGTCCATGCAGCTCTGCAGACCATGAGCAAGGGTGACGAGGGTCCAGTTGGTGACGACACCGTTGACACGTTGCGTACCGCTCTGGTCACGTTTGATGATGAGGTCCTCGACGCAGGTGGCGTTGAAGAGGGTCACGTTGGGCAACGCCAAGGCTTTGGACAGGATGGTGGAGGTGAATTGCGCAGCGTGTCGGACGACAACGTATGCACCCTCGTCCTCGTAGGGAACACCAATCTCGCGGAGGAGGCCATCAGCGGGCTTGCGGATGACCATAGGAGTCATGAGCTAGAAGAAGAGCGAGTCAAAGAGGAGTACATCAGCTTTCATGCTCCATTTGCTCCCCATGTCAACGAGGACGCGTGTCGACTCACCTGGCCGCCAAGCCAAGCGCCGCCTCCGGGAGCAACAGCGGCTTCGAGGACGGTGATGCGCAAGTCGGGACGAGACTTGCCGAGGTGGTAAGCGCAGGTGAGACCAGCAGATCCAGCGCCAATGATGACGACATCGGACACGGCAGAGCGCATCATGCTCTCCATGTACCTGATACGTGAAAATAGGCAAATTCGTGCAGACACCGCGTTGAGCAACACACCTTCGCAAGACCAGGCTAGTCATAGCGAGCGTCTCGCCTTCTCACCTGGAAGTCATGGCACGGCTGGTGTAGCTCTCCTTGATATCGGCGAAGCGGTAGTTGCCCTGCGTGAAAGAAGAGTAGGCGCACTGTGAGATCCTTGCCCTTTACGCGAGGCGCACATGCCGCAACTCACCTCATAGTCCTCGACGGGCTCGCGGCCCTCCTTGATGGGATGGCTCTCGCGAGGGACGCTGAATTGCTGAGAAGCCTGAGTCTCGGCGGCACGAGCCTTGAGAGCGGCAATGTCAGCAGGAGCGTTGCCGACGGCAGGCTCAGCGATGGGAGCAGCGAAGGATGCAGTGGGAGGAGTCATGGTGGGCAACGAGAATCGTCGAAGGAGGGGATGAGTCTTTTGGTGCTGATCAGCGAAAGGCAGCAAGTGGTTGCGTGATGATGACTCGGTCGAGATGGCACAGCTGGGACTCGAGTTTATATACCTCGGAGAAGCAGCTCTGCCCCCTCTCGCACAAGATAGCGCATTTCACCATCGTCTGAGTGGCCCTGCGCCCAAAGGGTCCTTGTCGGAACGTTTTGAGGAGAGTGGCCCAGATACTACAGTATCTACTTTGACTGGCAGGGTGCCCAGTGGGATGTCCGTGTGCATCGCCTTACGCCATGCCACGTCTTCGCATCATGAACATTCGGATTGCCGCGAGGCGCCGTGATTGGCTATTGAAGAGACTCATCAGATGGCGCACTGATTCGCTCAGAGATCCCGCATCAATCTCGCCTCCCCTTCCCCCAACACTTGCAACACTTGGGAACTTGATTCACGATTGGCACGATTTAAAGCTTTGCAGTGGGCATGTGCGTGGACTGTGGACAAATGTCCATCAGCAAACAGATCTTGGGAGGTCCATGATGCAGCACGCACGCTGGCTGCCCAGCAAAACCCTGCCTGCTGATGCTGATGCTTAATTGGAAAGCGACGAGTCAGCAGCAGCAGCAGCAGCAGCAGCAGCAGACCGACCCTATCTCGTGGCGCTCTATCAGTCACAGCCCAATTTTGCCTCCGAATCAAGCAATCCTCTCCTCAAGGCCTATAGCTGCGTGATTGGATGGGGATGAAGACTCGAAAAAGCCCCAGCAGAAGCGAGCGGTCTTCACTTTGTGTCGCTTAAATGTGCTCCGTGCGCACCTTTCGGCATGCTGCTGCATGCGCAACCAACCATGCAACCTACTTCTGTTCCCTCTGCTCTTCCGCCATCCTCTTGTGCTCGGCATGACGGCGCGCGCGTGACTCGTTCTTGCCACGACGCATTCCATTCCCTAAACATATACTCACCACGCTTCTGAGTATGCACCGCTCTGCGAGCCAAGCCATAAGGCACGAACACATGGAGTCGTCGCACGAGTTGCGTTCAGCGTGGCTGCTGCTAACGACAATCTAGCACCGCGCTGACGCAACGTACAGAAAGGCTGCCGCGTGGTGTCCATCTGCGAGAAGTTGGGTGTCTGGCCTTTAGCTCGCTTCAGGGTGCAGAAGAGTATAGCGGCCATGCGAGTAGTGAGTCGATCTGACCAATGGTAATCAACGCTTCACGCTAGACCATGCAGCTGGTACAGTACAGGTCACCAACTCGAACACCATGCAAGAGCAGGGAGAGAGAGCTTGAATTCAAATCGGGAATGCTCGGCGCAACGTTCTGCGCCACTCGAACCTACAAGCTTCCATCCTTGAACCCTTTGCAGAAAGCCAGCCGAGAACGCTTTCGAGAGAGAGAGAATTCACACTGACAAAGTGCCGCTCCCTCCCCCCTCATCCACATCGATTCGTCGACTTGGTGCATAGCTCGCTGCTGCTGCTGCTGGCGGCACGCTCGATCCTTCTCACACGTCGCGATAGCAGCTGCTGCTACAGGTGGCTTGCGCACGGACGCACAAGAAGAACTCTTGATGCTGCACGCAATGTGAATCCTAACTCACACTCGTGACTCATCGTGACTTGATTGATGCGCGCTTGCATGCCGCGCTATACCTGCGACAAGCCAAAAGTTGGCTCGAGCGTTCGACGAGCCAGCCCGTGCACCTTCGCAGTTGTGAGTCTTGATGCCTGCCTGCATGCATGCGCGTGGCAAATTGACCACGCACGCATGCATCGCAGCAGCTGCAACTTCCAGCGCATGATGCGGCATCATCAAGGTTCTGCTTGAGTACTGATTTCGCGAACAGCAGCAGCAGAAGAAGAAGAAGAAGAAGAAGAAGAAGAAGAAGAAGAGCATGAGAGCCGTCTTCACCTGTGGATTGCGTCTCTTGCAGTCGTGAGTACTCAATCCAGCAATGGCGATGTCGACGATGCCCTTGAGCGCAAGAGATTGCCGAGGTACATGTCGCGCGACTTGGGAGAGTACAGAAGAGTCGAAGTTGACTCTACGAGAGACCGTTGCATGCGATTTCCCCTCTCGGTGTCATGTACAAGTGGTGTAGGGCAGGGAAGCAAATTGAAAAGGCACAGGTAGAAGGGTATTGAAGATTAGAGGATGCGGATAAGTGTTCATTGAAACATGAGCAGATTCTCATCAGAGAGGATCATGACGCAGCTAATCGGTGCGCGCTCTCAGCGAGTCTGTTCAACTGTTGGCGTGACGACCGGAGAAGCGTCGACCCATCCCTCTCGAGCCGATTGCGATTCTTGCCCGTACGAGTCGACGTTGACCTGTTTGCCAGTCGTGGAAGCGCGAGTAGCGGCGCCCATTAGCCTGCTCCACATGGTCAAGCCGTGCCTCCTCTTGCCGCCAGCCACCTGCCTTTCCGCAGCGCTCTGACGAGGAGCGCGAGTCAAGTGTTCCCTGGCCCAGTCTCGCTTGCCCATGCCCGCTTCGTGGTGCTTGAGCCTCAGAGAAATGCGCAGGAGCTGCAATGCGTCCTCCGTATCCCGTCTGCCGGCCAGTGCGCTGGGAGGTGGAGTCTCGTCGCCCAGATCCATGGGTCCAAATCGAGCCAAAGTCTTCCAAGATGCGTGCTTGCCATACGGCTCAGCAACACCTCTTCTAGGCTTGATCGCGCCGTTTTCGTCCTTCTCGGGCGGGTCGAGCAGTCCAGCTTTTGCCGCTCTTCGCAGCATCTCGGCAGCTTTCGCTTCGTTGCGCGCTCGCCTCTTCTCCACCCGACGAGCTTCCTTTTCGAACTTCTTGTCCCACTGCCGCTGACCATCCAAGTATCTGCGCACTGGACCAGCTTTGAAGATCCCAATTTCATTCTTGTCCATGCGCAGAGCCTGCAGGGCTGATTCGTCCTCGAGCGCTCGGACCTGTCCGCGGACGTCGACTCTTTCGCGGATGAACATCAGGTCAGGTCGCTATTGAAGCAAGAAGCGATGTAGTCAGCACCATCAAGGCAGACTCGCGCGCACGCGCCCTCATAACTCACCCGAAGTGGGACCGCACCATCATACTGATTGGTGCTGCCAAGCGTTACATTCCTTCGGCGCTTCTGCTTCAGTTCCTGCTTGGATTGCACCGGTCCGTCAACCACCTCCGACCCAGAAGCCGCTGCCGCGTGCGCTTGCGCGTTCGCATTGGCGCTGCTCTGACCATTGTTGAGAGCTGCGCTGGAGACAGGGGTCGCTGTAGCAGGGGAACCTACTTGGTCAGTGCCGCTCATCTTAAGGGAAGCGGAGGTGTTCAGGGGAGCCAGATTTCGGGAGGAGCGCGATGAGGCGCTCGTGGTGATCGTGGAGGGAGGAGCGAGTGAAGGAGAGCCGCCATCGGATGGCGTCGATCGTCGTCCGCTTTGTGGATCCAACTCAGAGTGGCTGTGTCCGGTCGAGTGCACAGGAGGATCGCTGGGAGCGTCGGACGCGCCTGTCGACGCTTCTTGCAGACGTGGAAAGGGGTTGATCGCGTTCGTCGGGGCGCCAGTGACATGCTTGACCATCGAACAAATGGCTCTGTAAGCGTATCGCGCAGAGGTTGTGAACGCGAACAGTGTCAAGACATGGCACTGCTCGTCGAACACTTGCAAATGCACCTTTGTTGGGCTGTTGTTGTACTTTTCCGCATTCTGGCGCGCGCGGGCATTCTTAGCGAGCAGACCATCGTTGAGGGGATATTCGGCAGGCTTCGCAGCTCGGTGAGCGAGGTAGATGATTTCGTCACGAAGCACCTCCGCGTCGCCCGCGAGTATGTAAAGGGGCGGTAGACCGCCGAGAGAACCTTGCAGAACCGGCGAGCAGAGTGGATGAAAGACCTGCTCATTGGTCGCGTACAGCTGCACTTGCGAGCGCAGCTCGACCTTTTCTCCATTCTTATCGTGGCTGAGTGGCACGTACATTGGCTCGGCCTTCAAGTGCTTGGGAGGAGCGGGAACAGCAATGTCGTCTTCACTTGGCTTTGAATTTGCTTTTTGATCCTCATGAGTCTTTGGGCCCGATTTGCTGTTCGAAGAGGTCGCTGCCGCGTTAGCCGCTGCCCCACTTGTCTCCGCCTGGCCTGCCTCGGACACTCCTGAAGGTACCTCGAGGTCTGGCGACCGGTGCGAATGGCCAATGTAACTCATCAGCCTTTCTTTTGGCGTGGTAGGTCTACTCTGCTGCGTCGACTCCTTGGGTATAGCAGGCACTGGCCAAAGAGTAGAGGGCTTGTGGATGAAGCCATAGCGCGGAATGATGTCGGTGTCTGTATTCTGTAGGATGGACTCGAAACTGTGGGACATGTCACACCAGGGCGAGATCAGAATGGCCCCTGCAGGCGGGGGCAGATCCATATCCCGCAACACGGCAAGTAGCGCAAGAGCAAGGTTACCTCCTGCGCTGTCTCCAGCTATCACCAGATTGGATGGATCCACGGCCTTGTGCTTCGCCTCGGACGGAGGCTTGGTGAGATAGAAGTAAGCAGCGAGAGCGTCGACGAGGGGACAAGGCCAGGGATAGCCTGGAGCCTTGCGGTAATTCGGCGCAAAGACTCTGCCGCCAAATTTGCGAGCAAACCGCACGAGCGAGAAGCGGTGCGTGTTCAGACTCCCAAAGTATCCGCCACCCCGTGAAAACGCGCAGGAATAGGTTGTGATCTTGGGTCAGCGCTGGCGCCAAAATTTGGATTCGGGGCCGCATACTCATCATGGATGTACAGCATGACGCGCTTGAGCCTGTCAAATTCTTCGTAATTCTCATCTCCAAATTCTTCCTCGTCGATCTCTATCGTTGGAGCTTGCTTGGAGTCTTTCTGTTTGTGCTGTTGTTGTTCGCGTTTGCTGGATCGTTTCTTCTGCGTGTCTGCCCTCACGTGTCTCGGGTCGAGCCTCTTGGACACTTGGCGCCTAGCAGCCGCCAATTTGCGCACGGCGGGACCATCCGCCTTGGCATCGTTGGCCGAGGCTGAAGCCTGAGAATGTCGAGCATCCTCATGCGCTTTACGCTCCTCTGCCTCCTTCGCAAGTTTCTCGGCTTTCGTTGCCGACCTCCAATCAGAGGTCTGTGCTATCCACTCGGCCTCTACCCCGCTCAGCCCACGAACCTGCCACCACTTCTCGCCGCCGACCACGGTTTTGAGATCATCTGGACCAAAGTACTCGATGAGCACCTTGGCGGCTTGATCGCACGACGACAAGGGAATCAGCACGGGCACGCAGGTGGCCCATGGCTGAGATGGAACATGTGTGTTGGTACTAGGTGGAGGGAAAGGAGGCAAAGGGTTAGGAGCTTTAGTCCAGGGCAAAGATCGCCAATCAACACCCATCTCACAGCCGCCATGGCGCATACACGCTGTCGCAGAGCCTCAGACTCACAAGACCTGCAAGGATTCGACAGTGTCGTGCGTGGCCACCTCGATGAATCGCTTGACCAGAGCAAAAGCTTCGTGAAACAGGAACTCGTCCTTTGCCTCGGTGTGCCTGTCCTGCTTGTCCTTCTTTGCCTGCTTGTAGTAGTGACTGAAGAAGGTCTTGATGATTGTGGGAGTGACGTTGGCCACAACGCCAAATGTGGTGAGCGTCATCTCTTTTGTATAAAGCCGTTTGCTCGGATCATGGGGTGCGCGCGACAGACGACTTCAAAACTTCTGGCAGGGTTATGGTCGTGGGTAGGTAAGGATGTTTGTTTGCTGTGCGATGATGATTGCGAGTGGATGCTGCTACGCTGCCAATTTCCAGCCCGTCGATCATAGCGCGAAGATGCTCCTCGTCGACTTTCTCGGAGCTCCCGCTCGGTGCTTGCACGGAACCGGGGGAGATGACGATCTCGAATGAAATCGCACACGCTGCTGCTGCTGCCCGGGCGGGGTGCCAAGGCCGGCGGCCTTCTCTGCCTGCAAGTCCTTGACCCCGCAGAGCGCAGGGCTTGCAAGCGCGCTGCTGCAACGGACCGCAATATAAGGCACAGTCTTGACTCACCGCCAAAAGGGGCGCCTCTGCAGCCATACCGCATATAGGCCGCAAAAACGATGAACTGCTGAAAAGTCAGCGTCACAATCAACATATCAACACTCGTGACTCAGGAATCAAGGATCCACGCTGCAAAAGGGAAGCTGCTGGCGAGCATCTTGCTTCCACGCTGCACGCGTGCTGATGCAGAGTGGAATCATGTTGCAGCTCCTCACTTCACGATTGCGACGCACAAATAGCTGCGACCTGCAACTCTATATGAGAAGCTGCCTATTTGAAAAGCAGCGCGGCAGGCGTATGCGAGCGCAACAACACACAGGCGTCAGGCTTGCCTGCGTAGCAAGCATATGTATCATGCATGTGGAGGTCGGTGGACGTTCGCGTCTTTGCTCTGTGCATGCTTGGTGTGGTAGGTGAGCCGTGGCTGTGCGGAGATTCTAGCTGTACGCGGCGCGATGGGTGGTCCAGGTAGAGTACAGGTACAGCAGTGGTATCCCTATATCTGCACACGTATCACGAATGCAGGGCGGCCTTCAGTCAAGTGTGAGTGTCGAGGCTTCACCCATGGCGCATTTGTGCGAGTGTGATAAGGGTCGCAGATGCAACTCGCTCGTAGGCAAGTCTGAATCAAATGCTGTTGCCGAGGCTAGCTCGATCACAAGAAATCTGCTCGATCGTCAGCGCGGCAACTGGAAGTGAGGGCAGACATGCCGCTCTCGTACGACAGACTCGGCCACATCCGCGCCTTATATTTAAGAATAAACTCACAAATACATACATACACCTTTGACTTTGACTCATTCAAAGCTGCACGTGAGAAGTTTTCACTCGACTTTAGAAACCGTGAACAACGCAAAGCGCTCGCCCACACTACCCGCTGACCATCCCTTCTTGCCTCACCTCCGCATTTCAACGGAGACACCCTGCTGCTCAGCACTCCTATTTCCAGGCTCTCAAGTCGGCGTTTCAGATGGAGCAGAAGGCAGCGGGGCAATATGCAAGGCGAATCTGCCAAGTCTGATGCGACAAGCAGGATCAGATTGCCAGACTTTCGCGATGTGACACGAAAACTGAGTGATGCTTGTCGTAGTGAGTGACGGAGAGGATGCCATCTGCCGAGTGTGGGAATGCTGCTCAGCATAAGCATTCCCACCTCACTTTCCCGGCTTCTGGAGGCTTGGACAATGAGACGCTGGTGCATAGCGAAGGCTTTGCACTGCTGGACTCGATGGGCGCCATCGAGGTGATGGAACCTCGGATGGACAGCGGCATCTTTCCTGTCCCGCACGCTCTCGTAGCAGAGTGCGATAGGCCTCCTTTATCGTTATTGGGTGAAGATCATACAACGCCTGCATTTGACGTCACTGCGAAGCTCTCGGCCGAGGAAATGTGTTGGGTGATGGACAGATTGTTAGCGTGCGAGGTGAGAGTTCTGTAGCGCGTCTTGACCCTGCTATGCTCAAGCCATCTCGCTGAATCCCTTGAGCTACAGGTGGCTTGGCACAGAGGAGCGCCATTGTCTCAGACCATCTTCACCTGCCTATACATGCACCATCTGCCCTTGGCCAGACCCATTTCTCTCGCTGCCAGCTTGCCAACACAAGCGTCCTTGCTGTCTCGCGTTTTGCGGCCATTCTTGCTAGGTGTGCTGAAAAGCATGCACCTCGTCTGGGATGAATTGGTCAGAGACAATGTCATCGATGTGGGTCGAGACGTGCCGCACCTGTGGCTCATCTACAGCGCAGCCGATTTTGACGCTCTTTTGTTGCTCTGAATGCCAGGGCGAAGACTACTTCGGTGACAAAGCTGGAGTACATATTGCCGAAGAAATTCCTGTGGGTGACGTACTCGATCAGCTGGAAGAAGCGATTCAGTGGCTAGACTCGGGTGCACGGGGCGATAAGGAAGGCGAAAGTGCAGGTGAGACGCAGGCAGTCTTCATGCTTTGGTGCAAACAATTACTCATACCCGCAGATCGCATTCGCGGCACTCCTGCCTCTCCCCGAAACAGCCCTTTCAACTACTCAGCTGGTTGCGTTGAGGCATAGACTTGAGCTGCGATTCGTGAGTAGCTACTTTTGCGCCTCTGGCGGAATCTCGAAGCACTCTGCAAAGCTGACGAGAGCGTGTGCCGCGCCCCCTAGCTGTTTCTCCATAGCGTGGCCCTGCTGGCGTGTGGAAACACCGTGCGAAGACTCGACGCTTCATGGGTATTGGGCCGTCAAGCTACCCAGCTGCAACACTCAAATGATGCACTCAGCGCTCTGCCCACCGCCCTTGACAAGCTAATGGGAGTCAATGAACGACTTGGCCCTCATCGAGAGGTTAGCCCGGTCCTTCAGCGATTGGCGTACCACAAGACAGGAGCTTATGATGCACCATCAGGAAAATCAAGAGCTGCTTTCGACACGAATTTTGCAAGACGGCTTGCCTCAGGTAGTGGCAGGCGTGCCGGAATACCTCCGCCAGCCCCTGTTGAGCTTCCAGCCCCTGTAGAGATTTACACCTTCTTCAAGGAATCTGTTGCAGGGCTTAGAGCGGTGCATAGCATGTACAGAGAGCCGTCCTGGCGAAGCTGGAAGGTGAGCGGTGCGAATCAGACGCAAAGTAGCCTGCGCACTGACCGCTCTTGAGCGCGTTGAACAGAATGCGATGAGCGAGCAAGCGTTGCAGTTTCAAAGCGCGCCTTCTACGGCATTCATCCGCTCAACTCTATATGTACGTTGGTTTACCTACCAATCGCTCCATAACCACTCGGCCAAAGGCTAACTCTGCCACCTCGTCACAGTCACTGATCTGCTCCAACAACGAAGCCTCATTTGGGAAGCAGCCCTTGACCTTCCTCTTCAAAGACATGGTGCAGAGCGCCACAGGCTATTCGATCGATCGCATTCAATCCGGGATTGTGGATGCAGGGACTGTTGAGGCAGCTCCATGGGCGAAGGAGCAAGAAAGTCGAACCTCAGATGTGCTCGCAATTTTGGATTCCCTGGAGTGGTTCGTTGCACGTGCGGCAGGCCAATTGTCGGGCGTGCTCGGCGCGCTGGCTCAAAACAGAAGTCGAGGCAAAAGACGCCTGGCGAAGACGTATGCGGACTGGCTTCCTCTTTCGGAGGAAGCTGCAGAATTGGGCACAAAGATCAGACGCGCTCTCCCAGTAAGTATAGGTGCTCACTCTTGGCCAGGCTGCCCTCGCTGACTTACCGTCGACTGCTCCAGGCGGACGCAGCAGCGTTCCACCCTGAGGCGTTGTCCGCGGCCTGTCAATTGGTCAGTCTGGACATGATGCTGCACATCACCCTTTCTGGGTTTGAACTCGAGCTTTACGCTCCACAAGAGCGAGCCTACGCCCATTGGGTGACTCTCAACATCGCCACTGAGCAGCATGACACCCTGCGAAGTCTGAAGAACGACGTGTCAGCAAGAAGGGCAGCACGTCTGGCAGGTGAGCAAGTGTGAATCGAGTGGCTCTATGATTGATGTTTGACCATGAATCTGACGTCTCGCTACGTAGACGATTGCGAGATTCTGCAGCGCGCTGAGCTTTATCTCCAGCAAGATTTGACTACCTGCGAAAGGCTCCAAGCAGCTAGCAAGGGGCTATTTTTGGTAAGTCGACCGCTGGAGACGCTTGTGATCCTGAGCCTGTAAGCCTGACGCTTCCCTTGCGACTGCCGAGCTTCAGCATGCCATTTATATGGACCGTGCTGGGAGCGTCAGGCCAGCTACAAAAGCAAAGACACTCCAACCTCATCATGCTCGAGTCTCTCGGCGCTCCGACAACGCAGAGGAGAACGCGGAGGCGCTGCGCTTCGCCACCTTCGGAATGCGCTTCAAGTGGATGAACGTGCATCGTCATGCTGTTCACGGGCGTAACGAAGCATTGAACGTTCGAATGCAGCAGTCCGAGGCTCAGATGACTCGGCTATGGGACCTTTACCTATCCGATGAAGCTAGCTGGCATCGGACAGAGGTACGTATGCAAAAGGGCCGCTATGAGAGCCAAAAGAGAATTGCTAACGCAGATAATCCCTCTGCGCATCAGCTCCGCGAGGTTCTAAAATGCGCTGCCGACCAATTCGAGGTCGCTACAAGGAAATCTGCGCCAGAATCTGTCGACGCTTTGCCGCTATCAGACGCATTTCGACAGTCTTGCGAGGAGAATCTCGCGAGATGTTCTTCACTCCTGGACGACGAAGCACACCTGACAAAAACGCAACCCGCCGTCAAGGACCTCATTTGGACTCCTAGTCAGCATCCTTGGATCCCAACTCTGCACATCAGACCGAGTTAAATTCCACTATACCCCCGCCCATTTTGAGTGATCTATCGAGACAAAAATGGCATTATTGTTTGTTTGTCTTTGTTCTGATGCGCTGCGTCGCAAAGGTTTTTCATGCTCCTTCCTTCTCTGCCTCCGCTAGATGATGCTTGAATAGCTTCTCTGCTCTTGTCCAAACTGCTCCTTTGCCTTCCTCCACTCCTGCTCCATCTTCCGAGCTCTTCGGGTTGTCCGCGATGACGTACGGTAGCTGCAGCAAAGAGGGCAGGAGATCGGTGCTGAAGCCCTCGGAAGCCTCGCGGGGGAGCAGCGTAGGCAGGTGGTCGATGGAGATGACGGTGAGGGGATCTGCGCCAGCCCTGCCGAGCCATGGGCCGAGGGAAACAGTCAGTCCGGCAATGCCAAGCGAGCTCATCGTGATCGGCGAATCGCACTCACTTGAGCGGCACGTCTACTGTAGGTTCCACAAAGGTCGTGTTGATGTCGTAGATGGGTAGCGGGTTGTTGGGATTGGTAGTGTCGCAGCTGACATCGACGACGCACCCAAGCCTTCTCTCTGCGCCTGCACTCTCGATGAACTCGCTCGTCAAGAAAGGTGGAATCTTCTTGTTGAGATAGATGCAGTTTACGAAGATGTCGACTTCGGGATGGTGCGTCTAAGGATGAGTGGGCTTTCGTGCAGCAGCAGGTGGTGTGCAATGCTACTCACCATCCAGTAACTCTTGGTAAGGCCCAGACTTTGCGCTAGTCTCCTGAATATCCCACCGGACAATATCTTCGCTGTTCGATCGAATCAGCGGCGTGCATGGTCAGCATGGGCTTACGCGCCGAAATTCCGGGGGTTAGAGACTGAACTCACGATGCGACTCCTGCCTTTTCCAAAAAGTCGATGGCTCCTCGACCGCAACGACCAAGAGCGCCGACGACCAGCGCTTTGACCTTGCCGTCGCTGCGCTTACTTTTGATGAGATCGACCTCCTTCCTGGAGTGGGAGATGAGTTCGGCCTCGTTGGGATATCGAGTCTGCTTGCCCAGCCTCTTCTTGGGATCCTTGAGCTGCTCACTGAGCGCCAATACGCCAAGAGCAGCTCCAGCGAATCCAGCGTGCCATCCGAAAGCAGCGACTCTCCTTCCATTCAAGTCTTCGAGGAACTCCAAATCGTACAGCTTTCCGCCGCCCTTTTTGAAGCGACTCAGCACATCGACCCAGCCTCCTTGGTGCTTGTAGCAGTGGGCAAACTGGATGTGGGTATGGGGAAGGGGAGGACCGGGCGCTGGCAGCTCTTTGAGACCAATGATGGGGATGTTGGAAGGTTGATCTGCCCACGTGTTGTGAGAGGAGAGCTTGCAGCCCACCCTGCAGCGAGGCAACGAGAAGGACAGCTTGCGCAATCAGAAGTGTCCGTCGCGTGCGCGGGAATCTTGCGATTGACGTCTGCTTTGCGATGCTCCTCACCTTTCGTATTCCTCATCCTCAAAGATGCGCTGTGGGTCTCTCTCCACTGTAATGTCGAAGCCAGCGTCGATGAGCTTGCGCGCCGTGGTGGGTGTGAGAGCAGCGCGATGCTCATGCGGCTTCATCTCGCATCTAAGGTACAGTTGTTGACGGTGCTGACTGGACATGTTGTTGAATCGCGGCTTGGGGGTGAAGCTGTGTTTGGCTGTTGATAGCGGGTGAGGAGTGTGAAGGTGGAGCACGATATCGAGTCGTGAATTTCGCAAAAGGTGGTGCTCGAGATCGACTCCGCGTGGAGTAGCAGTGGGCTGTGGTGACTTCTTCTCATCAGTCGAACGTCCAAAACACAAGTTGCCGAGTCACGATCGAAATGCGCGCAAAAGTGGAGAGGCGCATCGCATCGCATCGCATCGCATCGCATCAGCGCGCGAGGGCCGGGCACCGGGTGGGACATCACGGCAGCAGCACCACGTGGCTTAGATCGGTGCGGTGCGCCTTTTGGGATTGCCTGTGCGGTATATTAGGTATGCATATGCGAATGCAACACCAGCACGCGTTGATATACGCGTGCGCCGCTTGTCGCGTAGATGAGCGCGTCTGTCAAAACCGCGCTTGCGCAAGTCGCGAGTATAGAGTCTGATGAGCGTGAGTGTGGCTGACACTCGTGACTATGCAGCAGCTGCTCAATCTGCAACCCATCCTCCGAACCACCCGGTGCAGCGCACAATATTCGTGATTTCACAATTCACCTCTTCTCGGCAGCTTCGGCTGCGTCAGCCAGGGTTGCTTGGTTAGACAGCGTCGCATTTCGTCATCGATCCAAGATGGCGCGATCCGAAGAAAACGGCAACGTCATTGACCTGATGGACACGCCATCACCTCCTCCTGCCTCTTCGAAGCGCCCCAACTCTTCCCCTAACGACCCGAAAGTGGGAGTAGAGAATGTCCTCGTTGGGTCCGGACCCAACAGCGCGTCTGAAAAGAAGCTCAAGCTGGGTGGGGATGCTTCTAACGTGAAGGTGGTGTCAAAGGTGGGAGAGTCGCCTCTGTGCCACCAGCATCGTGCCATATGCGCCTCTGACAAGCTCAAGTGCACCTGTGAGTCCAGCGGCTCCACATGTCAAATGGTCACGCCGCACTGATCATGGACTCTCTTTATGTATGCGCATGTCCACTGACCATACGATGCTGATGTGTCAGTCATAAAGAAGGACGGCCAGAGATGTCCCTTGCAGTACTGCCATCTCTCGCTAAAGAAGGTTTACAATCAGGATGCAAATGCCATACTTCAGGCCGGACGCAATCGTCTTGGCGTCGATCGTAGCCTGCACTGTCCTCCTGAGCAAGCCAAGTACCTCTGGCAAGTGAGTAGCGTTGGCCATGCCTGACTTTCAGCAAAGCTCCCAGCTCATTCGAGTGATGTGCCGCAGTGCCCAAGATGTAGTGGGCAATGCCACTGCTCGATGTGCAGGAAGAGGGTCGGATTGCCCGCGCTGGGCCCGCAGTGAGTCCCATTGTCTCGCGATGCAACATTCCTCACACTCGACGCTCACGCGCTGTGCTGCGTTGCAGACCATCTGACAAGCCGAAACCGCCAAAACCAGCCAGTGGGCCTTCGAAGGCACCGAAGCCGAAGAAGCAGACGCAATTAAGCGCTGCGATACCAGCAGCAGGGCCGAGCAGCGTCAAAAAAAAACCTTTACCGCCTCGTAACAGCAGTCCGGCCTTAAGCACCCCACCACCAAGGGACGAGTTGGCGACGCCTTCCCCTAGGAAGGTCACGTCGGGCCCTGTTTCTGATGGGTTGAGGACCCCATCGCCTCCTCTCAAACCGGTCTCGGTCGTCAAAGCGCCTGTCAAGCAGCTGAACCTGCCAAGGCCTCTGAAGAAACCAAAGGTCCCAAAAGGCGGTCCACCTTTATTGTCGCGCATACATACTAGGCTCTTCACGCCCAATATCGAGGAGCGGATATGGATATACGAGACACTCGTGCGCTTTGATCTGGTTCGTGTTCCCAAGTGAGCTTGCAAGAGAAAGTTGCGCGTGTGCGCTTGGTGATAACGATGCTGACCGAGACGTCTGTCTCTGCAGAGCGGTGCTGTCACGTTTAGATAGATTTGACGCTTGGTTGGAAAGCGACGTTCACGTCATTTTGGAGGCCATCGCGGCGATCCTGGCGGGATTGTCGAATATCAGGTCAGGAGCGGTGAGTGGCGACAGCAAGGCAATTGCTTTGATATGAGGGCTTGCATCTGATCTGCTGCCAATGTCCGCAGCCGAACGATGCCATGCGCGAAGTAGTGACCATCTTGCGAAAACAAAATGGGGAAGTGCAGCGTGGAGAGTGTTGGTCAGCTGCTCGTCGGGTCTGCGTCAAGCATGGCGTAGCTCCGCAGGAGCTGCCTGAAGTAAGTTTGCTTCCAGCGCAAGTTGCGCTGTCAGCCCAAGAGGCCAGCGATGCTGCTGCAGCCGCGCACTCGGATACATTGCTGGGTAGCCGGTCAACAAGGACGCGACGTGGTGCGGAGCTGAATGCACGAGAAAGGATGAGGGATCAGAGCAGAAAGGAAGTAACGGGTTATATCACTAGCGACGAGGAGGAGAGCGAGGGTGAGGTGGTCACCCGAAGATCGCTGCGAGGCAGGACCGCGCGGTCTTTGCGCAATGCGTCCGTAGCGAAGGCATCGGAGGAAGAAAGCACCTCGGCCTTGGAAGACTCTTCGGACGACGTCGCACCCACACGGCGTTCTGGACGCCTTGGGAAGGCGCCGCCCCAGCGCTCCACGCGATCTTCGCGTCCAGCTTTATCTGCAGATGCCTCCGATGCATCGGAGACTGGTTCTGAGGCGGAAGGACCTCAATGGATTCGCCGCAGTGGTCGAAATGCCGCCAGAAGTCATCAAATGGGCAAGTCTGGATCGCGAGTCACGTCGGCCAGCAACCGCTCAACAAACGATGCGGAGCCCACTCGCAGCACTGCCCCAGAGAAATCCACCCTACCACCTTCTTTTGAGGAGCGCATTGCGATCTTATCCAGATTGCTGCAACTTTTGATGGAGACAGACGAGGTGCGCATCGAGCTGACGAATGCATCGGCCAAGATTACCGAGCATGAACGGAACATGCGAGAGGAAATCAAGGGCATGGAGGAGACCTTCGAGAGCAAGAGTCGTGAGATTCTGCAGAGAGCTCCGAGCATGACCAACGAGGTCGAGTTCACCAAGTGGAAGGCAGAGGTGAGTGCAAATAGACTCGAGGGAACCGGGCCAGCTCTGGTTTGAATGGCGAGCTCACGTGATGATCTGCAATCCCAGCGCAAGGCTCAAGAGGTGGAGCACAAATTGGAGATCTTGGACGCTCGCGTCGTAAACACGATAGCTATCGATGCGTGCAGTGAGTACTGAGGCTCCCCAACAACTTGATGTCGCGAGCTGACGCAGCTTCAACCGCGTCTCAAGAGCTGCGTAGCGGGCCCTTGGGCACCGATACGGATGGCAATGTATATTGGCATCTCACTGAGTGTGAGTACAATGTCGAGCCCTCTATGCATTCGTGGCAATATTGTTGATGTTTAAGTGCTCCACGTCAAATAGTCGTCGACAAGATGCCAAAAGACACGACTGGTCGGTGGGCGTGGTGCTTGCTTGTGCACGGCAAGCCGTGCGAGTGGCAGGATGAGGACAAGGCAGCCGCACGGCGCGAGGGCGAAGCGGTGACGACGGATAGTCACGGCGCAGCACTCGCATCATCAAATGGTCACGGCTCCACGTCTTCAGAGCAAGCTCAGCCGCCCCGCTGGCTTGGCACCAACGATCACTTGGGTAGGTGACCAATTGCACAGCTGCACGTCTCTCAGCCTCAGCCCCAGCTCATACTCTCCTGAACCACAGAGCTTGGTCGACTTATCTCTTGGCTGCAATACCGAGCGGAAGTCAAGCTTCACGAGGAGAATGTAGTCTTGCGCAAGTTAGAAGCCGATCAATCTCTTTCAGGCGCGACTCGCAGGGAGCGCAAACGTGACGTGCAAGCTGGTCAGATCTTGCGGTCTGCGGAGTTGCAGTCCCTCGTCGCAAAGCTGACCGCGGTACGACAATACTACGTGAGTGTTTGGAAGCTTCGCTGACTAGCCTGGGTGCTTCTGTCTAATGTCGGTTCAGCGACTTTGCAGCAATGGCAGTATGGCGATGTCTCGGAACCGGGGCCCCGGACAAAGGAAGAATTTGAGCGAGAGCAAGCTACACTGATCTCTGCGCAGCAGCACGAAGTGGCACGGGGCATGATCGAGCAAAATCAGGCTCAGACAAGTGGCTCCACCTCGCCAGTCATGGGACCGTCTTTTGTCCATACGACCATCGACCTGAAGCGTCCTGCGCTTGACAGATCTAGGAAGCGCAAGCAGTCATCTGTCGACTCATTGTCGAGTGCGGCTGACACTGACGATCAAGGGTTCGTGGTGGAGATCTGATTGTGATCCAGGTGTACAAGCACTCGCCCATTGCAACATCCCAGTCACAATGGAAATACAATCGCACTCGCATCGCTCATTGCATTCAGTCTACGCTGCAGCAGGAGGTCATATCCGAACAGTGGTGCCGTATCGACATTTGCTGTTATTCTTGCGTGTAGCGGACTCACCATCAGACATGCTCCTCGCTTGCGCCATCCATTCATTAGCTTGCAAGATCCGGGTAGCAGTCACGAGTGGACCTGGAAGTCGCGCACCCGCATATCCACAGTTGCCGGGAGGTCTTTCACAGAATGCGCTTCACCATCAACGCGACTATCGCATACATTCGAATTGCTGACGAGCGATGCAAGTAATAAATAGATTTGAATTGTGCATGGGATCCACGCAGGGACCGCAGATGTGAGCGGCCAGCACCGGGCCGCGATTCTGATCCGCCGATCGCTCTAGCTACTCTGCAGTTACCTACGGTGTAAGTGCGTGCAATTGGATTTTGCAGCTTGTTGCGCATGGACCGATCACTTGCTGTGCTTAGATTGTCGTTTGTTGTTTGTTGGTGCGAGACAGCAGCAGTGGTACGGTCTCGGGAGCGCAAATCGATCGAGGCGCATCTGCAATCCACCCTCCCCCTTTGTGCACCTTTGGTGACTGCGCACCAGAGAGCTATGTATTCCGTACATCGCTGCTGCCTTTGCAAGCCTCGGTGGGTCGAGAGCACCGCTTTTGCGTGAACGTATGCGCATGGGGCGACCTGAACTGTGTGACTTTGTACGCAAATTGCTTCGCACCACCCAGGCCCACTACATACATCAGTAGTAGTTTCCAGCAGTCACACACTCGCGAATCGACGTCTGGCCATCAGGGGCCCATACGGCAGCAGCAAGAGGGCGGCGAAGCTTGAGACTCCCTTGCGTGCTGACGGTGTCTTCACTGGCGGTCCAGTGGCCAGGGAAGCCCCTTGCAGATCGACACGTCTGGAGAGGGGGATTGGCAGTCGTGAGACGTGAGTGTGAGTGATGCATGAGTACACAGCAGCAGCAGCAGACTTTCCCCATTGAGACACCTCAAGCTGCAAGGCAATCTTCCCAACAAGAAACACTTTCCATCTGCCATGCTTGTACCGGTACCGCTTTACCGCACAACGACGAGGACGCCGCGTGGCTTGAAGTCTGCTGCTTGCATCCATGGTCGGACTGTCATGCTGGCTGCTAATCGGCGCAAGCCACGCGCGACCCGACTGCAAAAGACCCTCATCGCGGCCGGCTCGACGCTCGACAAAGGACACTGTGACTGCCTTCCTTACTTTGCGAGGCATTGGGCAATGGAGCTGCAGTAGTCACGCTTTGAGCAGCTGCTGCCAGGCGACAGCAGGCATTGCACGCATGCATGGTGGTACTCATGACTGTACAGGTATACGTGGTTGCAGCTTAGCTGCTGTCAGGCCGCTGTCGCAGATCAGCAACAAGGTTTGAGCGCGCGCGAAGCAATCGCCTGCAGCTAAATAACGGCTGCTGCTGCATGCTCTGCACGTTCCTCCTTCACCCGGCCTTTGCAACAGTCGAGCCTACTGTCATCCGCGTGCTGCGTTCGCGGATGGATGCTGCCGAAACAGCATGTTGGGACAATTCCTCACACACACTCACACGGACTACAGCAGAATAGACTCTCCCGGCTGCTTGCACTTTGTCTGAGGGGACAAGGGAAGCAGTTTCCGACCGGTGTCGACTGCAATCGCTGCTGCTGAGGAGTAGCACCTCGGTACATTTGTGTGATACGGTATACAGTACGGTGCACATTCGTGATCGTGCGCGGGACTGACGACGCGCCACGACTTGCTCTCGCACTAAACAAGCGCTACTGCAGGGAGGCCCAAACGATTCCTCCTGCTGCGAGGTGCACCACTCCGTAAATTTGGTGCCGCCTCTTGCTGTTTGCTGCAGCACCTCGCTCAAGGTTTCAGACACCGATCCCCTCCTTTCTCCGCACGATGACAGCCACGCATCGATATCCGGGAACGTTTGGAGACAACGTTCGGGCAGTCAAGACTTCACGTCGGTCATGGAATGCAGGCGCCTGACCAGTCTCTGACGCTGTCGAAGGTTCGACCGCTTCTTCCGCAACGCAGCTCTGCTCAGAGCGCTTGATCGATAAGTCGTCGATAACGCTTCCGCACCTCTTCGTTCTGATTTTGATTTTTTTGGCGCAGGCCCAGTCTCACCTTGCATCGTGACAAGTTGCACCCGACGGCCGGCCCATCTAGGCCCGTCGAACAAGCGTGAATGTTGTGAATGTAGAAGTCGACCTTAAAGGCCAAAAGGGCTTGCCTCTCAGCTAGACCTTGAACTTTCCAGCAACCCCATCTTCTCCCTCGCCCATTCCTGACAGGCCCACTTGTTGCGCAAGTCAGCACTTGCTCAACCATGGTAGCATCTGTACATCCGGCCTTGCCGGAATCACCCTCTCCATCAGATTTGAAGACGTTCGGCAGGCGCTCACGCCGATTCGTTTGGGCCAAAGTCTCGGGTGCCAAGACCGACATTGTTCGGCCTGAGTCGTCGAAAGGTGATCAAGCCGTCCTGCACGAGATCTTCTCCGCTTCGGACGCGCCAGCCCAGATTGAGCGACACCGTCGGCAGCGAAGCTCTACTGTCAGCGCAGCTGGAGGTCCAGCTGTACCCGCTTCCCTCGATGAAGAAGTCCGCTTCGCAGCGCCTCACAAGCCGAGCGGCTTAGCCAAGCGACACGGTCGCAGTCGGTCGATCTTCTTTAGGAAGACTCCCACCAGCAAAGCTGGCTCCGCAATCACGGAGTCTAGTGCGCTCACGGGCCGTCCAAGGTGCGCCACTGAGCAACCTGAATCGGATGTGGAAGATGCAATCTCCTTTGGCAGTCTAGCGTCACCGAGATCGGCATCCGTCACCAAAGCGCTACGAGATCTCGAGCAAGTGTCTGACTTCGTTTGCCAGTGCGCGGCTGATGTCACGCCGCCAGGCAATCACGACCTTGAACGTCATTTGCACAGAGCTGCCGAAAGGGCGCGACTCGTCTCCATGACGCAGAGCATCGGACGGACAAGCTTCAGCACGTTGGAGGAGAGCTCTGCCTGCTCCTCACCAGTCTCTTCGTATGCACACGATTTGCCGATCGTGCAGGGAGTCTTGCTACCTAGCAGCATGTCAAGGCCATCTCGCAGGAGCAGCGCGCATCCCTCGAGTCGGATACGCAGAGATGGAACGGTGAGCCCCACCGGTGGGTCGCATCACTCGCATCTTGACTACGGCAGGGAGACGATGAGCATTTTGGAAGCGGGCACCGCACCTCTGGGCCATGGATCGCTCGTTGCGCCCACCCCACTGCCCCCTCGTCGACCTCAGCGCTGCGCGCGAAACAGGACTCAAAGCGCAGGTGCAGCCTCGGCGCCCAGCGTTTCTTCTGCAGGCTTCTTGGCAGATCAAGAAGCCGTCATGCCTCCGCCGCTTCCCCATCTGGCCACCATCTCCACAGCCAACGATGACAGTCGGCCGCAGAGTCGCGGAGGCACAAAGAGGCCGTTGACGTCCACTCCTCCGCACGAAGCCGGCGAATCGAGAGACTTGTCAACGCAGAGTAGCGCCACTGAGCTGCCGCAGCTCAAACAAGGCAGAAGCATGACGTCTACTTCGATCGTAAGAGCGCGAAGTGGAAGCGCTTCGACGCTCGCAAATGCGAGGAACATGATTGAGCGCACCCTTGGTGGTCGGTCGCGTGGTGGGAGCATCAGCAACGAGCATTCCACGCCCAAGACTAGGGCGCGGTCGGGTTCCAACCCGCTGTCGCGTCTCATGAACAGGACAGCAACTCCAACGCAATCGGAGCACGAGGTCGATCCAAGCGTCGCGAACGACACCCCCGTCGCTCCTGGCATCTGCACCCCGACTTTCGGCAACATGAACTGGACCTTGCCTCCTCTGGACACTTGCACCGCCCCTGCATCCCACGATGACATGTGGGATGCTCTCAACTCTTCAGAAGAGCTCACAGAGACGCTCGATGCGGAAAGCGTGCCCAGAGATTTTGGTGACGCTGAGAACCACCTTACTGGCCGTTCGCTCGGTCTGGGCTTTGACCCCACTGGACTGGTGGCTTAGGTCTGCAACCGCACGCTTTGGATGACAATTTGTCGGATGCGTCTTGCCAATTATCATCACCGCGCTTCTTTGCAACATTCTTGACTCGGACCCCTCGCGTCGCTCTCGCTCCATCACGATTCACGATGACACATCTACCACATCAACAATCACGAAACTCACGCAATTTGTCACGCTTTTCCCGCAGACTGGATGCAATTCGATTCATTCCATGATCCTGTGACCCGTAGCACCGACTGCTTGGCGTGGTACGACGTTGCTCGAACGCCACCGTCATGTTCCTGTCGCTGCTGAGAGCATCAGGCTTCTGTTATGAGTGTCCGCAGCACTATCGATGCGCAGCCAGTGTGACTGCGACTTTGTAGAGGTGACGTGGAAGGTCAAGGCTTGCAGAGGGAAGAGCGTCAAAAGGTGACCCGGCTTGCAAAGCGAAGAGCGAGGGAAGTTCCGCCAGGTTACGCGTGACGAGTTATGCGGGAGTCCAAAGAAGCACAACAACAGTCACAGCGAGCACGATCATCATCAGTCGTGTGTGGGGAGATGTACGACCGTCGTCGAGCTGCTGTCATCTATCTGTGCATGGTGATCCGGAGTCGAGCGATCGCAACGCGATCCAGTGCCAGCATCGGCTGATTCAATTTAGTGCGTGACGAGCTCAGCAACGATTGGGCGCGTCATGGCCGAGGGTGATGTACGTATGTATGCATGCAGGCACGGTGATGCGAAGCACAGCCTCATCAATCAGCCTTCGCTTTGACACCTCTTCGCGGGCGCGCTCGTACATCAGCAGCAGCAGCCACGAGTGGGCGCGCGAGAGCATCTTACGAAGGCGGGCGCCTTCTGCAAGCAGCAGTAGTGAAGCGAGCTCGTACGCTCAACGCAGCTAGCACAGCAAAGCACATCTTGGGTTGAGAGTCGTAGATGTGTCTATTGGGCAAGTCCAAAAATGCTGCAAGACTCGTAAGCTCAAAAGCGAGGAGAAGATGCGATTGCTATTTGCGGTGACAAAGCTGAAACGCTGGAGAAATTGTAAGATCGAGTCGTGAGGGGGCGCTGCAGAATGCGCGCTGCGCGATGCCCACGCATGCGTGCTCCTCCTCCTCCTCCTACCGTCGACTAAGGGCGTGTGGCTCGGCGCAGCACAGGCGGGGTTTGGCATGGCTTGGCCTTCTCGGCGGTCCTGCCGGCCGATGATGTGCAGTGCACGCACACACATGATGCTGTGCCTGCTGAAGATGAATTCGGCATGACGCTGCACGCTCATCACGCTTGATCCCGACTTCTCAGATCTCATCAAGCACGGCAAGACAAAGCGTTGCGCTCGTGACTGCTTCTTCCATCACGAATGAAGCTGCTGTGCACTACTCACAACAAGCATCATCATCATCATCATCATCATCGTCGTCGTCGTCGTCCATCCTGAGCTTTCACACTCGCGATTGTTGTCCTCATTCTGGAACAAGACGTGCAGATCAGTCATCACCTCGAGGCCGCGTTTGATCTCGTCCCTCTCTCTGCGATCAAGGAACCTCGCATACTCTCACTTCTCTCTGTGCTCCCTGCGCGAGGTTTGACTGTCTGCCCTCGTGGAAACACTTGGCTACCCCCAACACGTGCCCGTCGTCTGAGCGAGCAACCTGGGATTAGGCGGCCCTCTTGCGCAGCCAGACGAAGGATACGAGCACGGCCTCATCGTCATGAAGAAGATTTTTAGCCGCAAAGACGCGGTCACTCCGTACCGCGATGCTGATGCTCCTGTGGCGTCAGAAGGCCACGAGGTGCTGCGTCGGCAGGCGTCCATTGGACACAGCTATGGCATGCAACAACAACACCACCACCAGCAGCATGCTCAATGGCATTCAGACGCTCACTACGGTCAGCAAGCCTACCCGACGAGCCAGCAGTTCTCGGGCAGCGCAGAACCTGCATCGTATCCGCGCCCACCACACCAGTCCCATGCACGAGCAGCTTCGCCTTCAGGTCACCCTTTGGGGTTTCAAGGGGCAGATGCGCCGATCTTCGGTAGACCGAACGGGAACGGGCAGAACGCGGGGCAATACCACTCTGCATACCCTAGCGAAGATATAGGTGCTAGTACTGGCGCCATGGATGGCCATTACCGCGATCAAACGTCTGCACCCAGCCACAACCCCACTGCCCCGCGACGTCGAGCTAGCGACTACGACAGCAGCTCTTCGCCACAAGCATTGCCGTCGCATGGTCGTGCGGACTTGCCACCACATGCCAGCAGGCAGCCGAGACAGGGCAGTCTGGACATGCGCAAGTTGAATCTTGGAAGCCGTGGTGGCATGCCTGCCTTCTCACAAGGGATGCCACCTGCTGATCAGCCTCTGCGCAATGGGACTCAAGCTCAACGTCTTGACACGCAGGACTACGCCACTCCAGGTAGCCCGGTGATCGAGCCTCCGACGCCACTGGACGACGCTCCCCGTTCCTCACCGCGCTTGAGCAGATGGCGGAGCTTGCGCCAATCTTCCGATGCGAAGCGTGAGAGACTAGCGTCGCGCGATAGCGGAGCCGACAATAGCGCGTTCTACCCTTCCTATGCGCCTCCTGACCAGGCAAGGGAGACACACTACCACTCACATCTGCCTCACGAGCACTCTTCGTCACCTGGAGCGAGACGCGAGCCCGATCTACAGCACGAGCATGCGCAGGTCAAGCCCAAGCGTAAATTGTTCGGCTTTGGAAGGGATAAGAAAGACAAGGAGGAGGAGCATCGTGTGGAGAATCCGAATCATGCCGAGGCTCAAGAAATTCCCCCAACGCGTCTCACCCACGGATCCGGATCTTCGCAGGCGCACGCACCAAATCAACCAGCGCAGGCGAATGCGCAGGCAAAGGAGCCAGCCTGGTACGACTTGGTGACGGGGAGCCGAGTCACACCAGCGAAGGGAGAAGGATTGGTGCACACGAAGATCGGTGAGTGCCTTGGCGATGTACGCTACCGGCTGAGCTCGTATCTCGTTCGACATGCTGACCCTTCCCCGCCTACCCCCATTCGGCAGGCTGGCTGTGCGCGCGACCGGCTGAAGCTTGGGACTGGAGCTACTTGATGTCGCTGGTGGATAGCATCTCACACTCCGAAGCAGCCGCGAAGGAGGCGGCTCGCGCTTTAAGGAAAGAGTTCAAGTATGGGGACATTGAGCCGCGCAAGCGAGCAACCAAGATCTGGGCTGTCCTCACTCTCAATGGCAGTGATCGCTTCAAGATGCAAATCGCCGATAAGAAATTTCTGTCGGTCATCGAGGAGGTCATCACCAGCCACAAGACGCCTATCAGCGTCAAGGAGCAGCTAATAGAAGTTTTCGGCATGCTAGCCTTCGAGGTAAGCGACTCAGCTGCGATGGTCCTGCTGCGTGCGCTCATGGCCAAGTCATCGCTCTCTCTCTGTAGTTCAAAGACGACACAGAGCTCCACAGTGTTACAAAGGCATACAATCGCGTCCGCCCTTCAGACAGACCTCTCGATGTGAGTAGCGAACGTGCTTTTCTCGATACCAATCGACTGCGACTGATGTGGAGCTGCCGACCTCAGGGCACACCCCTAAACCCTGAGCACGAGATTTTTCGTCCAGTCTTATCAATGCCACCTGGCGCAGCCCAGGTCCAGTCGGCCTTGCGAGCAAACGGCGTGCAGAGACACACACCCCGACAGCGCAAACCACGGAGCCCGGGCGAGGAGATGGCGAGGCTCCATCGCGAGTGCACCGTTGCTAGAGAGAGTGCGCACATGCTCGTTGAGAACCTTGCTGAAGCTGGTATGGACAGTGCTTTAGTTGCCGTGAGTCTGCCAAGAGATGGCGTCGAGTTGCAGAGCGCTTTGCTCAATTCTGGGTGACCCGAACTTTCTGCAGGAATTTTCGGCCAAAACCCTCGATTCTGAAGAATTCCTCATGGGCCAGATACCGTGGGCTACTGCGCAGGCCGACCGCTCACGCGCGGATCTCGCTGCACAGATTGCACAAGACCGAGCAGAAGGTCGACCGGCGTCTGCGATCAGTCAGACTCAGGAAGAGCGCCTGCTAGCTGATCTTTTGGATGCACACGAACGTGTTGTGCAAGCTCGAGAGATGCTTGGGCACGTCCAAACGCAACATCATCAAGAGGATGAAGACGAGAGGCTTGCAATTGAGCGCAGTCGATATGAAGTACGAGTAGATCGGAGCAAGCTGCGACAGGATGCTGTGACTGGAGATCTGTACTCGATCGATGCCGGGCAGTCACTGGCAGCGCCCGTGATGGAGGCGCAGGGGTCTAGCTCCTCTTCGCGACCTCCGTCGCCGGCTCCTCCAGCCCACCGGCCTCTGCCTGTGCCTTCCCCAGTGGCATCTTCGGAGGGCGCTGCGCACTCCATCGGCAGTGCTGCCGGCATGAATGGGAGCAGATTCACCAATCCCAACGCGCACACTCGCGAGCTTTCGGCTTCGAGCGCTTCATCTGGCCGCGCACCTAGAGAGGCGCGTCCTGACGGCCCGCGTCCAGCGAGCCTTGTGCCTGGGGGGCATGCTTTGCCACACGGGCCCCGCCCTCTGCCTTCTACTGCCGGTGCGGTCTCATCAGCCCACAAGGCAATCAGCGCTGCTCGCAGCGACGCTTCCCCGACACCCGGTGCTATGCCTACAGCTCCTCAAGTCGCACAAGGCAGACCCGAACAGGAGTCAGCGTCGCTAGAGAACAGCGCGCGGCCTGCAGCTCTGCCGCCAATAGAGGCGCTCAAGATAAACAGTCAGGCGGGCAGTGGGACAGGCGGCATTGCTGCATCTGTACCGGCCAGCGCCGCTCGATTGGATGACGACAACGAGAGCGTTATCATGACGCCTGTGCAGCCCTCTGCCAAAGCTCTTGGCAAGCGAAGGCAGTTTTCAGGTGACAATTCAGATCTACCCCAGGCGACCACCGCCGCCGCGGACACTCGTCTAGCTTCCTCACCTCGCCTTTCTCCCGTAGCGGATGAGAAGCGCCTTTCGAGGGAAGAGCTTCTCAATAGGCCTCCGCCCGCGGCACCAGTGGAGCCGCAATTTGCAGCGCAGCAAGCGCAATCTCCTCCCGCGCTCGCCTCTAACAATCCTTTCCTCAATCACACTGCTTTTGCGGGTCGTGAGGCGCAAACAGGAACCAACCCCTTCTTTGCTCAGCAGCAACCTTGACACGGAATACATACCTGTCAGACTGGGCCTCATCAAGCGCATGTAGAATCTGTGTCACTTTCTCGAATTGTTCATTGGCACTGACCCAATGCTCTTGGGACAGTCTTGACAATGGCAACTCAGACGCATTGGCTGCGCCAATGAGCAAATCAACGCGCAGACCCGATCTGATGTTCATTTGATTGAGCGTGGCCTCAAATCTCTGAAGGGCGCGAGTGACACCAAACGAATCCGAGGCTCGATTGTGTGGGTACTCAAAGCTAGAAGTGATTAGACTCTCTCTGTCGAGAAGCCTGATGATGAAGTCGATGCACATCTTGGGGAAATGCTCAGCTGTAATGGGCACAGCTTCCCGCTTGACATCGTAGTGTCACGCTCTGCAATTCACGTCGCGCTGATTGATGATGATTGTTTCGTCTGCGACAGACCTGGAACTAGACACCTGTTCAAAAAAGTCAAGAGTATAGCTTAGCTCCCGAGCGTGCTGGTCAGCTTTGCCCCAGACGACACCAGCACTGCTTTTTCAACACCAAGATCGCGAGCACCAGCGCCTCTCTTGACCTTGACGCTACCGCTAAAGACGAGGCGATGTGCACTGCTCTCCAACGTGTCCTACAACTTTGCTTTATGAACTGCAAGCATCTAGCTCGTGAGCTTTGTCCCAGCACCTCCCCGGCACCATTCCTTCCACTACAGCTGCCCACGCCAGAACAACAACAAGCTATGCCGGCAAAGGCCAAGCCCAATGCAGGCTCAAGGGTCGCACCGTTATCGAAAAGCGACGGAATCTTCTTGTCCCAACTCGGCTTTACAAACGCCGGTATCGCCAGGCGATCGATCGCCTCGAAATTTCAGTCGAAGATGGACCAGACTTCTCAGCCTTATGGCAGCTCGTTTGGCAAAATGCAGAGCATGGCGAGCAAAGGATCGAAGCCGAGCAAGGAACAGAAAGGCAGCAAAGCTCTGTAAATTGTGCAAGTCAAAGGAAGCTAGCCCGTGAGTGCTGGCAGCAGCTCGAGGGCAAGGGAATGGCTAGATTGGCTGGACGTGAGCTATGTGGCATGCCCAGTACTGACGCTTGCAGCGACGCATGTGGATGAATAGGTCCCAAGGGAATGGACACAGCTAGCCGGCAGGATGCCAGCATTTCTTCTTTGCTGGCTACCGACATTCCTCAGAAGCGGATGAGATCCAGTCTGGATACAAGGTTTTTTCCAATCCTTTGACGGGGGACGAACTTGACCACTGAATGGCGCTCAGCGCCATCGCCACACAGAATCAACAAGCCTCGAGGTCAACGATGAGTCGTGAGTAGTGACGTCCCTGATCACAATGGCCAAAAGAAAGAATGGCGCACCGCTCCTTGCTTGCCTGTGCCATCACGAAGCACGTTTTCCGGCCGCCAATCAAGAATCGTGAATTGTGATCCTGGCGTCTTTTGGTAGTCGACCCTGCTTCCCCAGCAGTCGCTTTGAGAGTCTGACTCAAGACTCTTGCATCCCCAGTCAAGAATGTTTCGCGAGATGAAATACAATCAGAATGCAACAATCACCCAATCAAGCATCAAAGGTCCGGATTAAATCGAAGTTCAAGATGCAAATTGTTGTGATTCATGACGTGAATTCAGAAAGGAAGTGCCTAAACCCTGGCTGATGCAGAGCACGTGACCTCCTTCGCTGGTGGTCGCGTGGTGAATTAAAATTCTTCTCGTGCGAGAGGATTTCGATATGAGGCGAAGAGAATTGACGGATTCTTACCTACGTACATGCATGCGCTGCTGTAGAGGGACGGCAGCCTCAGCAGATCGACTTCTTGCCTTTGTCTCTCGCGCAGCTCGCATGCGTCACTACTACTTGCACTGCGATTGTCTTCACAAGGCATCTGTCTCAATCTCATCGTCTTCGCATAAACACTGGCGTTTGTACTTGCACACAACCTGTTGGACGGCACCACCTTTGCCTTCGGTCATCAGCATTACAATCTCCATCCGCCACTGCAACCAGCCAAATTTCGACCTTCGCCACTCAGACTGTAGTTGCCCGTTCTGCGCATGATCCGTACTCTCTGCTGAGCTGCACGGTTCTCCGCTTTTCTATACCACCACATCCTCTCCTTCTGTTGACAGCCCGACTAGGCGCGAGGTACAGTCATCATGCTCGCGAGGCAACGACTGCTGCGTCGATGTTCTGAGCGGGTTTGTCGAGCACCGACATGCAACCAATTGCAGGCAGGCACGTCCAGAAGCGTCTCGCTGGGAATGGCCCAGAGCGCCCAATCATTTGTGACGCAGAGTCGTCGCATTCACTCCAGTGCCGAAGCGTTGGCGCCACCTGCTGACGGTTCAGCTCAGGCAGGCTCGCATCGTTCATCGCAATCGCAACCATTCTTGGATCTGAGACCCTTCGCCCAAAAGTCCACCACCCGCTTGCCCACTCCCCTTCCAGGCTACCTCAATGACCGTTATAACGCAGCACTCAGGCTCCGTGCCAAAGGAACTGCGGGGGGCGATCCCGAGCTGGATAGAGCGACGCTCAAGGCGCTCAGGGAGCACAATCAGTATTTCATACCGAGCAGCAACTTGGAAAATCTGGGCGTGCTGGAAGCGTGCATCGCGTCCGGCTTGATCGAACGAGGGGCGAAGCTGTTCGAGGATATGCGCATCACGGACGATGTCAAGTTGGATGGCGATGATAGTCGCGGTCCAGCTCAGCGGTCTTCCACTCTGGACATCGGCCTCTACAACACTATGCTGAGCTCCTATCTCGACAAGGCCTGCAAGGTAGACAGCCGCGAAGAGCAATCTCGATGGGCTTCGACCGCCCTCGCATTGTTCACAGATATACACACCGGCTCGCGTGGCGCTCCTGCCCCAAACGCCGCTACGTATGCCGCTACGCTGCACGGCTTTGCCTTGTGAGTGCATGTTCTAGCAGCGAGGTCTGACGGGCGACTGGAAGCAGTCGAGCAATGGTCATGAGAGGGGGAACTTCGCCTGCCTGTGCCAGACGTCTGCACAGATCTGCATCAATTGATAGTCTTCTTCTCTGCTTCTTGACCGACCAACAGGGTTGCTCGAGGAGGGCCACAAACGCGCAGACCGGATGTGGTCGAGGTGCTGCGCTCTGCACGTAGCTCCAGGATACCCCTGAGCGACATCTTCAGTCCAGCCATGTTTGCACATGTGGCTCTCAACTGGAGCTCCACAGACTCTTTGACGCCTTCTGATGCCATCAATGTCCTGGTTTCGATCGCCAGCTCACACGGCGAGGAGAGCATCGTTGAAGAGCTGCTTCAGCTCCGTGACCAGCTGGACGGCGATGACAGTGGGCAACATCTGGCAGAAGACGCTTCAAGACGCGATCCCAATCTCGAGGAGCTGGAACCAACGCGTTCTGTGAGTAATTGGCTTGCCCCCCTTCCCCAGCTTTGAAGCTTCGCGTTTGCTCACGTTTTAGCGCCTCTAACACAGCCCTCGAAAGATGCGGAGGGAGATCAGAACGACATTCTCTTCAACCTCCGTCTCCTAAAAGAAAATCTGTCGGCAGTGAGCGAGGCCAGAGCCCGCCACTCGAGCGCACTCGCGCGCCAGAGGTGGCTCGAGGAAAGCGCTTTCGAATCTGCGAGGAAGCGATTGGAGCATGCGGCACAACAATTGGAAGAGCTGGGTCTGAGTCACACTTCCAAGCTAAAACAGCGAACGCTTCAAGCGTGGATGTGGTCCTGGTACCAAGAACTCTCAAAGGTAATCGAAGAAGACCTTACCCGTATAGAGAAGAATCTCAAGAAATCGTCGACCAAGAGGGCACGGAGAAAGTCTGAGGGCGAGACTGCTCTCACAGAGGAAGACGTAGCTGCGAGAGCGCCTGAACGAGGGTTCATCTCGTCGAACAGAGTCTCCGTTCCTAGCCTTGAGCTTACCATGCTCCCCTTTCTGCGCACTCTACCGGTCAAGAAGCTGGCGCTGATCCCCATCCTGGAGATCATGCGCATGCAAAGTGGCACGCAAGCCTTCGATGGCATGAAGACTACCCGCGTCTTGTTGTCCGTTGGTCGCGCCATCGAGCACGAATACTTCAGCGAGCGTCGTCAAAAGTACAATCGATTACGGCAGCGTCATGGCGCCGAAGATTATAAACCTATTTCGGAGGATGCGTTGGCAGAGACACAGTGGTCGCAGCAGACGAGAGCACGCGTGGGCAGCTACTTGGTCCAGCATCTGATGCAGGTCGCTAAAGTGCCTCGCTCCGCTCGAGACAGGAATGGTCGGCTGTGGGAAGAAAGTCAGCCTGCATTCTATGCGGCGTACCAGTACGTTGCTGGCAAAAAGCTCGGCGTCATTCGACTAAACGATGCGCTGCTGGAGAGGCTGGACAAGGACTCGATCGCGGACAGCGTACATCCCAGACATCTTCCCATGCTCGTGCCGCCACGGCCCTGGACGCATCACAATGATGGAGGCTACCTCCACTCGCGCAGCTACGCAATGCGTTTCAAAGACAGCGCCGAGCAAGCCGAGTATTTCAGGGAGGCGGACGAGCGGCAAGAACTGAGCGTCCTGCTGGCAGGTTTGGACGCACTTGGTCAAACTGCGTGGCGCATCAACGAGTCCATCTTCGAAGCCGTGACTAAAGTTTGGAACTCTGGCGAGGCAATTGCGGACATTCCGCCCGCTGCACATCCGCTTCCTGAGCCTGAGAAACCCGACAATTACGACTCTACCGACATGTCAGCCAAAAAGGAGTACATTTGGAAGTTGAAGACTTGGAATGCTCAGCGCTCCAACCTTCACTCCCAAAGATGCGATGTCAATTACAAACTCGAAATAGCCAGAGCCTTTATTGGAGAGAGATTCTACTTTCCCCACAACATGGACTTCCGTGGTCGAGCATACCCTATACCACCGCTCTTTAATCACATCGGCAACGACTTGTGCCGTGGTCTGCTCCTATTTGACATCGCCAAGCCTCTTGGTAAGCAGGGCTTGCGCTGGCTGCGCATTCATTTAGCCAACGTTTACGGATACGACAAGGCCAACTTCCTGGAGCGCGAGCAATTTGCTCTCGAGCACGAGAAGGAGATCCGCGCTGCGGCCAATGATCCGCTGAGCGAAGAAGGCAAATGGTGGCGAAACGCCGACGATCCCTGGCAGTGTTTGGCGGCGTGCATCGAGCTTGTCAAAGCGTACGACAATCCAGATGGGCCCGAAGCGTTCGAAAGTCGTCTGCCCGTACATCAAGACGGAACTTGCAATGGACTGCAGCATTACGCGGCGCTGGGTGGTGACCTGCAAGGAGCTCAGCAGGTCAACCTGTCCGGCGGTGAGCGGCCATCTGACGTTTACACTGGTGTTGCGACCCTGGTCATGAAGCAAATCGACCGCGATGCTGCCGATCCCACAAGTCCTCATCAACATCTAGCTCAGATGCTGCAGGGCAAGGTCACCCGCAAGGTGGTCAAGCAAACTGTGATGACCACCGTATACGGGGTCACCTTCATCGGCGCAAAGAACCAGATTCACAAGCAATTGGCGGATAGGAACGACACGCCGATCTCCCATCGATATGCCTGTGCAACTTATCTGGCTTCAGGGGTGCTCGCATGCATTGGCGATCTCTTCAAGGGCGCCGAGTCTATTCAACACTGGCTGACACAGAGCGCCAAGTTGATTGCTCGAAGCATTCCACCCTACCGGGTCAAGTCCGCTGCGATCGACCCCAAAGACGTCACTACGTCGAAGCGCCAAATGAAGGAGCAAATGACAGCGGTCATTTGGTCAACGCCCCTCAACTTGCCGGTCGTCCAGCCGTACCGAAAGCTGGAAAAGAAGCAGGTGTCGACATCGATGCAAAGCGTCTTCATCACCGATCCCAACAGAGCTTCGGAAGTGCATCCCGCCAAGCAAGCCAGCGCCTTCCCGCCAAACTTCATTCATTCTCTGGACGCCACACACATGTTCCTCACTGCACTGGAGTGCTCCACGCGCGACCTGGTCTTTGCGAGCGTGCACGACTCTTACTGGACTCATGCTTGCGACATTGACACGATGAGCGACATTATTCGCGATACCTTTGTCAGATTACATTCCAGTGACATTCTGCCAAAGCTGCGCGAAGATGTGAGTCAAAGGCATTTTACCGGCGATTTGACGCACCTTTGTGCTCTTGTGGATGACTAACAAAAGGAACTCGTTTTTCTCATTCTTTCCAGTTCTTGTCTCGGTATGCCGGCTACATGGTGCCAATTCAGGATTACAGGCAACTGATGAGGACCAAAGGCTCAAAAAGTCTGGGCGAGAGCCGTAAAAAAGACACAGTCTCTGCACTAGGGGTCACAGCGACCAGCAAGACTGCAGACGTCACTTCGGCCGTCTCAGATGCCATCGACACGACAGATGCGGAGCTTGACGCTGATGTTCCAGAAGATGGAGCGGCAGACTCGGAAGTCGTCGAGAAAGCAGAGAGCGATAGCGAGCTGGAGGAATCGCAGCCCGAGACGAGCAGCGAGCAGTCGTCGGGCTTTTTGGCTCTTGCCGACATCTTGCCTCCTCTGCCGCAAAAGGGTGCTTTTGACGTCAACGAAATTAGGGTACGTGGCTAAGGGCTTGTAAAGGCGCGGAAAGTGATCGGCCGCTCATTTCATTCAACTCGTCTTCACACAGCGCTCCTTGTATTTCTTCTCATAAGCTGACAGCGGATCTTGCAGCCACATTGATGTAATCTAGATTTTGCAATCAATCCGGCTCGAACGATGCACTGAAGGCGCTCACTGCGAGGCACGACAATGTTCATACACGTGCTAGTTTGGAAGCATTTATTCTGCCGGTCAAGGATCGTTGCGCCGCATTGAGCCAAAGCGCACAGGGGCGAGTTCTTCACAAGTCTTTATGACTCTCATTTGGCATCCTGCTATGAACCCTTGGCAAGGAACGAGCGTCGCACAAGATCCGCTTAAGGTGAACTGCTCACTGATACTTACGCTCTATCAGAGCTTGCCTTGCCCCTTGAGGTATCGCGCGAGTTCTCTGTAGAGCTCCACCTGATCCTCTGCGCTGAGACGAGTGACGACGGTCTCCATGACGGATCCCAATCCCACGCGATGCTCTCTGATGAGGGAGGTGTAGTAGACGTAGCTGAAGAGGCCCATCAGGAATTGACAATCGAACCTGTCAGTCAAACCTCCGTGACCCGGGATGACCGATGAGAAGTCCTTGGCGTTGATGGATCGCTTGAACGCCGATGCGTAGAAGCCTCCAAAGGGCGCGACCAGCGAGGCGAAGGCGGCAATGACCAAGGAGTGAAGCTGGAAAGGAGTGTAAGAGATCGCATCGATGTGGATAATTTGAGAAACGGCCTTTGGAAGATCAATTGCGGACCAGAGGAAGACTGGGTTCGGATCGCACTGCACGTTGCCAAATGCATTCATGCCCAGAGATGTCGCAGGGCAAATCTATTGTCGAGGAGCAAAGACAATCATTTAGCATGCTCGCGTGCCGCGGCGGAGTCGATCTGACAGTTCCACCCACCATGTAAGGGAACTGCTGGAAAATAGTGGCCCATCCAACCGCAAAGAATTCCGTGACGATCAGGGCACCCACAAAGCCTTCGACAGTCTTTTTGGGCGACAAGCTGATGAGGGGCGTTTTGCCGAACAGCATTCCGCAGACGTACGCAAAGACATCGTTGCATACGACGCAGCTGACAGGCAGGAAGAACCAGATCATGCCTTCCAAGATGTTGTTGACGATGAAGTGACTCGAGTAGACGGTGAGCAGCAAGCTCATGTGCACCCACGAAAACAGACCAATTTGGTGCTTGAGGTTGTCGCGCTTCAAACCCAGCACAAAGGCGAGGAATCCGATTGTATAGAGCATGAAGGAAAGGAAGCGATGATGACGGGCAAAAGGAATGAAGTAGGCGTCGACGAAGACGATGTGCTTGAAGTAGTAGATCAGCGATTCTCCGTACAAGAAGTAGTTGGAGACTGCAAAGAAGTACCTGAAAGAGCATGGAAGGAGTGGATTCAGCAATGCGTTTCGAGCTCGATGTGATCTTGAAAGAGATTCAATCCAGCTCACCAGCTGAGTGAGTGGCTCCATGCATCCTCTCTTCTCGTGTTCTCGACTTCATCCTCGGTATCGCTCGGTGCGGCAGATCCTTCTCTGCTAGGCGCCTGGCTGTTCGGTTTATATGGTCCCTTTTTGGGCGGTCCTCCAGTCATGCTAGGTCGACCTGGCATGTTGAACAGAGCTGTCACCTCCCCATAGACGAGGACTTGAATGACCAGGACCAGAAGGATGACGTAAACATGGCCAACGCAAAGGAGAGCTGATAGTGTGGGGTACGCAAGAAATAAGCGGTCAGCGGGCGTGTTGAGGCTTCTGGCATTCTGGGCCGGTACATGGATAGCCTCGCGTGCAAGTCGCATCGCACGCGAGCGCTCTTGATCTTGAGAACGAATCACGAAGCACAATACGCAGCCCGCACCCCTCATCCCTTGCCGCTCCCGCGCGCCCCAGACTCACTCAAGAAGCCGCCAATCATGATGAATGTAAAGAAGGTCCGCTCATACACCTTCTTCCAGTAAGCCTTTCTCTCCTCTGCCTCTTTCTCTTTGTCAACCTCTGAGTTCTTGTCAGGTAGAGTGACGGCTTTCTCATTCGAGGTCTTCGTGGAAGATTTTGGGATCAAGGTTGCTTTGGGCAAGCTACCAACGTCGTTTGCGGATGATTTGATGGGTGAGTCGTTTTGCGAGGCGAGAGCGGCAGATGCGGCCGCAGGACCTGGGGATGGTCTCTCTGGTGTCAGTGTCGTCCCTGAAAGCAATGTGGTTCCTTTGAGGGGATGAGCCGCGTCGCCGTTGGTGCCAGCCGCGTGAGTCGACTCGATCTCGACCACGACGTTGGAGTCGTCGTGCTTGCCAGCAGCGCTATTCACTGCTTGTGAGATCGTGGCGGGCACAGCTGCAGCGACATCTTTGAGATCTGCTGACTCTTCAGCTGCAGCCGCAGTGGCGTTTGCGCTGGCAGCAGGAGTAGCGCTTCCAGCGGACTTTTTGCCCCTCGAACCCTTCTTGGAGCTTGAGACAGGGGGCGTGGAAGAGGCGGGAGGGGCAGGTGAAGGGCTTGGGGAGCTGCTGGCAGCGCTGGCCTTTGCAGCCTTTCTAGCTGCTCCTCTCGTCACTGGAGGGCTGGCAGTGACGGATCTTGCCTGACTGGCACGCGAACCGTCTCGATCTCGCGATGCTTGTTCCTCGTCGGACGAGCTGGCCACCTCTTCGTTGTCCGACTCCTCATTTCTCAACGCATCGAACAAGCCCGGAGAGGCGAAGCGGGATGTTTGGCGGGGAGGCATGGCGTGCGAGCGAGCGTGCCACGTGTCGAACTAGCTGTAGGGTTGATGTTTAAGAGCAAAGTTGTTCGCCGGCGAAGGCTGTTTGTGTGTGTTGTATGTATGCGACTTTCTTCGCCAGCCGCTGCCGTCTTACTCGTGGTGACTTGCTCGTTCCTCCGCTCTGATCATGACTGGCTGCAGGCTGCATGCGTATCTTCGCGCCTTCTTGGCCCCCCAATCGAATCTTCAAACACAGTCACAATCAAAATTGAATTTGAATCACGAAGGGCAAAAGACCAGCAATAATAATAATAAGCGACCGTTGCCAAGTCACAGCTAGTCTTGAGTGCAAGCGACGGGGCTGCGCGCGCTGTGCGAATCACGCAGCGATCGAGCTGTGTCGACCGCCAAAGCAGCTTCTGGGTCACGTGTTAAGGGACCACACAAGTGTTCGAGGCCTGGCAGCAACTTGCGTGGTCATCTGTAGCTGCAGTCGTGAGTAGTGCGACTGCCATCATTCCAAAGTGTTTGACCCCACCCCATCCCCATCCTCTGGCCTCCTCGACGATACCCCAGCTTCTGCTACTGCTTCTCCTTCGACCTTGCAGATCCGTTTGGAAAGGCCACTCGTTCTGGGCCATACGCCCAACACGCTGAACAAGCGCGCCCCTTGACCGTTTCTTAAAGATGGTGTTGGCCGATCTAGGTAGACGCATCAACGCTGCGCTATCCGACCTCAACAAAACACCGCTCGTCGACAATGCGGCCATCGATGCGCTTCTCAAGAGCGTCTGCTCCGCGCTGCTGGAGGCTGATGTTAATGTCAGGCTCGTCTCTCAAATGAGGGACAGCGTCAAAGGGAGCGTGAAGGAGCAGTTGAACGAATCTGGCAAAGCTGAGAGGCTCAGCGAGCCTCAAAGAAGAAATGTGGTGCAAAAGGTGAGTGCAGAGGATGCAGCTCATCGCTACACACCGTTCTTGTTCTTCTGACTGTGCTGTGTCGCAAGAAAAGGCCATCTTCGATCACCTGGTCGGTCTCGTCGACCCCGGCACAGAGCTATGGGCGCCAAAGAAGGGCAAGCAGAACGTCATCATGTTTGTCGGTCTGCAAGGAAGCGGCAAGACGACATCTGTGACGAAGCTAGGTTCCTACTACAGCAAGAGGGGCTTCAAGGTCGGGCTCGTGTGTGCTGACACGTTCCGCGCAGGGGCTTTTGATCAGCTCAAGCAGAACGCTTCAAAGGCAGGCATTCCCTTTTACGGTTCCTACACCGAGACCGATCCCGTCACCATTGCTGGGGCAGGTGTAGACTCCTTCAAGCAAGGCAAATTTGATGTCATTATCGTCGATACCAGCGGCAGGCATCGGCAAGAGACGGAATTGTTCAACGAAATGGTTGAAATTGGTCAACGCGTCAAGCCGGATCAGACCATCATGGTCGTAGATGCAAGCATAGGTCAAGCTGCCGAAACTCAGGCCAAAGCTTTCAAGGAAGCTGCAGACTTTGGTGGGATATTTGTGACCAAGCTCGACGGTCATGCCAAAGGCGGAGGTGCCATCTCTGCGTGAGTTGCATGCAGTCAAAGCAGGCGCTTGTGGAACCGCTGGGCTAACGCGCAGATTCCTTCCCATAGTGTCGCTGCGACTAAGACGCCTATTCTGTTCATAGGTCTTGGTGAACACGTTGGTGATCTTGAGGTCTTCAGACCACAGCCTTTCATTTCGAAGATGCTCGGCATGGGTGACATGACTGGCCTTATGGAAAAAGTACAGGAAGTGCAGATGGCCAATCCAGACAGACAAAAGGAGATGCTAAAGAAGATTGAAGAGGGAGGCACCTTTTCCATTCGAGACTGGCGCGAGCAGATTGGCAACATCATGAAGATGTGAGTCGTGTCTGGAGCGATGCGTGCTCGCACCCCCCTCCGGCTGACTTGGATTACATGTCCGCAGGGGGCCGCTGTCCAAGATTGCGGGCATGATCCCTGGCCTCGGACAAATGATGTCTGGTGCAGGCGGAGATGAAGAAGCTGGGTCCAAGATGAAGCGCATGATGTTCCTGACGGATTCCATGACAGCTCAAGAATTGGATTCGGATGGTAGCATCTTCTATTCTCCTGTTCGACCCAAGAAACCCCCAGGTGCAGAGAAGGCTCTTGAAAAGCCCGGAGAGAGCAGTGCGAATGCAGACGGCAAGAAGAAGAGCAAGGAAAAGGTTCCTGTGCGCATGAACGCCAGAGCTAGGAGAGTCGCGAAGGGGAGCGGCACGAGCGTTAGAGAGGTCGAAGAGGTAAGTGGCTTACCGACAAAGTCCAGGACTTTCCATGCTTACTCATTGAGTTGCTACTCGGCTTGCACCTTCACCGCACAGTTCCTAATGCAGGTGCGTATGACTGAGTGTATCGTCTGTCTCTTGTCCACGTGTTGAATGCCTGGCGCGCTTTTCTCCCATTGTGCAGTACCGCATGGTCCGCAACCTCGTCAAACAGATGGGCGGCAAGCAAGGCTGGCTTAAGCAGATGCAGGGTGGTGGAAGAGGCAGGGGAGGCGCCCCGCCTCAGCTCCCACCCGGAATGTCGAGAGATAAGATCATGGAGATGCAGGTGCGCACTCGAGCATGTTCGCCCTAGATTGGCACGCTAGCATACCTCATTCGACTGACCTCGCTTGACCACCGTCCACCAGAACATGCTCCCTCCGGACGTCAAAGCTCAATTGCGCCAACCAGGCGGTCGAGAGCGTAAGTCGAAGTCCGCAATTTGCAGCGCATTGCTGGTTCCACTGCTCAACACATTCCGCATCGCCATACACAGGTCTTCTCCAGCAACTCTCGTCTGGACAGATACCGCCTGGAATGGAGAACCTCCCGGGTATGGGCGGAGCAGGTGGTGGGCTTGGAGCATTAGGAGGAATGGGTGGCTTGGGTGGCATGATGCAGCAAATGATGGGTGGCGGCGGCGGTGGTCCGGGTGGCGCAGGTGGTATGGCTGGTATGCAGCAAATGATGCAGCAGATGATGGGTGGGATGGGCGGTGCTGGAAGAGGCGCACCCCCAAGGCGGTGATGATGATGATCTCGAATCGGAGCTCAGACTGCACTGCATGCATCCTCTCAATCGTGCCTCTCATTGACTATTGTTTGCCTGCGCTGGGCGAGGCCCACCAAGGGGGCCTGTGCTGCGCCTGACTCACGTTGAGCGAGACTACGCTCTCCATGGAACATTCAGCGTGACGCAACAATTGCAGCCAACCCTGCAACAAGCTGCGCTTGGTGAGTGCAGACGTTTGTGGAACGGCCCTCTAGTGGAATCCTCATCAAGCTACTCAAGCCGCCGCCTGACCGAGTGAAGATGTGGCCAAGTGAGCACAGAAACACAGGGCAGGGGGCATGTCGTCACATGGCATTAATTGTCTCATCATGATTATAGTAGTACAGCTTGGATGAATTTCGACGAGAAGGCACAAAGCGTTGGAGCGGGGCGATGGCATGAGTAGCGCAAGACGTTGAGATTGGAGCAGACTTAATTGGCAAAGTTCCACTCAATGTCCACCTGTCCTTCCTCTTTCGTGGCGATCTTGGCAAATGCTCCCTTGCTGAGGTCGAGGGAAGTGCTGGTTGTGCAAGTAGGGCACTCGTCGGCAACGGTAGCAGTGACCGTCTGTCCCTTGCCGCCCTTTCTGGTGATCTTGACTTTGCGACCGCAGTGCTTTCCTCCCGCATACATTGCAGAAGGCAACGCGATGATTAGCGCTTCCTCCGAGTTGACCTTTCCGCAAGCACCCGCCACGCCCTTTTGAAGATAGTAGGTGGCGTGCGCGTTGCCGTACCTCTTCTGCAGCTGAGCCCGAGGCTTGTAGCTCCGATTGGATGCTGAGCCTGACGGCCCACGCCGTCTTTGGGGGTTTTGACAGTCCGGGTCGTTTCGGTGTTCGGGCAGCGCGCAGACAGCGTCTTGGTAGACTTGTTCCGGACTCTCTTCGCGCCTGCTAGCCGGCTTGTGGCAGTCCGGATCATCCTTGTGCTCCGGCAGAGCGCAGACACCATCCTGGTAGACCTGTTCGGGGCTCTTTGCGCTACTGCTAGCCTTGTGGCAGTCCGGGTCATTCTTGTGCTCGGGCAAAGCGCAAACAGCGTCTTGATACACCTGTTCAGGGCTGCCCTCCCGACGGTCTACCTCTCTGCCGTAGATGAGGGGGCCTCTGGAGGAGAGCTCCGGAAGATAGCCCACAGTGCTGGAGAGCTCGGAGGTCGATGGGATAGGAGCCGACGCGACGAAAGCTGCGCCAGCAACGGCGGCAATGACAATCGCAGAGAGTGAGGGCTTGAACATCATCTTGCCTGAACAGACGGGTAATTTAGTCGACTGGAAGGATTGGGCTCGGGAGAGATTGGCGGGCTTGAATGAGCTTGGATGTCTTTGTTGCGCTTGTTTGCTCGAGCCTGTCGAAGCTGTTCTAGGGAATATCAGGAAATGACAAAGAGTGCCAAAGTGAGTGGAAAGGGAAGACGACCTGCGTCTGGGGTGGGACAAGGGATGGGCAAGAAGGAGGAGAGGGGAGGTGAGCACAGCTGAGGAAAGAGAAGAAGAGCGGCGGAACTTCTTCGACGTCGCCTCTTCTTATAGCCGCAGCCCATCACTGCTACTCCGATCGCATCTGCCCATCAAGCCTGCAGGCGGCGAGATGCAAGGTTCCGGTGCACAGTTTCCTCTGCACCTGCCCTCATTCCGCTCCACGAATCTCGGTCCGCAGTGTGCGCGACCGCGTGGTACGCATGACTGCTCGACTGTGGTCGTAGCTTTGATGCTCAGCCTGCTTGCCCGACAGCATCGAGCGTGACTGATGTGACTCACGCGTGACCATCACTCTTGACTCGCGACTCACCACTCACACTGCTGATTTGGATGAGCTGCTCCATCCCGGCCGGACAACAGCGGGCGGGCGGCATGACCACGCGGACTTGCGCCGAGCGGCATGTCCGATGGCGGCGCAGCTTACGCCCACCCGCAGCTCAAACCCATCGGTCGGTCTGAGTGCGCGCTGATCGATGGTGAGCACCACGCGCGTCTAATGCACGCGGGCAATCTCTGTGCTTACCCATCGAAATGTGAAGCGGGAATGTGTAGGAAGCAGCGTTATCACCGCATGGAACAGGCAAGCATCCAGAGATGCGCACGAAGGATTTGCGATGGATGAATGTCGTCGTACGAGGGCATTCCTAGACTGCAGGTGAAGTACAGGTGAAATACTGTATGACAAAGACGAGGGGGAGATTGTAGGACCAGCGCAATGTAGCGCTGAGCGGGAAGATGACTTTTGACTATAATTGTAAAAGCACACTCGGACCTATACATGGCTTCTACCGAGACCATTGCGTCCACATGCAGGCATTGAAATGGCGTCTTGGATGCCAGGATAGATGAACAGCTCTACGCGCTCGAGCCGTTCGGGCATCATTGGGCGCTTTTTGACCGCGTGGACCGCCATGGCTTGCATGTCAAGCGATGCGTAAGCGAGACCTTTAGGCTGCCCTTCACTCATCGTGCCCGCGAGAGATCCTGAAATGCAGCCTCCACGCAATTCTTGATCTGCAATCATGTACACGGCGTGAGCACTCGCAGAAGCGTCGCTCGTCGAATCGCGTCTCCCCTCGCTCACCTCTCGGTAGCTAACAACGAGACAGCTCTGGGCGTCGCGGCTCGTCAACATGACGCGCTCCTCTGAGCCAGCGTCAAGCTTGTTCAGGTTGCTCAGAATGTGACTCAAGTCGACAAGAGGCCGTCCGGTGTCGTCGACCGCGTGGAACACATGGTCGCGGAACAACTTGATGACGTAGCGGTCTCCCGTCTCCGACCAACGGGGGTCGTGGTCGAATCTGGCATCGCGCAGGAGGAAGCTCAGCAGAAGCAGAGACCAGACCCTTGACACCGTACACTCACTCTGGGCGCTCATTGATGAAACCAAATTTGCACAGCAGTCTGACCAAGCGTGCATTCTCCAACTCCTTTGACAATCCGCTCTCCAAGAGGTCAGCATAGTTGAGGGCAGAATCTACTTCGTCGGCAATGTGACTGCCTAGCATCCGGCCAAGCTCGTCGGCCGTCTTGCCTGGTGAAGGCTTCCCTACTAGCCACAGCACAACGTTCTTGAAGTCCGCGCTGTAGAGCCTAGAAATCGACTCGAGTGATTTGGGCAGATTTTGCACTGCGCCCATCGAGTTGCACGCAAGAGATACCAACAGCTTGCCCAAGTTGAGTAGGTCGTCGGCTTGATGGCTTTGCACAGCGGCCGTGTTGGCTCGCGGGTCAAAGGCAACCACGTCAAAGATCGAGCAGCAGTTCAAGCGCACCCTGGGTCAGGTTGGAACAGGGCATGGTCAGACTTGGCGAACCCCACAGTGCAGGGTCGGAGAAAGCACGCACCGATTCTTGCTAGTACGAAGCACTTTGCTCGGCTCTATGCACCTTGCGGCCAGACCATGCGAATGGATGTTCCGCAGCACATTGGTGAGTTGCACAGCATAGCTCCAAAGCGTTCGTTCTTGGATCTGCATGGACACCGTTTGAAGCCGCCCCGTCCTCCGATCCACTTGAGGCGGCTTCGGGACCATGTGCTCTCCATACAGCGTCGTGGCGAGCGGATGGTAGTCGTATACAAATACGATGGCTTCACAAATTTAGGTGGGGGAGTGCACGGCGTGAAAAGATGCTCAAGCAGCGGAAAGTGTGCACATTACGCCGATCCACTCACAAGAATCGCCGAAAGCGCGCGTAGTGAAAGCTTCTCGAACGCTGACAATGCTGGGATGTCGGATCCGCCTCCACCTCTCAACCACTGTGATGGCGTTGTCATGCAGCAATCTGAACCCTTCGATCCTGCGCAGCACGTACGCTTTTCCGTCCAGCGTGCACAACGCCTTGTAAGATGATGTGCGATACCCAAACACTCTGGAAGGCTCGCCCGACATGCCACTCAGATGCAGCGAAGCGCCAGGCGCTGTGGGCGGGGCGACTCGAGGATCCACGAGAGTGGCAGGTAGCGCGGTGCCATGTCCAGGGGCCTCGAGCGGCACGAGCGAGTGATACACGTGCAGCTCTTCCGGCAGCTGAGGTCCTCCGTGTTCCGGCGGCACCGGCGCGGTGAGAATAGCATCGTTGCGCCTGGCTAATTCTTCTCGCTGCGAAGGGGATAAAAAAAAGGCGTGCGAGCTGAGATGGTGGGGATGCAAGTTCGACACGTGCGGCAATGGCGCCGTGTGAAGGTTGTGATCCAAGGCGGGAGGCTGCCGAGGGCGGTCGAAGGATGAAGCTGCACCGGTGGTGGATTGCCCATACTGGTCCAGGTGAGAGTATGGATTGAATGCTCGAGCTTGCTGATCCTGGCCCGATTGCTGATGAGCTGGTGTCAGTCCAGGCGGACCTCCACTTTGCGCATTCGGCAAGGGTCCCATGTAGGTGGGATCAAAGCTGAGATTCTGTCGGGCCACAGGCAAGAAGCGCGACCCACTAATCAGCTCCATGCGACGTCCGTTTGGCCTTCACTTCTTGAGTGCGCTGAGCCGCGACCTCACTCACGCTACCATCCGTCTCCCATTGTCCGCTACTCGGCGTAGCTCTTCCGCTCTCTGTAGCCGCTGGCACATGCGCTGCTGCGTAGGGGTTGAAAGGTCGAGCTGCTGCTGCAGAACCAGAGCCACTAGACGGCGAAACACCTACTCTGGATGTAGAAGTCGTGAGCGAGTCTACATCGCTCGCGTTGCTCTTGCTAGATCCATGCAGATTAGTTCCGGGCTTCGACTTGGGCACGAAGGCAGCAGCTGTCGCAGCCCTCACAGAGAGACCTGCATTATTTGAGCCTTGCGCGTTCGCCGGCCGTCGAAGGGGAGAGGCGGGAGTAGATGCGTCGCCTCGAAGAGAAGCGACTGAATACGGCCCTTGAGCTCGCGGAGATGATGTCGAGTGCGAGGTTGTGCTGGTGAGGGATGCCGTTACGCCAGCAGGCGAGGCTGCGGAAGGAACAGGCGACTGGGTTCCAGGCGCAACAATCGGAATGGCGCGTGAAGAGCGACCCAAGCCAGGAGGTGGACCTGGTCCATTTCCGGAAGCTGCAGCCGAGCCGTCTGAGGCGGCAGCGCCGGCGTACATGACCAGTGGTCTAAGATTTGGTCGGAGCGATCCGCCTCGGTCAGGTGTTTCAAGGCAAGTCGGGAATGGTGATGGTGTAGCAAGAGGTCTGAGCGCGGTCACCTCGAAATGCGATGCGTGACGCGCTCCACCTATTATATAGCTGCGAAGCTCGCGGAGCTTTGTTTCACGTCGAAGCGCGCCCGCTAGCTGCGTGCAGAAAGACTTTCCCAGGCCATCGCGATACAGCGATTTTGCGCGCCGAATAGAAAATGAGAGTCTTGGGAGTCTTGATCGCTGTAAGCGGAATTTCAAATGAAGCTTCCGCATTTTGGTTGTGCGGTAAGGATTCAAGGTAATTCACAACATTTGAAAGTACAGCGCACCGCTAACGTTGATTTTCGTATCGAGGGATTCACTTCCAGAGGCTTTCGCGTTCTTTATTGAAAGCATCAATTCGAATTGTGAATTGACGAATCAAGCACACACGAGACTTCGAGCGTTGAGTCTCGTGTGCTGGCTTCGGCCTGCACCGCATATTGCAGATGACGCGAAACGAAATCTACACACACCTAGGCAGTCAGAATCCTCAAGGCGATCCATCTGTTAATTTGGCTTTTCTGAGACAGACTTAATGCAGATTTGAGAATGTCTAGTGCATGCGAGAACCGTGCTGATGTTGGGAGAGGAAGGAGTTTTGCGCAAACTCAGGGGCCTTGAACTGTTGCTGTTGGGTCACGGCTGGCGAGTGGTGACTGTGCTGGTGCAAATGCATGTTGGGCGGTTGCTGAAAGTGTGACTGGTGACTGCTTGGAACTTCCTGTTCGTAGATGAGCTGGTCTATATCGAGCGGTACGCCCATCTGGCGGGTCAACGCCTGAGCTTGGCGGACTGAGAGTCACGAGTGCAGATGTGAGTGGGCACCGCCTTGGCTATAGCGCGATGAATATACCGCTCCAGGAACTCACTGCCGACGGGCCACGTCTGCCCATATTTGCAGAGCGTGCGCACCACCATGTCGATCTCGCTCTTGGCGACTTGTTTCTCCTGCTTCGCGTCCAAGTCAGGCGGGAAGCCGTGTCGGTCCGATTCGCCATCAGATGGACTGCGGACTTCACCAGCATTGCTACCGTTCAGCGCTTTGTTGCCAACACCGCCTGATTGCGCAAAAATTCTTTGATTATGTTGCATTCTTCTCAAGATGTTCCTGCCAGTGACCCTGCGAGCAAAATTGGGACGACGTGCGATCAGGTTTTGGCTGATGTTCCAAGAAGGACGCAACATAGACTCACGTGACAATGAATGAGAACAAGGGCGGGAACAGCGCCAAATTGGTGCTAGTAGCAGCAAGCATCTGAATGGGCAACCGGCGTCAGCTTCTGTCGTTTCGCGCGTACAATTGATGTGCATACTCACACGCAAGATGGCGAGGACTGCCGAGCAAGCAGCGCGGCACATGGCGAAGCTTTCCGATCTGCACAAAGCCAGGGGGTCGTGCAACAACAGTGTCGCGCAATGCGGGAGAGCATGGGCCGTGATCAAAACCGGATCCAGCTGACCATCTGGCTTCGTGGAGAGATATGAAGACAGATTGGGCGGGAAAGACATCGCGAAAGCACCAACGCTGTTCGAGAGTGTGTCAAATTCTGACGTGAGCAGATCTTCGACCGTCGCGATGCGGGGAAGGCGAGCGAGCAAGGCACCACTGGAGAGCACAGCATCAACATCAGCATGCTGTCGGATAGCTGTCTGACGGTACAACAACTTCACTGACCATCTTCCAACCATCATAAAGCCTTTGATCAGCAGGATAACGGCATCGTGATGGCCTCCGGTCAGGAAGTCGTCGGAGTGGCAATTTTGACGGCGACTGTAATCGTATCCTGTCATGTCCTGGTGGTGGAGGGCAAGCCGTGTAAGCCTAATCTTCCTGGCGTCAGGCGACGACCCTCAACACCTTGCTCACCGAACTCAGAAAGGCGTCGTGAGGGAGGACGGGCAGATCGCAGTCGACGTCCGCTTCGGCCAAGCTGCTAGCCCACAGTGTGGTTGCTGCAGCGCTTCGATCTCTGTTGCGGCGGTCTCGCGCTTATTAGCCTAGTCAAACGAGCTCTCAAGAGCCGCATTGCTTCACTCACGTTGCCAAAACAGAGAACATAGCTCGACGACGTTCCTCTTCTTCCACCCAGTCTTTCGGACTGGCATTGACGATCATTCTTGTGATCTCGATTGGCTGACCTAGTGATGGGGTGCTTCTGCTGCGCTCTCGATTGATATTGAGGGCGACCATCAAGCGAGTGCTGTGGCCTGCGTGCATCCAAGCTTCAAGCAGATCACCGCAGGCGTACTTCTTATTGCATAGTAGACAAGCTGCCCGTGCAATGTCGTAGAGATTGCCGCCGTGGAAAGTGCCATGGAATATGTGATGCTGGCAGCGTGCTGTGTGGTAATCCGCGCTGCCCCCCCTGGATCGGTGAATATCATAGATGCTCTTCTGCGCGCCATGTGAGCCGGCGAGCGGCTGCGCATTGGCTTGCCGAGACTGCGCAACCGGATCAAGGTCGGGCCGCAGGGTGTACGACTGCGCGTGAAAGGGCTGGCATCAGCGAAGCGAGTCTAATGGAAGACCTGCGTTCATGGTAGCTCACCAGAGCAAACATGGCATGCAAAGCTGAGGGATGTGGGTAGCGTGGAGAATGAGGCCCGAGCATCAAGGCATTGAGGAAGCGTCCGGGATGGAATATGTGCAGGAATGGGAAATTCTCAAAGAAGATGTTGACGCTGCGATAGGTGTTGAGATGTTAAGAAAGGGGCGATACAAGCGCACACCAGGTCACTGACACTTACAGCAAGTCTACGGTCTGTGGGGGAGGGAAGTCTGTCGGCCATCCTGAGAAGACCAGCTCAAGCATAGGGTCAGGATCTTGCTGTATGCCAGACGATCCAGTGCTCGAGCCTACTCCTTGTGCTGACGGAGGGAACCCGGCGATTGAGAAAGCCTCGACTGCGGTACCGCGTATTGCGGTGTGCCCATGTCCTTGACCACCACTCGCCCCGGTTTGTCCGCCGCCAGCCGAATCGAGGAGCAATGGGCCCAACATGTCACTCCTCTGCAACGGATGGGAATACGTACTGTTCCCAGAAGGGCTGCTGATGTCGGAAACAGCAATATGTCGGAGTCCATCCTGATCCCCGGGCAAGTTGCCGAAGTCCATACTTGGATCCAGCATGAGCTGCGCACTGCTATTATTCTGCCCTTGGTCTGCCAGAGGATCGGCAGACGGGCGATGATTGGTCGGCCTGCCAGAGAGTCCGGACGGCATAGTTTGGTAGCTACTCTCGCCTCCTCGCATCGTGTTAGCAAGTATCTCTGCAATCGAAAGTTCGTCGGCCGAGCTAGTGCTTTGCACTCTCTGAGCCTGCAAGAGAGCTCTAAGCTCCGCTGAGCAGTGAGGAGGAGGGGCCGCAAGGGGCAGGGTGATTGAGTGATACGCTTAACACGACACATTCTAGCCGCGAGCGCATCCTCGAAACTTACCGACCTCGCGCGAGAGCTTGCGATTCTCCTCGCTCAGTGATGGGCTACCGTTCCCTCCCAGAGTGCCGGAATCGGTGGCATGTCTTTTGCGAGCATTTGACTTGTTGTTCTGGTTGCTGGGTGACCCTGATACGGTAGACTTCTTGTTTCCTTTGCGCGGCTCGACCGCTATGTAGCTGCAGGGCGTCTCCATGGCGTCGATGTCGTTCTCAGAATGACCTTTGGCCAGCATTGACTTTCGCCGAGCGGCCCAGGCCCGGCCACATTGGCCACATATCGGTCGGACACCATCGCACTTAAGCTTGCGCTCGCGACACGCAGCGCAAGCCCGATTGCGACCGAGGTGCTTGGCGAATGGTGTGACGAGAGGCACTGCGAATGAAGAGTCTGCTTCGTCCGCATCAAGGTGTGGCCGCGTAGCATGTCCTCCTGAAATGTCTGCTGTCGCGTCTGTTGTGGGACTGCGGCCACTTTCGCGTGGTAGAGGCTGTCGAGATTGTTCGGCGTCCAAGCCCGAAGGATCGCTGACGACGTCGCCAGTGAGCTCATCGAGCGACGAGCCATTCGACGCCGAGTCGTGCACGTGGTCTGTCTCGTCGTTGGATGAGCTGACAAAGCCAGTGGGTCGGGTGATATGAGAGCCCTCTATAGCGCGATCGGGATGTGAGAAGCCCGCGTGCGAAGTGGTGCCGCTCATCGCTGGCAAGTGTATACTTCTCTTAAGACACCCTCCCAATAGATGCTTTGTCTATACACCGTCACCGAAAGACAAGCTTGGCGACGTGCGAGAAGAACTTGTCTAGTCGCAACTCCCAGAGTCTAGTGTCCAGGTTCCGACGTCCGAGTAAGGGCTGCCGTTATCTTGCGCGGCAGCAAGAATCGTAAAGTTTCCCTTCTGGCTGGCAGGAATCAGCTCAGAACTTCCATGCCATCAGTCGTGAGTGTTCGAATTGCAGATTGCGGGGAGAAATGACGGGATTCGGTCGAAGAGGTTGTCCTTATATACTGTATGTATACATGCATCCACTATGCGGGCCGATTGCAGATGCAGTGTTGGATGAATGTTATTCTCGGCCCTCTTCCAGGAAAGCGGACGCAAGTGGTACCACTGCAATGGCTTACCTTGGTTGAGATGTTGATCGCTCTTGCCAAGAAAGAGAGCAGAGAGCACGGGATCAGTTGGTACAAAGGCAATGAACATTCCCCCCACCCCAAGGCTGAGGAGCTCCTACGGTGCGAGATTGATGCAGTGTGCGGAAGACGGAATTCCCTTGTTGGAGAGGCTATGTAGCTGTGTTTGTGCGAACAAAGCTGTAGAGGTGCTTGGTTCTTGATTGTTGTGATTTGCTCGTGCGACTGCATCAGCAGCATCAATTCATGCCAGATCGACTCGGCCGCGGTGAGCAAGTCACTGAGTCGTCCCCCCCCTTCCCCAACTCTTGCACGGATGCAATCGCGAATGGAAAGGAGCCTTCCAGGCTTTCGCTATCGCTTGTCTCACTGCATGCAGCGGCAGCGGTGGTCGCAGTCCGAGACTTTGTGGGATGAGCTGAGCTGCTGCGCGCTGGTCCTGCGATCGCGGGTGGCAGATCAACGTGGGTACGTGTGCGAGCTCACAGATCACAACAGCAAGTCTCGAAAAACGCGAGGGCAATGGTCGAGAAGCGAGAGGCAGCCTGCCCGTGACATTAAGGTCCAGAAGGGCAGGCAGGCGGGCGATGCCAAGCGAAACGCTCTGCGACCCCGCTGTCACTGCTCGCTCTTGTTCTCCCACCTGAACCGCACAATGGCAGATTAAGCGTGCCGAGGGGAGCGAGCGTTGGTAATTCAAGCCTTCTGGACGGAGAATTGGTCCAATATGCAGCGCTTTCCTTGCTCGCTATGGCCATGGCCAGGGAATGGAGGAGTCATCCATCCATCCTGCTGACGATCGATGCCATGGAAGAGGCTCGCTGGAGTAGTCTAGTGTGAGTGTCGGCGACTTTGACCAACAGGCTGCTGCACTATGATAGCGGTGCGGTGCGGCATTTTCCAAGCCGCATCCGCATCGGGCAGAAAGATGCTGGGCGGCAGGCCGAGGCCGACGAGCCAGCTAGGTGTCGCCGGGGCGACACATCCGAGTTCCGAAAGCCGAGGCCCGCGAAATCCACCACCGAAACGCCGCACGACGTGCAAAAGTCACAGAAGCTCTAGAACAATTTGTCCCGTCCTGCATTCAAATTGCCCGCCCTCTTGACTGTATTGTGATTGTTAGCACACGCACATGCCTTTGAGTAGACGCGCATGCATTTGTTCAGCCTGAATTGCTCGTTCATATTGCCGAATACACGAGCCTGCAGCACGTAATTAGCCTGAAGTTCTTGGTTCTCCGGAGGTGCCGCCAGCAGCAGCCATGCCTTGATAAGATCCCACGCGCCTCCAGAGAGGCCCCACAGTCACGTGAATGTGTGACTCCAAGCTCTCTTCTCGAAGACGTTTTGAAAGCTCATCAAATATAAGAGACCAACAGTGATGCACCCACAGCGGCTTAACGACCACTGTGAGCTGCTCCGAACGGCGGACAAAGGTCACAGCTTCTTTGGCAGCAATAATTCACGCGGACGCGTCCAGTTGTCAGAGCCCAAGAGGCCTGGAGGGAAGCGCGCTCCGCTCGCAGAGGCCAGCAGGCAAATAAACAGCCGCTACCCCTGCAGCAATCACGGTGCTTCCAGCTGAGCGGCAGCGTGCATGCGCACATCCACGATTGGTGACGCTTACTCCCCCACAAAACCATCCTGGAAGCCATAGTCACTCCAGCGACACTAGTCAAGTCCATTCCACGATGGCGTCAGGCATCGGCAATCTCAGCACCCTCTTGAAGCGGTGAGTAGCGCTCGCGCCGCACTCGCTCGCTCGACTTGCCGTGGCTGAGACACGCAGCTCGCACACTGCCAGGCTGGAAGCTGCGACGTCTCGTCTCGAAGATATTGCAGTCGCTCAAGCCCAAGGCGTCACTGCTTCCGTCTCAGGTGGACCATCAGCTGCTGGACATTCTGGCGTGGCAGCCTCTGCACCCGCAGCGGCGGCAGCAGCTCCAGTCGAGGAACCGGCTGTTATCGAGGCATACAACGAGACTGTCGCTCCTGCGCTCAAGAAGTATGTAGATCTGAGCGCCAAGCTTGGCGGCCCGGTGCATGAGCAAGTGAGTGGGGAGGAGTGCTATGAGACACAAGCGCTGCGAGACACCCAGCAAGAAGGAAAGCTGATCACTTACGGTGCTTTGCCCAGGCGAAATGCCTCGCAGCAGGCTTCGAGGCGCAAAAGCACCTCATTCACCTTGCTTCGGCATCAAAGAAGCCTCCTGGAGGCTCTCCCACCACAGGTCCTGGTCCCGGATTTGTAGCGCTGCTGAAGCCTTTGCAGACAGAACTTATAGCTACTACAGAAGTGCGGGATCAGAAGCGTGGTGACAAGGCTCTGTTCAATCATCTGTCTACAGTTGCTGAAGGCGCACCTGCCCTGGGCTGGGTCACCATCGTATGTGCAAGCTGCATGAAGCTGCTGGCGAGACATCCAGACTGACTCTGCCTTTGCTGCACCCCACAGGAGCCGAAGCCTGCACCTTATGTCATTTCAACGAAGGAATCCGCAGAATTCTACTCGAATCGGGTCATTAAGGAACACAAGGATGATGCCGACAGGACGCATGTGGAATGGACGCGCAGCTTTGTTGCGCTGTTGAGCGCTCTGGCTGCGTACGTCAAAGAGCATCACACCACTGGGTTGGCGTGGAACCCGAGAGTGAGTCGGCTTCAAACTTTCAACAGCGCTTCGGAGACTCTCTTGTCGCAATGCTGAATGCTGAGGTGTACAATTCGATCTCCGTGATTGCAGGGAGGGGATGCCGAAGCTTTCGCTAGTCCATCTAGCGCACCAGCTGCTCCAGCTGCTCCTCCCGCACCTCCTGCACCGCCTTCTGGCGGCCCTCCTCCCCCTCCGCCCCCTCCTCCCGCTGGCTTGCCGCCCGCGCCAGTGGCAGCTGGAGGTATGGATGCAGTCTTCAGTCAGCTTAACCAGGGAGAGGGCATCACAAGCGGATTGAAGAAGGTGGACAGGAGTCAAATGACGCACAAAAACCCAGAGCTACGGGCCAGCGGTGAGCAGACATAGAGAAATGGCGAGCAGCAGGCGGTGGCGGTACTGACATCACATTGATCCACATCTTGGACAGCCCCCGCACCCGCTTCTGGATCGAAGCCCACGCCACCCAAACCAGGCGTAAAACCTGCTTCTTTCAGGCAAAAGAAGCCTGCAAGAACGGAGCTTGAGGGCAACAAATGGTCTGTTGTGAGTTACCTTTCGGCTTACGCGCGGACAGCTTGTCGCCAAGATGGATCACGACTGACCGGGCAAGATCTGTCACGTTCGGTTGCCAGGAAAATCACGAGGACAACAGGGAAATTGTCATCGATGCGACAGAGCTAAATCAGACAGTAAACATTTTTGGGTGCAAGAACTCTACCATCCAAATTCGGGGCAAGATCAATGCGGTGTCCATGGGTAAGTTGGGAATTTTGAAGGGAGTTCAGACGCGTGAGATTGATCTTTTCACAATTTCCAACCAACAGTCTCCTGTCAAAAGACTTCAATCTTGCTAGATACTCTGGTGTCGGCACTTGAGATCACATCGTCTCCATCCTTCGCTGTGCAAGTGACCGGTCGCACTCCAACAATCTTGATCGACAGCTGCGACTCTGGTCAGATTTACCTCTCTGCCGAAGGGAGCGACTCGGAAATCGTGACTTCGAAGTGCAGCGCCATCAACGTCAGCGTGCCCGTGGAGGGAGGAGAGGAAGGGGAATTGAAAGAGTTTGCATTGCCCGAACAGCTCAGGCATGGCTTCAAGACCGGAAAGATTCATACGGAGGTCGTCGCGCACACTGGTTGAAGGCTGTGTTCTCGTCATGGTTAGCTGCGTGGGCCTTCGTGCCCTCCCTGCCACAACGATCCTCGCTTTCGATATCCGTGGGATTTTTGCAGTACCCGCAATAACATGACCTACGATGCAAGATGAATCTAAAGATGTGCTGTGCTCCTCAAGCTTGAGGTGACGTGCGGCCACACGTTGCTTTGCGAAGCGTTCCAGCGTTATCTGAGAGCAGCTCGCATAGGGGTTCGAGGAGAGATTGCAGAGAGTGCTGCCTTACAAGAAGTGAAGTGGAAAAAGCTTCCAGGTGTAAATCGAGAGGAGGCAAGAGGGTGGTGAAGCCGAATCACTAGTGATGCACCTCATCGTCTGTACGGATCCAGAGAGAGAGACGGGATTGAGAATGATCCCAAGGACACATAAAAGAGAAAGGAAGAAAAAGGACGGAGGGTGTCAAAAGTTGAATGTGACGTGGCGCGACGAGCGATGTTTATTTCCTGCCACTCTATCCATCAAAAGCAATCGAGCCAAAAAAAAAAATTATAGTCGCTAGGCAAGCAGTCTCTCGAATCCTTCATCGCCCTCATTCTTCTTGCTTTTCTCTCTTCTTTGCCCTCTCGATCAAGTCGATGCCCACCAATACCTTGGCAGCCTTCCAGAATTGCAAAGCGTTGAACAATTGCTTGGCTGCGCAGATGGGCAGCGTCACAAGCGCAGCGATCTGCGGCCACGTGGTTCGCCTGACCAGAGCAAAAGCCAAGCCTACTGCTCCTTTGGGTTGGTCTACCGCGAGCCTTGTGAGATGAAGCTGCAGGCTTGAGGGCAGAGGGGCAAGGAACCATGAGGGCTCGAGTCCGAGAGGTGTGGGATAGAAGTCCAGGAGGTAGAGGCACACGAAAAAGAGCTCATTTCCGGCACAATAGAAGAACAACCACCGCTGATGTGAAGGAAGGAAGTGTGAGCATGCGGGCTGGGCGTCTGTCCGCTAGCTCGCTTGAGAACAAAGGTGCTCACCTGGCTGTAGTAGTGTCTGAGGAGCTTTGACACGTCCTCATTGACGACCTTGTGAGAGGTCGAGCCAGTGACAAGGGAGCTGTTGTGAAGAGGAGTGGAGGTTAAGCTCGACCTTCAGGAGCTTGCAGGCCGATAGCAATCTCGGGTGGAATCATTGACCCGCGAAACCAAGCGCTCGTAACCTAGCAATGCGCTTCAAGGCGGCCAAGCACCGTCTTCGCGGCAGCCGTTCTCGCGCACCTGCTTTCATCTGCCTGCGGTCAGTCGACGCAAAGTGTCCCCTCTCTATCCGCCTTTCTGGTAGCTCTCTCTGCCTCTCTCTCTCTCCATGCGAAGTATCTGTTGCCCAGTCTCTCCCCAAAAGGTCCTCCGGTGCGCGTATACTCACCTGTACATGTGGATGTAGTGACTCGAAAAGTCCAGCGTGATGAGCGCTTGGAACAGAATGGCACAGCGCGGATACGCAGTCGTCAAGAAGCACAGCAGACACGATGTCGTGCAGCTAGCGCGCATCGAATGGAGGGATCCGCGTCAGCTGTGTTGCTCCTGTGTGTGTTTTCTCGAAATGCTCTGACAACCCAGCTCCTGAGCCTGCTCCAAGCGCCTCCTCTTAATTTGCCAATCTGGCTTGCTTTGCCTATACTGAAACTCACCGATCTGTGACCATGTCAAGCACAGCACCAAACTTGGTGCTCTGACCCAACCTCCTCGCCGCGACGCCATCCGCAGCATCCAAGAGGCAGCTGACGCCGTACAAAAGCGTGCAAGTCTTTGGATTGCTCTTCATGTATATCAGACTGAGCGCTGCCAGAATGATGCGTGCATATCCTGCGAACGAGGAGCAAGTGAGCAGAGTTGGTAGGGCGAGGCAGATTGGCACGTTTGGCGAAAGTTCAAACTTCGTTTGGAAGGAGGACTAGCATCCCTCAGCAGCACTCACCAATCAAGTTTGGCACAAAGAGAAAGACATTTTCGTCTGCTGCATTTGCTTGTCTGGTAGCCAAGCTCATGCCCAGGTTGTGTTTGTTCGCATCAGGGGCCGACGAGGAGGTGTGAGAAGCTGGAAGATCAGAAGAAGTGATGATGGACGTCTTTTCCGAGGAAGCTGGAAGACCGCTAGCGGTGATTTGGATGGGCCCATTCGCTTTTGTAGCCCCTGATGATGAGCTCGCTTGTTGCGAGCCTCGCGTAGATCTGGCCATGAAGAGCGTTCTTGAGGTGCTGAGTTCCTGAGCTGCCGTGGCAGTGCTGCAAGCGCGACTTGATCTGGACGGAAGCCTGTTGAGAGGCGACGATAGGGCTTGATTGGGGAGATCTGTTCGCGTTGGCGTCTGCGTCGATACCCTTTTGCGCTCTAAATCACACAGTTTGACGGGTCGCAGCTAGCCGGCAGCGTACACAGATTATTCCCGTGCTCTGCGTGTCGAGGTCAAGCGATGCTTGCGTTTGCGCACTCCGTAGTGCGGAATCGCAGAACGATTGCTAGGCTATGCTGGCCAGCGCGAACAGTGCAGCTAGAGGTGTGTCTATCCAACCTGAAGGGTGAATGCGGAGAAAAGGCAAGATGTGTCCGGTGCACGACGTGTGGAAGACGGTGCTCTGCGCACGCCTTGATCGCGCGGGCGCCGCACGTCGCTTACTTCGTGGGGTGGCTCGCGGATTCACGCTACGAGTACACGCGCGTCAGCGGCTCGCCCGGCCGACATGCAGCAGCAGCAGCAGCAGCAGCAGCGACCACGAATCACGACAGGCTATACTTGACGCAGCTGCTGCTATCGGCGGGCACTCACTCACGTACACTTCTCATCTGCGCCTAGCTGCTGCTGCGATGGGAGAGGGTCACGCGCCGAAGTCGCAGGAAGCATCAGTCATGAGTGGCTAGGAAGGCGTGCAGCTGCAGCTGCTTTTGTGGAGCGCGGCTCATCACCAGCCTAACCCCGGCCTCGTCCTCCCGCAAGCTTGCAGCTGCTGATGCATGCATCATGGCGGTGCAGCTCCACCCACGCGAATCCGCGCCGAGAGCCGATACGCACACGAACGACGGTTGTGTACTTGCACACCGCGCCAACCTGTCAGCCAAAGTCTCTTGACGGTCGCGTGGTAGAAGAGCAATGAGCAATCGAGATTAAGAATTCAGCGTCCCCTAACCCTGTTCATACAGCGTTCGATCCAGTCCGGTAGCTCAGTGTTGCAAAGTCACAAGCACGCCCGACGTCAGGGCAAACATTTCGCCATCGACCTGATGATCTGGGAGGTATATTTGAATGGGCACGTGATAATGATGGCATAACCAGTTGAGCCGCGGCAGAGTACCGCGTCGCAACGGTCGATCATCGAGTCTTGCATGTATTGAGTGTGCCTGCTACCACTCAAGACCCAACAATAGTCAGTGCCTACGCTCCAAAGCCAAAGCCAAAGCCAAAGCCAAAGCCAAAGCCAATCGTGTATTGAGCAGGCAAATTCATAGCATTCGGATCTTGTCGAGGAGCAGCAGAACAAGATGCTTGGGGAAAGCCAGAGCTGGATCGTAGCATCAACTCCAAGAGGTCACAACCTGGCGCTCCAGCACTCGGAGCATCTGACTTGTCCCTCCGCATTGACCTTGGCAGCGGAATCGAGCAGCTTCCCGCACCTTTTCCCTTCCGATGCGCTGCTTTTACCGGTAGAGGACTCAAACAGGTTGGCTCTAGAGGTGATCTGCAAGCTGCTCCGCCTACTGGCGGTCGATGCTCCTTCTCTTATTCCTCCACACCGCAAACATCCTCGATGCCACGACGTCCCTCTTGGTCCGGGGACGGACTCGAGCGAAGTCAAGCCCACACTGCATCCTGCACATTGCAAAAGACCGCCAAGCTTTCTTCCCGCAAAGGTGATACTTGCAGCAGCTGGGAAAGTCTGTTGCGATCCTCCGACCGAGCCATCCTTGGCCAAGGAAGTGCTTGCCGGAGCCCGGCTACTTGCAGCCCCGCTGAAGATGCCCCTCATATCACGAGCCCTTGACGACGGCGGTTGAACGTCCAGGGTACTGCGTGTAGGCGGTGCAGCTCCCGACGTGGGCTGGAATCGTCGGCCCGAGGCGTGCAGGCCAGTATTGCTGAGTCTGCGCCCTTCCCCTTGAAGATTCGCATCAGTCGATGAGTCGTTGGACGCGTGGCGATCCATGCCGAACGAAGCCTTCGAGGGAGAAGTCGATCGGGATCGACTGCTTGCGCTGCTGATGAATCCATACTTCTGTGCCGGTGGTGGTGGATTCGGTCCCAAGCTAGGTCGAGGCACTGATTGGTGAGTGACGTGGTGTGGTTCCGAGGCATGTGCCATCGTCGTCGGAGCTGCCGCATCAGTTGCGCCATTGAGGTTCACCTTGACGGGATACATTTTAGGCACTGGAGCACAAGGCGGATGAGCGTAGCGAGGCAAGTGCTTCCGCATTGCAGGGTCTTCATCGTCCTCAAGTCGGACAAAGCTGCGAGATCCGTCAATTTGCTCACCGCAGGTAGCGCAGCGGAAGCAGTGAGCATGTAGCGTCAATCCCGAGCTGGATAGCGTGACCATCTCCACAGTCATGTGGCTGTTGCCCGCTTCTTCAAAAAAGGGCGGACGACCACAAGCCGCACATGTGACTTCCTCTTGACCTGCGCTGCCTGGCTTCGCAGCAGACTCTCCCACGGGCTCTTCGCGCTTGCTACTCCCGGCCGGCAGAGGAAAGCCGCTGCGAGTCCTGGGCACCTGCGTGGTTGGCGGCTCATTTCCTGGCGAACTTGCTCCATCATTGCGATCCATCTTGCCGTTCCTGCTGTCCTGTCTGGTCAGGCCATTGGAGCCCTGCGCGCCTGCCTGACTGCTCCTGAAAGCTGCCAAGTCAAACTTTTCGCCAGTGAACTGCGCCGTCAAGGGTCGAGGCTTTGTGGGAGATCCTGGTCTCGATAGCGAATTGGTGCGAGAAAGCGAGCGCGTGATGGAGTTGGAGCGACTCAGAGAGCCAGAGTCGCTGCGCAGACTCGCCAAGCTCGTAGATGTGGGCATCGCCGTTGAAGAGGGGGTCTGACCTGACTGCTTCTTATCCAGGCCGCTGCTAGAAGCTCCAGCGAGAGCCGACATGGTCCTCGATCTCGAGTAGGGCGCATTGTTGCCATATGCAGCCGTGTTGCCCCAGGTAGGTGGCGGACCCATCTTGGTAGGAGAAGCGCTACCCGAGCGGACTGGACCCAGCTGAGGGGAAGGGGGAACATTGGCAGCGGCTGGCGCAATCGAAGTTCCGGAGAAGCGAGCAGAGAGTGCTGCAATGCTGGCACCCATAGCTGTGCGAGCTGCCGGTGCCCCAGAGAGGTTACGCAGATCTTGAGACTGCCGGCGGGTGGTCGGGACAGGGAAGTTGTGCGCAGCTCCCGTGCTGGCTCCCATGCTGACCGCAGGAGCGCGACGTGGCTTTGGCTGATCGAAGCATTCCTCACAGACGGGCATGGCATCCATACCTCGGATCACCCTGTCCTTTGTACCGCAACTCCCACAAACCCAGCACTTGCCGTGCCACACATCATCTCCTGCGCGGACAAATCTGCCTTCCTCTTTCACCAATCCCAGAACCGCTTTCTTGCATCCGGGACACACGCCTAGAGAGAAGCGCTGCGAGTAGCACGCTTGACAGAAGAACTGGGATGGTGTGCTCGTGCCCGAAGATGCTGCATTTGCAGAGCGGGGCGTCGTCGCTCCTGTTGATGTGCTGGCCAAAGTGGCGGCCGTAGGAGCAGCAAATAGCGTAGCATCTCTAACAAATGGAGCTTCGCAGCCTCCGCACTTCCACGTCTTGCGCTGCTCTTCCGGTGCGAGCAGCGTTCCCACCACTTTGGAAAGCTGGCCGTCGGGAGCTTGGATGGTCGGCATGGCTGCATCGCTCGAGAGTCGAGGCCTTTGTGGTGGCGGAGGAGTTCGCAGGTCTCTAGATATGGAAGAAGGCACACCGAGAGCCAAAGGCGCGTTGCGCGACACTGGCGCCCGCGCAAGGGTTGGCGCTGGGGTGGATGATGGGAAAGCGAGGCTGAACTGTTCATCCGAGTCGGCCAGCTTCAACGAGCCCGACACGTAGCTGCGTGCGTGAGACGTGTGAGCTTGATCTTTGTTGGTCGCGCGAGCCCCGTCGACGGCCCGCCCCTAGCAACAAGATCATTGGCATGCGACACTCACCTCCTCTCCCAAGGGTCCTTTCGGCTCTTGCTCCCCTCTGCAGGTTCGGATTCCCTCACTTTGGCTTGAGTCGCTGTACCTCCGCACTTGCGACAGCGAGAAAGCTCGTGTCTCGAAGCGTTGCCCGCTGACATGCTCGAGACTGGATCGCCGCATCTTCGACAAAAGTCCATGCGAGGAGCACTTGGGGTGCTCGTTGTGGCTGCCGACATCACAGCCGAGACAGCGTGTTCTTGTCCGCTGCAAAAGCCTCAAAAGAGCGCGTGGGGATACTGAGATGGATCGCCTTGATTTCGAGTTGTGCTGGCGCGTAAACCGCTGCGCGGCGTTGAAGAAGTGTGGTGCGTGGAGAGTCACGAATCACGAGTGTTGCGGTGTTTGCTATGCAACCACTGCGCGGCTTGAAGAAATGCTCGCCAGCCACCCGAACGAGCTTGACGCGCCCAGCTAGGTTGCACAGCTTTATATAGGAGGGCACAGCAGGTTGCTGCTGATACATGTACGTATACATATATGCATATGGTCATCGTCGTGTTAAAGTCACAAGTAACATCCACGCCATGACCTCTGCTACATCGCGTCAACAAGAGAAGGTCATCAAATGTCTCACTCAACTCTGCGCATACAGCGCCTTCCGCGGTTATTTTGCGGGTGTCTGCTCCGTCAATGCGCGGTGTTTGGTCTCGCTTCACGAGGCGGTGCAACCATGCACACGACCGCATATGTATAGCCCCTCTCCTTGGCGACGCGGGTCGAGGGGTTGCACGCGCGTGTGTCAGTCACGAGTCTGTGAGTCATGACTCATGATCGAGTCGTGAGTCGAGCGTCTTGCGATGCATAGAAGAATCCTTTTTGAAACGCCGTCGTGTGTCTTGTCGTTGCGAGCAAACACGTGAGTGCTGACGGCGGTGGGTCGTTCTTCTCCTCTCGGCTCCTTCATACACGATTCAAGCTTCGATGCACAACTGATCCACATCTTTGGAACTGTGATTAGTCGTCAGACTAGAGCTCACTACGGCTTGAGTCCATATTATGGGTCTTGAGGCGACAGAACGCCAGCCCTGCGCTCTTGACGCTCGGAACAGCAGATATCATGTTGATTCAATGGTCAAGTACGCTACACTTACTCTGATGATCCCTATATACGCTCGCGCACAAGAAGCACAGCAACTACAATGACGGATTGTGACATTGATTGCGCTTGCAGTGTTCGATCCTGCAAACCACGCACACGCATGCGCAGTTCCTGACCCTCGTGCAGGAGGTCACGCGAATCCACCTCCGCCTCCCGCCTGGTTCATCTTCCTATCATGCCCTCTAGTCCTCGCCACGTTTCCTTGCCTCTCCTTCCTCTTCGCTCCTCGGTCCGTGCCGCTATGTCCCGTACCTCTACCCCTGCTCGACTTGCCTCCACCGCCTTCCGATCCACCTCGCGGGCCCGAGCCTCCCCTTCCCCTTCCTCCGCCTCTTGCCCCGCGCAGGACCCGACCTCCTCGTCCGCGATCTGGGCCGAAGCGAGTGCTTTGATCCTCATCTTCCGAGTCTTCATCCGGACGGCTTGCTACAGCGGGAATGGAAGCCGTGTCGCTCGTGGACAGTCGGGAAAGCATCTTCTCTCTCTTCGGCTGCACATTCGGCGCGCAACTACCCGGATCAGCGCCAAGCTCGCAAGTCTCGCTTTTCCTCACTCACATCTCTAGTAAAAACTGTTCCCCAATCCTCAACGAGTGCGTGATCCCACGAGCCGCCTAGACTAGCGAGTAGGTCCCTCCGTTGCTTACTGCTGCGATTCGCATCGCTGCGTGCAAACGCGTTAGCGCCGTGATGGAGGTAATGAAGCTGCAGCGTTGTGGCATCAGAAACGGCAGCCTTCCCTTTGTTTGAAGAGCCGACAATCTGTCTGCCAGCATTGTTCACAGCAGCCGCACCGGCCGGTGCACGTGTCTCGTGGTCTTCATCATCCTCATCCTCCGCTTCCGTGTCCTCGTCAAAAGTTGAGTAGTCCTCTGCGAAGCGAGAAGCATTCGCACCCATGCCAAAGAGCTTGGAGATGCCGCGCCTTCGATCTTGAGGTTGCTCAATTTCTGTCTCCAGCTCCTCCTCAAAACCGACTGCCCGATCGCGGGCAACGCCAAAGTCATCGACATCTGATTCGTCTGAGCTCGGGGCATCTGCGCGCGCGATCGTCAAACGCTTAAGCTCCTCGGAAAGCCCTTGCTCGCTCGATGACCTGTCTCCATCGCGGGTCAAGAAGCGAGAAGGATCGAAATTGAACCGCGCTCTAGACTCGCGCAACGGGCTGATTGGCTTTTTGGCGACTCTTGGGGGTAAAATGCTTTCTGCGCTTGGAGACAGAGCAATCTGAGACGCCGACGGTGGCGATGCTGCGGTCTGAGCACCATCTGGATCATCTAAGAGCAGTTCGATGATCTGCTCATTCGATCTTGCCGCGTATCTGGGGTCCGAGCGCAGCTTGCCCAGGAGATTGCTCCGCGATATATGCGGCAAGACATTAAGCAGCGCATCAAGCTGCACTCGTTCATTGGCCGTCTCGGGTGAACTTTGAGAAGCAGCTTCGAGGGCCGAGGCGTGAGGACGAACTGGCAAGGTTCTGGATCTTTGGATGGATTGCGCAAGACCCTGACCAAGCGTGGTCAGCTCTTGCCCATAGTTGACAGTAGCATCGCCATCGATCTTGATTGGTTCGCCACGGAGTGCCGCGAGAAGCGCCGCTGCGTCTCGTAAGTGAGCATTTAGGGCTTTGGTGGAGGCACTCAAGTCACGTTCTACTGAGCCACCTGCTTGGCTTGAAGGAGCATCCATGCGCTGCGCTGCTGTCTGTATGTCGAGGCTCATTTTCTCCCACTCATCACTGGGCAAGGCTTTGCTGGAGATGACACGGAGTAGTGCGCTGAGGCTGGCCGCAGCGCTGCCACAGCTTTCGTCATCATGCAGTCCATCAATGGCGGCTCGTACGAGGTGCACGCTCTCTTCAGGGGTGAGTATTCGCCTGAAGATGGCGCGCAGGCCGGCAAGGGCGAGTCTTCGTCCCTTGATGCTTCGAGCATCCCCAGAATGAGGGGCAAGGTGCACCACGATGACGAGGTGGAGGAGCGTGGTTGCTTGCGGCAGGAGCATCCTGATAAGCGTTGGATCTCCTTCTTGCAACACTCTCACAAGTAGATGCACGAATTCGTATGAAGAGTTTCCAACATCCTGAGATATCGCAACAGCCGCCTGACCTTGAGGACGGCGCTGCGAGCCAAAGTTGATGGACTGGGCAGCCAGCCATGCGAGCGTATTTGTGAGAGCAGCTGGAAGCTGAGGTGACGAATTTAGTAAAGACGGAATCGCAGCTGGGCGCAGATTCGACAAGGATAGGAGAAAGCGCACTGATCCCGATTGAGCTTCGGCCATCGTACAAATGCGGGCCGAATGGCCTGTCGGCGGTGTGCCGAAGGATCGCTTCCCTGCCGTATGCGACTACCCGCCAATAAAGTCCACGTCGAACATGTGAGTTTGTGGCCAGAAACAAGATCAGCGGTCCTCGCAAGAGCCCGGAGTAGCAAGGCCGGTAGATTAGACAGAGCTCGAGAGGCAGCTGGTGGATGTGCCTCTAATCTCATGTGTGCAGCAATTTGAATCACGAATGTAATGCAGAGCACTCCGGCGTGAGGCTCTCATGTAAGGTGCTGGCTGGTAAGTGTCAAGAGTGCTCCCTCGACGACTTATTAACTCTTCTGGCGAGGTTCACTGTGCCTCCACGTGACCCAAGATGCGAGATGGCCCGCGCTACTGCTGATTCACGATCACGGCCGGCGGACGCGTCAGGGCGCGTGTGGAGTCTTGAGTGATGAGTACGATCAAGAAATGGGTAGCAACAGTCAGCATTCACACTCCCGACTCACACTCACGACTCCTCCATGCGTATCCGCCGCCCGCAGGTCTCACGTCCTTCTCATCAATCGAAATGCAGAAGAGACTCTTTCATTCGTGATCCCATGTTCAGCTTCACGCTCTGATTCGACACGCATTGGTGCGTCGCGAGGCGCGGCAGACTGAACGGAAGCGACGATTTGCGAAGAGGTGCTTCCCACCGCACGGACCTCACCTCTTAGCACAGTCCAACCCACGCGCTTCATTGACTGCCGCGTGCCCAAGTTGGAACAGGAGGACGAAGGCATCTGGGCAAGCAAGGGTGGTGACCTCCACACTGCTGCGCTCATAGCGTCGCCGAGCACCGGCAAGACCCAAGCATGGCGCCCAAGACTTCACCACCAAAGGGCTCAGGCTCGGGCTCGGGTTCGAAGAAGCCACACAAGCTCATAGAGGGGCAGAGCAGTCTAGCAGGATTCTTCTCCGGAGGAAGATTGACTCCAGCAGCGGCGGCTAAGCCGAAGAACGGCTCGCAAGAATCTCCAAGCGGTGGAAGAGAGAGCAAGGCTGGAGCAGTCGAGAAGAAACAGGTGGAGCAGATGGACGGCCCTGTGAGTTCATAGCAACGTCAGTCTCCAAACGGACACATCCCAGGCACTCAACTCAGCATCGCGCCCTTTCACTTGCAGATGACGGTATCTGGTCATAGGCCGTCTGCTAGCGCCACCCCTTCGCCCAGCAAGAAGCGCACGCGAACCCATGATCGCTCTTCTTCTTCGCTGAGCTCGGATGAGGACGCTGCACCCAAGCCAGGGCCCTTGACCTCCAAGCCCAGTACGTCTGGGTCGAAGCGGTCCACCGCTGCCAAGCCAGGCACTTCAAAATACTTTGGCAACGGCTCTGGCAGCTCAGCAAAAACTGGTCGAAGTGTGAGTTCACCCAGCAATGGGATTGCTGTCCTGTACCTGCCCCTCACGCGTGTAGTGGCTCCCGCGACTTTCTGCCGTGTCCAGGCTACCGAGGCCATTGATCTGGGAGACTCTTCGGGAGAAGAAATGCCGGCCAAAACCAACTCTGCTCAAGCCAGAAAGTCTTCACAACCTGGGAAGCGTAAAGTGAGTCTCTCCTACGGGATCTCCTCTCGCTGAAGAGGCTATTCACTGACTGCCAACTTTGTCCAGGCTGCCGCTGCCACCGTACCAGACTCGTCGGATGACGATGTTCCGAGCAAGAAGCCCAAGATCAAAGCAGCTCCCTCGCCTTCGCGAAGCAAAGATCGAGGTGGCGCCAAAACTTCGCCCACAAAGGGAACGAAATCCCCGACGAAAGGCGCGAGCAGCAGTAAGGCAAAGAAGGGGAAGCAGGATGCTTCTTCAGAAGACGAGATGGACTTTCCTCCACCGAAACCAACGGGCAAGTCGAACGCAAATGGGGCGACCAGCTCAAAGCCCAAGGATGAGCAGGATGGGGATTCAAAGGCGGGCGCATTCAAGTCAGTCGTCTGCTTTCGTCGGATCAGATACACATTGTAGCTGACATCATTCTCCCTCGCGTGCAGCTGGCGTCAGGCAGCTGCAGCGCGAGCCAATGGACCTGCCGCACCTGGCAGCAAAGCCGTACCTCAGGGGAAGCCGAATTGCTTGGCCGGCCTCACTTTTGTATTCACAGGGGAACTTCAAAGCCTCAGTAGAGAGGATGCGCAAGATCTCGCCCGGCGGTATGGCGCGTGAGTAGGTACAATGCGCGAACGAGCGCGAGAGCTTGTACTCATCGCACCACAAGTTTCTCTCGATTTTGCAGCAAAGTCACCACTGGGCCCTCCAGCAAAACATCATACGTTGTTCTTGGCGAAGGAGCAGGCCCGTCGAAGCTGAAAGCAATCGAGAAGAATGGTCTGAAAACGCTGGATGAGGACGGCTTCCTCGGGCTGATAGCGGATCGTGGCGAGGGCGAGCCCGACAAAGCAGCGATTAAAAAGCAGGAGGCGGAGCAACAAAAGATTCTCGCTGCTGCTGCCGAGCTGCGGAAAGAGGTCAAGAAGAGCAGCGGTGGAGCACCTGGCGCTGCCATCAAAGGTCCGAAGTGAGTGCATGGAGCTACCTTCCAATGGAGGGTCAGCAGAGCCTCACGCATTCTTTTCGGCTTGTCATCGGCCAGAGAACACGCGCTGTGGACGAGCAGATACGCGCCTGCGCGTATGAAGGATCTGGTCGGTAACGGTACCTCGATTGCAAAGATCGAAGACTGGTTGACGAATTGGTGTGTATAGGTGTGGACGAGTAGCAGCTCCGATGCTACTCTTGCTTACTGTGCCTACCTTCTGCGCGCATGTTTAGGCAAGCGTCATACAAAGCCGACTTCAAGAAGCCAGGCAAGAATGCTATCGGCGTGTTCCGGGCTCTTCTACTCTCTGGACCACCGGGGGTGGGAAAGACAAGCGCTGCACATCTCTTGGCTCGCAAGTGCGGATACACACCAATGGAACTAAATGCAAGTGACGCTAGAAGCAAAAAGCTGATCGAGGCAAGCTTAAAGGACACCATTAACAATTCAAGTCTGGATTCATGGTACAATGGTGTGAGTACTTGACTTTGAGCGGAGCTTCACTCAAGGAAGCTCAGTGACACGTTCTTACGATGGCTCAATGCTGCACGGCAGACGGACAAGCCTACATCTGCGGATGGCGTTCGGGTCACCGATAGAACCTGTCTGATCATGGACGAAGTGGATGGCATGTCGGGAGGAGATCGTGGTGGTGTCGGGGCGATCAATGCCCTGATACGCAAAACGAAGGTATGTGGCGATGTGACGCTTTGGCTCAAAGCTGCCTGCGCGATCGCTGACCTACCTTGCGTATGTGCGCAACAGGTCCCCATACTGTGCATTTGCAACGAAGCCAAGACCCCGAAGATGAGGCCCTTGGAATCCACGTGTGGTCAAATTAAATTTGCTCGGTGAGCATGCTCGAGTGCTGCATTCTTCGTTGTGAAGCGCGCTCACCACGGCCTCGTTTTCAGACCCGATTCGCGCCAAATCCGCAGCAGACTCCTGACCATAGCATTCTCGTGAGTTGATTCGCAGCTGCGACGAATACATACACCCGCGGCTCACCTAATGCTCTCGGATTGAGCAGCGAAAAGATGAAAGTCGCCCCTGAGGTCATGGACGAACTCATTCGTTCTGCCCAGAACGACATCCGTCTGGTCATCAACATGCTGTCGACATGGGCGCTCTCCTCGCGCACAATGGATTTCGACGAAGGCAAAGATCTGTGAGCATAGTTCACAGCTGCAGAGCAATTGACGCGGCGCTGACACAATGCCATTCTTTGCAGAGGAGCGGCAAACGTCAAACCCGGCATGCACACGCCTTTCAGCTTGTATAATCAAGTCAGCGGACAAGGATTCTTCTCTCCTACCAATCCGGCCAATTTGACTCAAAAAAGTGAAGTCTACTTTAGCGACCATTCCATCATGCCTCTCATGGTGCAGGTGAGTCGAGCCAGCGCCCGAGCGGAATGATCTCGAGGTGCCTCTTTCTGAACCTTCACTCATCCGCAGACGAACTACATCAACCAAGCTCCCACCGTTGCCTCCCGCATCACGAACCACTCTGAAAAAGAGTGGAAAACTATGGAATTGATGACAAAGGCAGCCATTTCCATTTCCGACGGCGAAGTCATCGATGCCATGATACATTCCCCTCAGCAGCACTGGTCACTTATGCCACACCACGCCATTGCGTCCGTCATACGTCCAATGTCTTTCGTCTACGGACAAAGCGCTGCGAAGAACAAGATGTATGGTCCGTCTTTCCCAACGTGCGTCTCGGGCTTGGCCCATCAAACAGCGAAGTTTACGTGCGAGTGCTGACCGCACCTCAATGTGCTCGGGTCACCCACGCAGGTGGCTCGGAATCAATTCCAAGGCTCAAAGGTTGAGCCGCGTGGCCGTAGAAATTCAAACTAAGATGAGGCTTGCAGCATCCGGTTCGAGATTCGAGGTCAGAGAGCAGTACTTGCCATACTTTGTGCCACGCCTGACTCAACCGCTTGTCAAGAAGGGCCAAGTGAGTGCTGGAAGCTTCACACGTATCAATGCCACGACTGACGATCCACTCGTCTCGGTTCAGGGTGGGATCGAAGAAGTCATCGAGTTTATGGATGACTACTACCTCAATCCTGAGGACAGAGAAGGTATTCTTGAGCTTGGAATTGGGGAAAACAATATGGACGCAGTAGTGAAGCCCATCAAGACTGACGTCAAGGTGCGTGACGCTGCGCCGACTTTATGCCTGCGATTTGCTAAAGCGGTCTTGAATGCCACTCTGTGTGGCTGTAGAGCGCCTTCACTCGCAGATACAACAGCACAGATCACCCGATCGCCTTCTACAAGGGTCAAAACATCGCCAAAGCCAAGAAGCTTGTTGGAGAGCCAGCGCCGGACGTTGAAGAGCTGGAGGGCGCAGAGGTGTCTGACGTCTCTGATAACGAGATGGAAGAAGTCAGCGACAACGAGGACTTGTCCAAGGTAAGTGTGTTGCTGGCGAGACCTTCAGACATACGTGTCTGCGTACCGCTCACGGCGTCGGCATGCTCCCCAGAACAAGATGATCAAAGAGAAGAAGCCGAAGGGAAAAGGCAAAAGCGGCAAGGGCAAATGAGGAGCAAGATCACGCAATTCTCAGGATATTCCAGGGCCCCCTTCCTTGTACTAGGTTATCTGGTTGTCAGGACATAATGCATGCACTGCGTCTAGCCGGATTCCGGAATGTTTGTGAGGTGGGCGTGCTTTGAATCACGAAAGCGGCCGAGCTCTGTCCCGGATGTCATGCAGAGGGATGATGTGTTCATGATTCAAGATGCGTTCATGTGCTGTTTGTACATGAAGGTGCATGAGCGCGTGCGCCACAGCTCGATCCTCTTTGCTGCCTATCGAGACTGGTGATGAAGGCGGTCAAGTGTTGTGGGGCTGACTCGGCGCTCTGCTATATTCAAGATCAAATCATGAATCACGAATGGCAAGCGCCGTGGAGGGCGAACGGGCGCGACGCTAGAGAAATCGGCCCAAGCGCCTCACGTCACGTGAGTTGGTGCGCTACACGAGACCTGGCCCTACCCTACAGTCAAGAGTAAAGTACAAGAGTCTTGACTGTACCAGCCATCTTACGGAGGAAGCAGGAACAGCAAGCAGCTAGCTGTGTTCCTTCACACTCCCATCCGTCGACTCGAGCGCTTTTGCAGCGCATACTTGTGTCAAACATTGACTTTATTGAGCGCCTGATCCGACCTGGCGAGTTCGAGCGTCGCTTATCGTCGAGCCGTGGGCATTGTCTGCATTCAACAGATCGTCGCTTGCAGGCCTTGGGCAGGCACACATCGACCGCCTCAGCACCAGCAATACATCGATCGGCTTTCCTTCCATCACCTCGTAGCAAAGCTTTCAAGACTCTCTCTCTCTCTCGGTGCATCGCTCCCAAAGCTTCGCAGCATCTTCCAACCTCACCATGGCATTGGATCTAGACGCATCCTTATCGCTCCTCAGGCAATGCAAGTACCTGCCCGAGTCAGACATCAAAGCGCTCTGCGAGCTGGTCAAGTCTTTGCTATTGGAAGAGAGCAACATTCAGCCTGTTCAGAGCCCAGTGACGGTTTGTGGAGATATACATGGACAGTTTTGGGATCTGTTGGAATTGCTCAAGGTCGGCGGAGAACCACCCGAAACGGGTTACGTGTTCATGGTGAGTGGCAGGCTGAGAGAATTTTTTGGGCACATACTACGATGGAAGAAATGGCGCCGTTGGGGAGTGATGGGGTCGGAGGAATTCGAGTGTCGGTATCCATCTACGGATAGGGATTCAAGCTGGCACGCACCTCCACTGGCAAGCCGTCAAAGAGCGGAGCAGCGCTACTGCGCCAACTCCAGCTCTCACGCATCAGAATCGGACAGCTCGTCTTGCCATGAATCTGAGTACATCTCATCTCTTGCGATGAGACGGGCCTTCATCTACACCCTTCGCACGACTCATCGTACGACATCGCGTGTCCGGCGAGAAGGCCAGCAGTGTCCCCTCGCTGACACATCCCTCTTCCTCTTGCTACGCGTACAGGGTGACTTCGTGGATCGAGGTTACTTCTCTTTGGAGACCTTCTCATTGTTGATGTGCTTGAAAGCGCGGTGGCCCGATAGAATCACCTTGCTGAGAGGAAATCACGAAAGCAGGCAGATCACTCAAGTGTATGGCTTCTATGGTGAGTGATGTCTTGTCCGCATGGCGGGTAAGATGTGGCGGCGCACGACGTGTGCTCACGCCACGCCGAGACGATTGACGCCGGCCATATCCACAGACGAGTGTCAGCACAAGTACGGAAATGCAAATGTGTGGAAGTCTTGCTGTCAAGTGTTCGATTACCTCAACTTGGCTGCGGTGAGTAGCTGTCAGGCTCGTCTGCGCAGGCGTGGCAAAGTCGAGATCAGGCACTGACAAAGCTCCATCCTTTGGCGCTGCATATGTCCGCAAAGATCATCGACGGACGAGTGCTCTGCGTGCACGGAGGTCTGTCACCAGACGTCAGGACGCTGGACCAGATCCGAATCATTGCGAGGGCGCAAGAAATTCCGCACGAGGGCGCATTTTGCGATTTGATGTGGAGTGATCCGGACGATGTCGATACCTGGGCCGTTAGTCCTCGAGGCGCGGGATGGCTTTTCGGCGGCAAGGTGACGCGAGAGGTGAGATGGAGAGGTCAAGAGAAGTGGTGTTGGAAGGATGCGGACTGCATTACTGACAAATCTACAATCCCCCCGATTGCAGTTCAATCAGATCAATGGATTGGAATTGATAGCAAGAGCACATCAGCTCGTCCAGGAGGGCTAGTGAGTGTACTCTAGCGTGTCTCGCGCGCACTCGCAGTACTCATCGCTTTTGCTGAAAGCACTTGCGCTTTCCTTGTAACGACGATAGCAAATTGATGCACGATAATGGCATCGTGACAGTATGGTCGGCACCAAACTACTGCTACCGGTGTGGAAATGTAGCGAGCATCTTCCAAGTAGACGATCTGCTAGACGCCTCGCGCTCAAAGAGTCTTTCGCAAAATGCGGGAAATGGCAAGGCAGCAGCGAACGACCTCGAAGCGGGAGGCGTGGGTGGAAGCGAGCAAGAGGACAGATTTGGAGCTCAGCACTTCAAAATCTTCGAAGCGGGTGAGTGATGCAAACGTCTCGACGATCACGTTGGTGCGACGAGCACGGAATTTATGCCATCTGTTTCTACGATGCGATGCAGTTCCGGATCAAGAACGGACTACACCGGCGAGATTAAACTTGCAAACGACGCAGTACTTCTTGTGACCTCGGCCCCCTGCGGCATCGGGCGAGGAAGGAATGCAACCCACTCCAGCAAATGCGCTAGCACCCAGCGAGGCCGCCCATCCGCTGAATCCACATGGACATCGCAGGAACCTCTCAAAAGCGGCCGCGGGCACCTCTTTGGTCGGCTTCAAGCTGCACACGGATTGCTGATTGTCAGACGCAGCGGTCTGCAGTTCACGCGTGTCAAATATCACTTGCGCTGTCTGTATCGATAATGCCATCGGGCTTGCTGCCGCCTTTTGCCTGGGTGGCGCCCGTGCGACCACCGAACAAATGTTTGCAACATGATCAGCATTACATGCCTGAAGCTAGGCGGTCATGATCAGCAGACACAGGTCCGCGGGCCCTTCGTCACGTCCTGAGTGGGAAAAGACGGACACCACTGGCACGAATGTGAGGGCTGGTGGAGATGTTCCTTCCGCCAACGAGCTTTGCAGCAGCTCTTCCGTCAAGCCGCGAGCTGGTGCATGCGGATCGCACGAGGGGATGACTGTAAGCGAAGGCCAGCAGTGAGCGATTCCACATCTGATCATCTTTTCGCTACTCACCCTCCCATTCATCGACCTGCTCCGAGTACAAGATGCGAATGGACAGGGCATTCCGCAAAAATGCACTCTTCCTCTCTGCATTGTCTCCTGCGACCAAATTGTTGCTTTGTGGATCAGGTGCAGGTAGGGAGGCAGCCTCTGTGGTGGATATTCTGGTGGCATGCACGACGGCAAAACCCTTCTTGCCCCTGAGAGAGCCTGCAGACTTCCACTGCACTCGCCACAAATTCTCAGCGAGCTGCAAGAGCTCATTTGCCTCTGCAAAGAGCGGCATTTCTACGCCCTCTTCCGAATCGCCGTCACTGTCACTGTCCGCCTCTTGATTTGCATCATTCGCTTCGTCGTCTGCTGGATACCGCGCTGTACCTCGACTACCATCGTTTGCCGTAAGCTGCCACTCGACTGCTGCACCTCTCGGCAAAGCGCCGAACGGCAAAAGTGCGTAGGTGATGGGAATGCTGGAAGGCGAAGCGTGCGAACCTAGCCACGTCTCGTCGAAAGAGGGCGACTGTGCCTCATCCTCGGCGTCAGAGCCCGAATCCGATCCAGACGCTCGATTAGCGATCTGCGCATTCCACGCCGCTTTCGCGGTGCGCAGCCTCCTTTGACGCTCATCGAGTAGCGAAAAAGATCCGCTTTGACCACAGCTAGATGGGCCATCTTCGAGCCAGCATATGCAGCTTTCGATCCAGTGTGCAGATGCACGTCCCTGTGCATCCAGTGCTACTTGTAGGATCCGTCGAGCATGTTGCAAGGCCATGGCGTGCTGGGTGGGGACATCCTCCGCCAAGCTTAGATCCATCGGGCGCAAGCCAATTTGACCAGAGATGGTCAGATGTGAGTCTGCCTGTTGCGAGACCAGCCGGAGGTGCGTTGAGGCGACACGGGGTTTCCAAGGGACTTCTCGACTCCAAGCACTCACTCTAACGCTTTGGCTGTACGGTCCTATGTTGGCTGCGGCCCAGTAGCTGCGGCCCTGCACGTGTACCACCGTTCTCGCGAAGCGTGGCTGACCAGTGACCTCGCCACCCGGTCGATATCTCAACCCATCGTCTAAAGCCACAGCATCAATTACGAATTTCGCTTGTGACTTTTCTACCAGATCAATCCGCTGAGAAGACAGAGCTGCGTCCTCGCTCAAGCATTCCGAATTGCCGCCGCGGATGGCTACTCCTACGCATGCTCGAGAGGGGGGCTCGGAGCCAAACATGCTGGAGTAGATCTGGTTCATCTGCGCAAAGTCAGATTGAGACCTGAGATAGAGGTTCAAATGATGGATATGAGCCAAACAAAGGTCGTACTTCGCAAGCGCATCTACGTATATGACACAAAGAGAGGTGGGGTCAGATAAAGAGACAAATGGGAGTTTTGACGACGTACCTTGCAGCCGTTGAAACGCGGTCGTGATTTGGCTTTGCAATTCAGCAGCGGGATCATCCGAGACGTTTGCTAGTTTCGCGACTGCTGGCATCTCGCCGCTGACTTTTCCATGGATCCCGCCCACAGCAAGAAGATGTCCCTTCTTGGATGCGGTGTAGAGAGGCTGTTCATCAATCGCTTTCGCAAATGTAGGGCCAGCCGTACGCAGACGTGATCTCGTCACGGAGGCTGCCAGACCGGATACAGCATCGCCGGGCCCGCCTAAGCTCGCAGCAGCACGCCTTGTGCGCTCGCCAAGCGCGTCCAGCAGGGGCGGCACAGGGACGTCTTGCAAAGTAGAGGCATCATCCGACTTCTTTTCTAGGTGTGCCCGCTTGATCTGCAAGTATGCGACAGAGGCAAAGCCGGAGTCTGAGTGGACCTGTGTCGTAGTCTCATTGCTGATACCGTTGCGTGCGTTTGATCAGTCATGACCGATATGGATACGTCCTTTAAATTGATCAGACTCACAGCACTATGCGACGCTTGAAAAGCGGACAGTCCAGAGTCAGCGTCTCGTACTCCCCGCCTTCCCCACAAACGTGAGAGCCGTAGAGGTCATTCTGCGCTTTCATGTGCGCAATGGGGAGAATGCATCAGCACTGCGGCGAAGTGGACGTGCAACAGGCTGGGTCCGTGCTTCTCACTAGTCTCTTCAGAGTCGGTCGCATCTGTGCTAGACTCTTGCCCAGGTGTTTCGCTTCCAAGCCAATACCAGCCACTTTGACGAGTACAGCCTCGAGCTCGGCGCTGCACATCTCATCCAGCAGCTGGCTTTGATGCCGCTGCCAGAGGAAAGCAAGAGGCAAGAGCTTCAAATCTGCTCGAAGACAGACATGCTCCACCCTGACCCGCTGATAATTGGAAAGGATTGCTCCTACTGAGACGCCTTCCACATCAGGATAACCTTGCTTGACGTTCAACAAGAGCTGGTACAGATCCTCCGTTTCGTCTTGCTCTTCTGCAGTTGAGGAGGTCGAAGCAGCGGCGCGGTTCTCTGAAGAGGCAGAAAAGCCAGACGTTTTGTTGGTTGCTACGCTCGAGCTTGCGTTCTGATGCGGGAGCGGCAGTCGGGAACCGTAGTCGCTGCCCAACTTGACGGGCTTGCCAGAAATGACTCGTTTGTACAGCGGCAGCTCCATCGCTTGCGCGACCAAGTGCACAGCATCATGTCCGACAGTCTGGTACATGTACGAGTCCAGCTCCTCTGGTGGCGCATTCAGCCATGCATAGGTAGGTGCAAATCAGCGAGAGTGGGGTAATAGGGGACAGCATGCTCCTACGATCAGTTCCGGCTGATCAGCTACGAAGAACTTGTCTGAATGTGCTACACTGACCTGTGCCGTCCGGAGGACCCAATGTGGCCAGAGCTACAACCTCGTGACCTTGCTTGGCCGCATGACAGAGGTTGTAGCAGCTATCTTTGCCGCCAGAAAGCAGGCCGACGACCTTCATCTATGCCACCGTTTGGCTTGAACGTGACACACTCGAGTCGGCTGGCTTGACCGAATGGCTGGTGGGTGGACGTGGAAGAGGGGAAAGCGAAGGCTGATGCCTGGCCGCCGCTGGCATCGAGCCCAAAAAATCCGCAGCTCCGCAGATGAACGGAAGGCGCACGCGTAAACCGGCGGTACTCATCCACGACTGCATATATATGTGGTGTGTGGTGCCGCACGCGCAGTGCCCGCTTTCCGCCTGTCCTTCTCCGCGCGCGCGTTGCGCAGCCAACGAGTGCCTACCGCAACAGAGTTGCAACACGCCGAGTCACGACTCAAGACTCACGACTTACGACTGGCTCTGGCTCTGGCTCCGGCTCCGCTCTCAATCGTGAATCGTGAAAAGATTGAGGCGCACCACTCGGATCTATGGTCACAGTGCTAGCGCTGGCGCTCTATGGAGTACAATCACGACTTGCTGGACTTGACCGCACATGTACAAGAGCAGACACAGCGTCTACCTATACACACTGGTGCAGGCCCGCATTGCTTAGTCATTACACGAGTATGGCTCAGAGCTGCCTCGAAGACATGAGCCTCGTTCGCGGGTCCTTGACGGAAGAAGAATTCAGCTGGAGAGGGACAGCGTCTGAGTGCTCCGCCTTCCAGACCGCTTACGAAAGCTTTCTGAAAGAACAGCAAGACGCCCAAGATACCTTGGCGCTTCTGATTCGAGATGGTGTGACGACCATCAGCTTGTCCGCACTGCTTTGCAAAGAGCCCTCGGTAAGCTTGCTGGTCGATTACCCGTTGCTGAGCGCTGGTGCGCCATCTTCGCCCGAGGGAAACATCGACGTGCGAGTATCGATCGCAGCTCCGACACTACAGGAAGGTCAGAAGAGGTCCCTCAACGAGCTGCTCAGCACGAGGCTCGCAGAGATCAAAGAGGAGCAAGGTGAGAGCTTCAGCAGACACGTTTGGGCTGCCAAGGCAGCTGACGCAATTTCCAGCATCGCCCTTGCCAAGCAGTCGTTTCAAATCCAGTCTTTGATATCTACTCGCTTCTCAGTGAGCACATCAGCTCTCACCCCGTATCATCCGCTGCACACGAGGCACCCCCAGCGCCTGTCAGCGAGACCCCTCAACACAGCAAATCTCAAAGACAGGGGCCCGTTGATATGAGAAGAGACATCTTTTGGACACGTGAGTGGCATTAGCTGATTGAGGGACCGCTTTGCGCCAGCTCACCCAAATGTGCCGGCGCAACCTATCTCGCATCAGATCATCTCCTGGCCCCTTCTAAGCGGCGAGACTTCAACGCCTGGTCATCGGAGCTGGACGTTTGGATCCTCGTCAAAATTGGGTGAGCAGTCTGCGTGTGGACAGCGTTTCCACTCCGTGTACGCCTTGCTCTGACGGGTTTCAGCCTTGACAATCGCTTGATTGTCGATTCAGATACCCAGGATTCCTGATCTTTGAGGGCCTGGCAGAGGGGGTCGAAGAGCTCTGTCGCAGAGTCAAAGGTCTTCAATGGGCAGCCCTCTCTCACAGATCTACGGTCGAGTATCAGCACCAGCCATCAGTCAGCCTTGCCAAAGACCAAGCTATTGAAGAAGCTCTGCTGGCTTGCAAAGTAGCTCATGGGCATGCAGCCAGCAAGAGCAAGTCTGGATCTGCCCCCTCTGCGCAGAAAGGCCCCATCGACAGTCACAAATTCAGGACGGGCTACGAAGAGCTCGAAAGCACGGGAGAGATCGTTGCAAGGTAGGTCCGTTCGTAGCTGTCACTCGTCAGGCAGCCTTCTGCCTGCGCGATTGAGCTGATCGATCCGCCTTTTGCCTATTGCGTCAAAACGCTGCTTGATAAAGATTGAAGGACGCATCATTCCCCGACGAAGAGGTCGTGGGAGGTCTCAGCTTGCGCGTCTCCTCCGCATCTCGGAAAGATAAAGGCTGACGTGGGAAATGAGATCTATTTTGATTTGCACACGAGAGATCTGCTCTCTTGTGCCATGCATCGTACAATGCTGCTGAGAGCAGCTGCGTCCTCGGAACGTCAATCCGTGTAGTGTCACGATCTTCACCGTTTGACGAAACCCAAAATCAGTGAATCACGAATCACGAATCGTGAATCTTGAATGTGAATCAAAAATGTGATCTGCCAACATGAGAGTCGTGAGTCACGAGTGCGCGCCCAGCACGCGTATTTGGGGCGGCGGCGGGCGCAGCAGGGCTTCTGCAGCACAACGACGCGCTTCAGCCACTGGGCGCGGCGATCAAGTATAGTGAGCGTGAGTCACGATCGAGTAGCATCTACTCCCGCGGGCGCTGCATGCAGCAGGACTCGTGACTGGCCCTGCCTCAATGAGCGCTCGCGCAACATCCATACACCCGCAGAGCGCACCTTCCTCATCAGGTCTAACGGCATAGAGATGCTCAATCGCCGCGAACGCCTCTCCCGTCTCATCATAGATGGCTCGTCTGCCTGTCTGGATCTTCGCGGCGTTTCCTAAAGACTGCACAGCCGTTCGTAGGTGTTCTGCCAACAATTGTCGCAATGGTACCGATCAGCAGTACAGAAGATCGAACCTGCGCTGCGCTGCACGAATGGCTCTACTTTTGGTTAAAGCGAAGGGCCAAAATCAGGGTCGCATTCCACTGATCACCATCCGTTTCTGTCCCGACATTCATCAACCTCTCACTTTCAGTTCAGAAAAGCATCTTTTAGGCCTCATCGCAATCTCGCTGAAGCGACGCTTTTACGAACCCAGTGACCTCAGAGTCACTCACGCGTAAGACACGGCAGAGCCACTAGTCCGCGGGCGGACGGACACCAGGACAATAAAAAAGTACTTCCTTCACCCTTCCGCTTGGCTCTCTTTGCTCCGAAGGCCCTTGCCAACGTGGCAGATTGCAACAGTGAGTGGGCGGTTGGACTCTTGCACGCGCAAAGTGGGCCTTCGCTCTCCTCGTATATGCCTCACTCGTTCAAGATGTCGCACTCAATGACTGAACATTCACGATGTCCTTTAACGATCTGCAGACTTGTTGGTCTCGCGGTGAGTGATTGCCGCGCATTGATTGCGTGCTGACGCCCTCGACCATCGAGTGCCAGCATCGGCGTCCAGTGGGATTGGAATTTAGGCGCACGAGAAGAGCAGAAGCTAGGCTACATACGCCAACACGCCCCCCCCGATTCGCCGTCTGCGCCGTTGACATCTACTCGCGCGTGGACGAAGGCATATCTTGTGGGGCTTGTGCGACACGTCATCCGACCCAAGACATTGCCGTAAGCGGCTCAAAGTAAGTGTGCCCACTATCACATTCTCACCCTCACCACAGCGCCTCTCGTATTCGTCTTGTGCTTGCTCGATCGTCTGTATATCGATACAGCAAAGCCGCGCCTCTGGCAGGCTCGCACGACCGCACTCCCCTTCTCGCGCGCCCCCTTCCTCATCGTCGTCCTGCGGAGATTCGCTTCGCAACCTTGAAGGTTTGCATCGCCTCGCTGGACCTCATTCTCTCTTCCTGTCCCTCTCTTCGCGCTGGACTCATTTTGGCGCCGCATCAATCGCGCTGGTCTCCACTCAAGATTGCAGCCGCGATCCGTGCTCTCACGAAGCAAGCCTAGCACGCAGCCCCACCCAGCCACGTTCCTCATCATCTTGGCGCGTGTCTCTCTCTCTCGCCCGGTTCGCTTCTGGCTTGCTCATCAGGTAGATTGCCTCCAGATAGTCAGAATAGCGCCTTTCTTGGCGCGCTAGTGAGGACCTGAAGCAGATTGGCTTGGCAGTAAGGTCCTTCTGGATCGTGTGGGTCTGCTCAGCTGTTTCGGACCTTTCTCTCTCTCTCTCTCTCTCTCCCTCTCTCTGCTTCTCCTCTCGCCTCCACAAAATTCGCACATCGGAACCTCAAAAGGAACGCACTGCAGGCTCTTTCGCTGCATTCAAATTCACCCAAAGCTTTGACGGCGCAAATACGCGGCTTGCGATCTGGCCGCTTCGCTCTGTCCTACACACCTCTTCTGTCGCGAACGGTTGCTTACCTAGCGACTGCCTCTGCAACTAGCGCGTCGCCCTCCCCCACACGTAAAGTCGTCCCCTCCTAAGCGAGTCTAAGCGGCGGTCTAATCTTTTCACAACAAGAACACACGAGGTGAGTAGCATCAGCGGTGCAACTCAAGGCCGAAGTCGCGCGGCGCAGCGCAGCGGCCTGGACCTTTCTTCCTCATCGGTCGACGCGACAACTCAGACCACCGCTGGCGGGCTACTGCGCATCTCATCTCCGTCGTGGTCGGAGCGATGGCCGTGTCTTGTTCTATCGGTCCGCCGTGAATGCTGCTTGATGGATGGCTGACACCTTTTGTCTTGCGACCTTCTCCCATGATTCACGATTCATCAGATTCGTGATTGATTGCTGCCCCCCCCCACCCCCCCACCTTGGGTAAGCTTCTCGATCGCTCTCGCGCTTGTTGCACCTCAAAATCGCACCGCGCTCCTTATTCCTCCCATCACATCATATAGGCACTCACACTCGCCGTGGGGTGTTGGTGCATGCGCGCGCGCGCACAGCTCTGATTAGCGCGAATACCTGCTCAAAACTCCGCTCGGCTCTTCCAGCGAGCTGCAGCTCATCTGCGCACCCCTGTGGCCCTGCGGCTTCAAGCGCGCTAAATCGCATCTCGGCTTCCCATCAAGGTGAGCGAGCACTCACGAGTCACGAGTCACGACTGCAGCTGCTGCATGCTGGGTGAGGAGGGTCGCGGGGTGGTGAATTTAGCGCGCCTGCTCCATTTGGGTTCACGATTTGGGTTCAACGCGAACCGTCCAGCGTGCGTGCGTGCGTGCGTGCATGCACGTTCGTCGGGTGTGTTCAGCAGCGGTGCGAGGGAGGTCAATTACCAAGAAGACGCTAGCGTGCTCGTCGGCAAGGCTGACACGCGCTTCGTATTCACCGCGCCGGACTTTGAAATTAATCACCCGCAAGCTTTTAGCGTCGCGCTTGCCGGCCTCGAAGAGCGAGCCATCAGTAGAAGCCCCCACGGGTAACTTCGGCAAAACAGCGCTCGTACTGCATCGTAGTCGCCGAGACCTCTCTCGGTCCATTACAAGCGAGCGAGCAAGCAAGCAAGCAAGCACAAGATCATCAGATTGGCACTGAATTGTGGATTTGCTGCCTTGCCGTCTGCGCGTCGGTGGCACAAGGCAAGCGCACCGTTTGATTCGTCGACCTTGCAGCAACAGGACCCCACTTGATCAAAGAGAAGGTGAGCGGCCCCGCCTTGGCATCCGCGTCCAAGGCGTTGAAGGCGCTGAAAGGTCCTCATATAATGGAACGCACCCTTCGTACCTGCTGCGTCCTTTAAGCTGGTTGCCCTTATGCTCACGCCCACGTCCTGACTTTCCCCCTCCCCCAACCCCCTCCTTCTCCCTCGCTGATCTCGAGATCAGCCCGAGATCTTGCCCTTTCACGTCTCCGCCCCCCACCCACCTCATCACAACGCCAGCCTCTCAACCTCCATCATGTTCTGCCTCAAGAAGATGCTGGCTCTGATCAGCTTGGCGCTCACCATAGTCAACCTTGCGGTGGCTGCGCCTGCCCGCGAGCCCCTCTTCATCCGCACGGAAAATCCTGGCTCTCTCAATTTCACCGCTCAGGACTTCAAGCGAGACATTCTCATCGACTTGCAGCCCAGACAAAACCCATCGTGGAACTACGGCACGCAAAAGGTGAGCAAGCGACGTGTCAAGCTCGCTTTCGCGCGTCGCTGACGTGCTGCTTCGAAATTTCCAGGTCCGCGGTGTCAACCTTGGAGGATGGCTCGTTGCTGAGCCTTGGATCACGCCTTCGCTCTTCGACAACACTGGCGATGGCCGTGTTGTGGATGAGTGGACCTTTGGTCAATATGTCGGTGATGCGGAGTCCCGATTGCAGCAACATTGGGCCACTTGGATCACAGAGGACGACCTGAGGCAGATCAAGGCGGCCGGTCTCAACCACGTCAGGTAAGAAGGCGATGACACGCAGTCCGCAAGCTACCGACATCTCTTTCTGACGTTGAATCACTTGCGGGATGGTGTACCCGCAGAATCCAGATTGGCTACTGGGCCTTTGAGAAGGGAAGTGGGGATCAATATGTCAAGAGCAACCAGCTTTCGTACTTGGATAAAGGTGTCACCTGGGCGCGCAACCAGGGACTCAAAGTCCAGATCGACTTGCATGGTGTTCCAGGCAGCCAGAACGGCTTCGACAACAGCGGTCGAAGGGGCAACGCGGATTGGTTCTTCAACCAAGGATTTGCGGACCGTGCCAAGAACGTGCTTCAGACGCTTGCTCAGCGATACGTCAACGACCGCGACACGGTCACTCAGATCCAGCTGCTCAATGAGCCCCTCACCACCAACGGAGACGGCCGTCTGGATTTCACCCGATCCTTCTACAACGACGCGTACTACGCCGTGCGATATGCTCGAGGATCCCAACCAACCGACTACTCCATCTCTATTCACGATGGCTTCCAACCCCTCAGCGCTTGGCAGGGGCAGTTCCAACCTCCACAATACGAGCAGGTTGTGCTCGACACGCACATCTACACAATGTTTGACGTTGGCAAGATTGCGCAGACGCAGGAAGAGCGTCTGCGTGGCCTATGCCAGAACAGAGCTTTGATCGGTCAGAGTCAGCCAAACTTGTGGACGATCGTTGGAGAGTGGACGGCAGCTTTTACTGATTGCGCCAAGTACCTCAATGGACGCGGCATCGGCGCTCGATACGACGGCTCGTTCCCAGGTAGCACCAGACGCGGAGCCTGCGATGCCTCCAAGTCTGGCAACGGCAATGGCTTTTCGAGCCAGTACAAGGCGAACCTCAAGAGGATGTTCGACACTCAGAGGAGCGTCTACGAGACTGGCAGTGGCTGGATCATGTGGACTTGGAAGGCTGCTGCTGCTGATTGGTCCTACAAGAGATTGCTCGAGCTTGGCGTCATCACCTACAACCTCAACGACGCCGGCGACGTCTTTTGCTAAGCTGGCCTTGGCTCTCTTCATCGTCTCTAGCATGTGGCCCACATCGCGTTTGTACATACGCCATCGACCGTCTTATTCTTCCAATCATCTGCCCATCTGCTGCGTTAGCGCCCATGCTCTGTATCTCGACTCGAAAAGCACCAATCAAGGCTTTTGCATCATAAGCATCTTCATGCTTACAAAACCCAATCCATCGTCCACATCAACATCTTGCCCCGGCCTCGTACCCTCGCCTACAGACGGACGTTTGGCGCGCATCTATCCACATGTCTTGCTTCTTACCTAACCTATTGTAATAGACTGCCCCACGAATCATCGATGAAATCTCTCATGATCAACTCGAATCGCCATGAGATCTCTTTTGCTTGCGCAACAGTGAAATGTCATTCAGCAAGTGGCACCACTGCTGCTGCTGCTGCTGCTGCTTTCCATGCGTGCGACCACGTCAAGGGAGTATATGCAGATAAAGCATGCAGGCTGGCCGCTCGAAGATCAGGTAGACTTGACCACCTGCTCTACCAAGCTCGCAGCTTCCGATGCGACCTCGAGCGCAGCCAACTTGTCCGTGAGCAGATTCAGCTCGTTTCTGCACCGAGAGAGCAACGCAAGGACATGTGGCAGAGCAGCGTCAGCAAAAATATTGACGGGGGACATCAACATCGCATGCTCGACTCACCTCAGCCTCAACAAGTTGCTGACCTCGCCGTCCACATTCGCTTGGGTCGTTGACGCATCGGCGCTCTTTGCCGCCTCCTTGGCCTTCCTAACCACCTCGCCCTGCGCCTTCACCTTCTGATCCAATTCTTCCCACTCCTTGGTAGGATTCTTTAGCTTGCGCTCAGCGGTCGGGTTGGCAGCTTTCTTGGCAGCTTTGGCAGCTTTGGCCGCTTGCTTCTTGCTGATCTGAGGACCACCTTCGCTGGCACCCTCCGCAGCGTTCTTGGCTGTCGCTCCACCAAACTGCACTCGCCACTCTTCTTCCTTCTTCTCATCTATGCGTCTAAAGAGATGCGCCGGCTTTCCAATCTGATGTCCCGGTAGCAAGTCCAATGCGAAGAAGGATCTTGGGGCTTTTGATCCAGCAGATTTGTCGCCTGATGCACGAGCCTCGGAGAAGTCTGCAGCTGTAGGACTAAGAACCTCTGCGCCCGTCACGTCTTCCACAGGCACGAGCCTAGGAGGAGCGTTGAGCTGCGTGCAGATCTGATCTGCAGTGTCGGGCATGAAAGGATGGATCAAGCTGCTCAGGGTCCAGATGAAGTTCACAGCTACCAGCATGGTCGCATCGCATTCGGCCTTCTTGTTGGCGTACAGACTGTTGTCCAGACCAGCCTCGACCAAGAATTGGTTTCCGCGCGAAGAGAGGGCCATCATGACGTGCAAGCCTTGCCTCAATTTGACCGCATCCATCGCTTGCGTGTACTGTGCCAGGAGATCGTTGACATCACGCGCGATGCGCGGGAACAGCAGACCAGCCTCTTGTGCGCTTTCAGACGTCGAGGCGGGAGGGGCCTGTTCTAGGTGTTCAGGCCCAGCTCTAAGTCCGAGACCTTCCGGCACTTCGGGAAGGATGCCATCATACTTCTTGCTCAAGAAGGTCAATACTCTGTTCACAAAGTTTCCAATGTTGGCGAGCAATTCGGAGTTATTGCGCAGCACGAACTCATGCCAGCTGAATTGCGTGTCACCACCCTCTGGCCGATTTGACAGCAGGTAGTAGCGCCAGACGCTGTTGGGCACTCCAATCTCGCCCGCCTTGTCCCCAAACACTCCAATGTTGCGGGACTTGCTGAATTTGCCGCCTTCGTAGTTGAGGTACTCGGTGGTGCTGACGTGATGAAGCATCGTCCATGGCTCTTGGGTACCCAATAAACAAGAAGGAAAGATGACGGTGTGGAACCGAGTGTTATCCTTTTGATGCGAAGTCCAGCCTAGTCAGCAAGGCATTTCACGAACGCCTGTGAAATTCTGAGCAGACTCACCTTGCCCATAAATTGGTACAGCTTGACCTGCTCCGGATTCCTCCACCACTGCTCCCAGTGCTCCGTGTAATTTGCCGTGATGCTAGGATAGCCGATCGGGGCATCGAACCACACGTAGAGCACCTTTCCTTCCATTCCCTCCACAGGCACAGGCACACCCCACTTCAGATCTCTGGTCAAGCTAAAAGGCCGCAGACCTTCCTTGAACCAGCTCTCGGTGATGTGCCTGCCATTCGCGGACCAAGCCCCCACCTCTGCTGCTTCCCTCGCCCACTTTTCGGTCGCTGGCTGTAGGTCGTCAATCTTTAAAAAGAGGTGGGAAGACTCTTTTTGAATGGGGGCCGAGGAGCACAGCTTGCAGTGCGGCTTGATGAGCTCTACTGCGTCAAGCAATTGTCCACATCCATCGCATTGGTCTCCTCGCGCGTCCTGTCGGAGCGTTGCGAGACGAGACAGCCGTTAGCAAGGGGAATGATTCCAGCTCGGTCCTGCTGCCCACCACTCACATCATAGCCACACTTTGGGCACGTTCCTTCGACATATCGATCTGCCAAGAATCTCTGATCTTTTTCACAGTACAGCTGTGTCATGCTCCTCTTCTCAAGATAACCATTCTTATGAAGCTTGAGGAAGATGTCCTGCGCGATCGTGGTCTGCTTCGGCGTAGTCGTCCTGCCAAAGTGGTCAAAGCCGATGCCGAACCAGTTGTAGACCTGCCTATGAAGAGCGTGATATTTGTCGCACAATGCTTGAGGACTGACCTTCTCTTCCAAAGCTTTCGTCTCTGTAGCCGTGCCGTACTCGTCCGTGCCGCAGATGTACAGCGTGTTTCTGCCTCTTGAGCGAGAGTAACGCGCATACACGTCGGCTGACAAGGTGCTACCGATGATGTTGCCCAAGTGAGGCACATTGTTGACGTACGGCAAGGCCGAGGTGACCAACACGTTGGGCTCGCCTTCCCGCGGCAAAATCTCTGGCATCACGTTCCCGCTAGAAGAGACGGCTGCGCTCGAGGCGTCGCCGATGGGCGGTCTCTGCGTTTTGAAGAGGAGCCCATCCTTGTGGACAATGCGCCTCTTGGACGCTTGCTCCGGATCCGCCGCAGATGGGAAGGGTGAGGCCATGCTTGCGGCGTATCGTGCTGCTGTGCGGATCCAAATGTCCTGGTGTGAAGCAGGTCTCCGCGAGCGGATAGCAGCTCCAATTGAGTTGACTGGATCGCCCTGGTGGCCGAGGTATTACAAAACTTGCCAGGCTGCGATGAAATTCGTGAATTTCAAATCGTTCGAGGCTGAAAGGTGTTTGAGACGTGCCAGCCTAGCGAAAGGGTGATGGAGTGTCGGTGTTCCCGCTGCCTAAAGGTGAGGGGAAGAGATTGATGGAAGGCCAAGAAGCGATCGGGGATCGCCTCACACGACTCGATTTTGCAGATGGCTTGCTTGGTCTCTCCATGTCGAAGCAGCAGCCATCACGGGTCGCGAGCACGAGCAGCAATTCTTGATTACAATCGATCGACTCAATCTTGAATCCAGCTGCATTCAAGCTCAATGCGCCGCCCATCTATCCGCGCGCGCGTACTGACTCGCCAATGATCACTTTTGATGCTTGTGATTCACGATTGCTGCGCCAAAAAAAGGCTTGCATGGTCGTGCAGTCAGAGTGATGCACCCATGCGGCCGCTCACGTGACCAACGACCTTGCGCCCCTCCATATGCATGGCGGTGCTCAACCTGAATTATTGACGAGGCTCGCTTGGCAAAATCAGACCCATGGCATGCTGGCTATATGACTCGCGTTTGGTGAGGAAGAAGATGAAAAGCTCATTTGATTCCTGTCTGCCGCATGACATACCCATCATCCTCGCAATATGACTCTCGAACGACCAAGTTCCATCATCGCAGAGCAGCTCCAGGGGAAGGCCGGGAACGTCGCCATCGCCCCCGTCTCCTCACTTGTCTCGCAGTCCGCTCGGCATGCGCTCACCCTCAGACACGAAGCCAGCGGGGAGTATCATCAATTGCGTGAGTCGCAAAATGATCAGAGGCTGTTGACATCATGTGTACACTATCGCTCAGGTCGAAGATGTGCAACAGTACTGTTCTCCTTTCCCAGGCCGCCTCACCCGTCTACGAGGAGTTACGAACATGCCAGCAGCTCTTCCTCCCGCTCTTCTGATGAACCTCGAGCATGGTACTGCATGGAAGCCGTCTGTCCTCATGCGGGTGGTCCCCTAGAGAATGCCACTTTGGAAAGTGTCGAGAAGGAATTGGAAGATGAAGCCAGACAGAGAGATGACATAGGAAAGCACGAGGCGGATGTGGAGGATCTCGTCGTTGTTTGGTAAGTCTTCTTCTGCTGGACAGCGTGTATACACATGTACTTCCATACGCCCGCCGGTAAAGCTTGCGAGTGCGTACGCTAACTTATATTCACACGCAAACTTGTGGTCTGGCAGCCCCTGGCACGAATACGACTTTTCCCTGCGGACTGGCAAGAGCACACGCGGAGGGCAGGTCAGGGCCTGCGTATACAACGTCGAGATACGCCCCGGGCCCGAAAGTAATGTCGGCTCCCAAAGCTTGACTTTGAAGGAGACTATCCGGCTAGCCCAGCCAGGCATGAAGGCGAAAGGTTCCAGGTTCGGTGCTTCACCATCCGAGCCTGCTGCCGTTGAGCGATCAGACAAGTGGATCTGGGTCGAAGCGCCACGCCTTGAAGCCGGGGATGAGTGGGAAGCTCGGGGACAGGCGCGTGGTTGGACATGCATCGAAGTCAGGCCTGTCAGCGAAGGTGAACGACAGCACTGAGAATGGGGAGACCAGCTGATCCAGCCGTTGAAGACTGAAACGTTCCCATTCCTCGTCGTTGTCAGCCTTTGCACAGCCTCACCGGGAGTCACAGATTGCTGCCAATGCTCCAGATGCGGCGCTCTCTGAATCAATACAGGAGCTCTCATTCGGACCAGAAAGTATATCTCCTCCAGGAGCATCATCTTCTCTTCCATCGCGCTCAATGACTCAAGGAGCAGTCCCTTCAGCCAAAGCTCGAGATCATGAGGCGTGCCCACCTCCAAATCCTGAACCGAAGACCATCGTTGCGTGGGCTTGCCTCATTCTCAACACGGCAGCGCCCACACTCAAGGTTCACTACACCAAATTGGCTTATGACGCTTTTCTTGCTGGGAGATGCACCAGAATAGGAGGAGGCTCGTGGTGCAGGAAAGAGAGACGAGTGGGTGAGGATGGAGGGGATGAGCCCGGGTCCGCCTATGGAGGCCCCTCACCGTCGAGCTGGGAGTGGCACAGGAGCGCAGACGAAATACCGCCCGAGAAGCCTCCACGGCAGACAGACAACGTGGTCAAGCCCGGATTTGAGGCTAAGCGAGGTAAAGGAGGAACAGAAAGAGGCAGGATAGCGTTGCTGCGTGAGTTCAGGCATCCTCTGAATCTTGCAGTAGCGGCGTGACGGCGTGATACCAGGCTGACTCTTCTGTACTTGCTGCAAATTACGTAAGACTCACTTGCGAACATCGAACAAGTAAGTCGCGCTTGCTATCCGAGCATGACGAATCTTACCTGTTCACGCCCCTCTCGTCCACAGTGGGCTATAGACCTCGCCTGGGACATGGTAGCCATCTCACCCCACTTGTATGCGGAGGCACTCTCGCCACCCTCAACGTCTGGCTCGAATCAAACGCACAAGGCGCTTCGACCACCTCTCCAAATGATTGCCGACTTTGTGAGGATGGCCGCAGACGAAGCGAAGCATTTCACGCTGCTTTGCGAGCGTCTTGAGAGTCTAGGAGTCAAGTTTGGAGACTTGACGGTGCACCACGGTCTCTGGGAGACTGCAAGAGACACCCGGCACTGTTTGGCAGCTCGGTCAGTCTTTAGTGTCATTTCCGCTGTATCGCTTCCCTATCCTGCTAACTCGGCTGCAATTCCCCGGCGCTCAGGCTGTCTGTCGTTCATCTGGTCCACGAGGCCAGAGGCTTGGACGTCAACCCAACCACCATAAGTCGTTTTGTCAAGGCAGGGGATGAAGAGAGCGTGAAATCGCTGACAATCATACACGAGGACGAAGTGACGCACGTTAGCGTGAGGATCCAGTCTTGCGCGCCACGCAGACTGCGTTCGAAGACTGGTCAGCTGATGCTCTATTCCTCCGCATTTCCACAGACTGGACATCGATGGCTGGTGCATTTGTGTCAAGCTCACAACCCTCCTCAAGACCCAGTGCAAGTCTTTCGCCAAAAGGTCCGCCAGAATTTCTCGGGAATTTTGAGGGAACCTTTCAACGAGCTGGATAGAGCTAGAGCGGGCTTGGATAAACAGTGGTATGATGGACTTAGGGGTCAGAAGAGGACCGTGCTTGATGGAGACAGCCGGAGTGGAGTCCAAGATGCCAGGGTCGCGCAGATCGCTGGAGGCTGAGCTTGTCGGCGCCTCACGTGGCACTGCCAGATTTGACTCGGCTGTCGAAAATATATGCATTTAAGGGTGCGTTCTTAAGGCGAGCAAAAGGAATGTGCAGGTCGTGTTGTGAAGAGAGGCCAGCGATCAGACCTGTGAGTAGTCCGGGTGTGCGTTCATCGTGTCACTGTCAGGCACCCTGCTCAGTGTCCCTCGGAGCTGGGGCAGCTGGTGTATCGCCAGCTCCTACTCCGTGTTAAGCCACAGCCGGCTCGTCCGTTGTGGTAGTCTTTGCATCCACACCAGCTGCAGGTGCCGGTGCGGAAGCATCAGCGGCAGCCGAAGATCCAGTGGCGTGCTGCGAGTCGATTGGAGCCGTTGACGCAGCGCCTTGAGTCTCCGCACCTGTGGGCTCGGCCACAGCAGGAACAGATTTCTGTGCCTCCTCTTTACCAGTCGCCTTTTTCGAAGACTTCCAGTTGATAAAGCAAGGGACGTCAGGGGCCGTCTTGCTGGGCATGGCCATCTCTTGAAACATGAGCGGGATGCGTCCAGAAGCATCAGACTGCAAAAACATTCTCCAGTCCGTCTCGCCAGCTTGCGTCTCGGAGATGGCTTCGACGGATGCGTAGTATGCTCGGACGTATCCTTCGCTGCTACGATGAGGACACTTGTCGTGAGATACGGGCTGTTGGATGACGATGAAGCTGCGCAGGCTCTGTGGCTCGGAAGCTGGCAGCGATTCACCACGCAATTGCTGCAGCACCAGCGCTTCGTGCGCTTCAGAGTAAGGTGTGGGGTGCGGTGGCAGCTCGAGAGTGATGAGCAGCTCCAAAAAGTCTCTGTTGGACGTCAAGCTGGGCAGATTGTCTTTTGGGAGCAATCCGAGCAAGGCAATAATCGACCGCTCGTCAGCCATACCAAGAACGGGCGCCCTGCATACACTCCACTCACAGGTATTGTTCCACACCTCTGCCACACCCTTCTTGAGCTCATCAATCTGATTGGCAGCCGTCATTTCGGAGATATACTCGGTTTCTTGCTGAGGGTGATCGATGAGTAGACCAGCCTTGAAATCATCCCATGTCAAGCCCTTTGCCTCAGAGGGAGGGTGCACCTGCGATCGTCCAGGGGCGGTCATCGAAGGTCAGACAGGTGAGCACTACAGCGTGTCTCAAAACAGAACCACCCCCGCACGAGCTCCGTGTATCCTTCACTTCGTTCGAGTTCCGCCGCTCACGCTATGTCTGCCGTGCCAGCCGCACTTTGCCAGTCGGCCTTTGTGCACGCTGTTACCCTTGAAGCTCTGAACAGGAGCCACCTCCGTCTTGATGACTTTGCCCTTTGCCCAACCATGACTCGCGCGAATCATCGCAAAGGCCTGCTTGACATAGGCGCTAATCGCATCTTGAGAGATGCTTCCCGTCTCGTCGGTCAATGTGGAGATGGGAACGGGAGCAGCCTCAAAGGGATAAGCGGCGTCCGAAGATGGGGTCGTCATCTTCGTTTGTCCAAAATGCAGACAGATCTCGTTGATAGAATGTAGGGGACGCCGCTCGGAACGCTGATCCCGATGATTGCGATGGTGGTCAAGAGTCTAGACTTGCAAAGAGAAGAGCCGCTCAGGAAGGGTGTTGATTTGAAATTGAGAAGGTGGTGGGCCCTGCTGGGGTGCAAGCGCGAAGCACCCCTGATGTATGCACGAGCGAGCCCCCGCGCCGCGCGCTAGCTATCAATGCGCGGACACACCGCGCTTGCATGAAAGGCTTTCGGCGTGAGCCTCGTCCATCCAGAGCAGCAGCAATCAACAAGAGGCTTCCTACGACACTCGTGGCTATTGCTAGCGTTTGCTGCTTGCCCACAGCTCTGAGAGCCTAGGATGTGGACCCAAATCGGATCACAATGCAGCAGGCACGGTACTCGCAGCTGAGTGAGCTACTGGAGTCTCTCTTCTCGACCGGCTGCACGTCCCTTGCAAACCAAGTGGAGGCAATCCCTGTAGCTGCCAGGGCTGAAATGGCGTGGTTTCTTGCATCCTTTGCAGAGAGGAATCAAGAATCAATCACAGTCATCAGTCACGTGCCAGATGCAATTCACGATTCAGAAGGTGCGAACGAGAAGGAGGACGACCATCGGAATGCTCTGGTTTGACTCTTCTGTCTGGCGACTGACGGATCAGAGGCGAGGAGTGCACTCTGGCCACGGATAGTAAAACGTAAAGTTGTTTGCGCTCAACGCAATGCCAAGATGCTCATATGACTCGTCCAAGTCCAACAGTCACAGTCCAGGAGCGACAATGGCACGCAGACGTGGGAAATGGTCATCCCGATGCATTACAGGAAGCTTATGCCAATACCTAATTGCACCCCTTTTCTCGCTCCATCTCCACGTCTAGCAGCCAGGGGCAGACCAGCATTGAGTTCGACTCGCAGAGGTCCCTGAGAGAACATCAGTCCAACTCCAGCCGACGCTGACGGCTGAAGCAAGGGAGACAACGCTGGTGGCTGAAGAGGAATAGCTGTTTCGACGTAGCAAGGAACGATGAGTCTCTCAGCGACGCATCAAGCCAGGGTGCGCTTCGACACACGCCTGCGTTTGAAAATCACTCACTTTGATCTATCTGCGTCAATTGACCAGCATTAAAGAATGCGTGCAGCTTCAACGGCCAGTGCGGCCGCAAGGGCAAAGGCGCAAACAAGCTGCACCCAGCCGACCAGAACGCATCTCCGCCTAGCGAGTCACCTTTGTGTTCAACAAGTGCGGCAGCAAATCGTGAGCATCTCCGACAGGGGCGGAAGGCATCGATAACGCTGGGACACCCACCTCCGTCTTTAGGACCAAGACTGTTGAAGCGGAACATCCGCACGCTGAGAGGGCCTCCGAGCTGGAAACGATCGCTCAAATGGCTCGGCCTCGCGTCCAATGTCTTCAGCAGTCCGGCCGAAGCGCCTAACGACCAGGCCTAATATGGACGTGGCCGGCGCAGGAATTTCAGACGTGCTTGAAGTCCAGCGCGACCCTTCAGAAGGAACCTGCAATCCAGCACTCACGTAGCCATGCCCAAGCGTCCTCGCTCTCGAGGCCTCCAGCTCTGCCTTCCAGTGATGCACATCAGATCCGAAGCCAGATACCTCGTTCACCACCTTAGTCAAGCTGCCCGTTGTAGCCTGGAACAATGGGTCGTCCCTTGTATCCCTCATGTACGTGTGCTGCACCGAGCACTTGAGCGAATGACCGGCCAGACGTCGAATGCTGTTGCGAAGCATATCGAATGCATTGAGTGACGTGCCGCGAGGGCCTCGCAGCCTTGCGTTCTACTCACGATCTAGAAGCGAAAGGTCTAAGTCTACCGATATGTCGCCAATCCGCTTGCAGCGCGAACTCGTGAGATATGCCTTGAGCAGTGCTCGACTGAGATCACACGCATGGGCGGCGTGGTCAAAAAAAAGAGGAAGGTGGCGGCGCTTGCGCATCTGCGCGACGCAAAGACTACTCACCAGAATGCTAGCTCGAGCTCCCCGAAGGCCTTCGTAAGCGGCCCACCAAGCCGTGCAATCTCTATCCAGGGCATATGCGCCTAGCGAGAATATGTGATCTGGATTGGCCAATATTGGAGCTGTAAGAGAGACCTGAAGCGAGGTATGTTCGACTGGAATGAGCCAAGCGAGCAACGTGTAGGCCTCACTTCAGCATTGCAAGCTGCACACTCACATTGAAAGCTTTACGAGTGCGAGTGCCAATGGTAGCGCTTCCATTGAAAACCTCTGCTCCTCCAAACACGTTGCGCACGCGAGCCTGCACCGACGCGCTCCCCTCCCCATCGCCCACATCCGTAGAGCTCTTGAGCAAAAGCCTGCTCCGATTCTTCAGCGTCAATACCACGTCGCTGAGTTCCTGCTGTGCTCGCTTATCCGCATCCTTTGGCACATCCTTTGCCGGTTGCAAAGTCACGTCAACCTTGTCGAAGACGTCCATGGCCGTGAGGTCCGCCGAGAGGCTCTGCGCCACCGCTATCAAGCCCAAAGCCGCCGTCCTCTCGCCCACTTTGGGCAAAGCGGCTCGATGTCGGTAGAATAGCTCTGACAGTCCCACAGCGCTCGAGCTTGATGCTCGAGGAAGCAAGTACGGGGAGCAGAGACTTTCGAGGAAAGATCGTCGGAGAAGAGAAGCGCCTTCAATCCTGATGGAGGCCAGCTGCAGCGGCATTTGTGGTAGCTGCGATGGCAACACACGTAGTCATGGTCATCGCCGAGCGGGCGCCAGCAGATGTCAGCTACATCACTTGGAGATTGGTTGCAGCCAACCTGTCTCAGCTAGCCAGCCAGACTCACCAACCCGTTTCGGAGCGCATCTTGAAGCCCGTCGAGGTTGTGCGGCGATATCTCTTCCTCTTCTGCCGCACTCCCAGCCTCTGCCTCTGTTCTGCTCTTTTCATCTGCTTCACCTGATGCTGATGCCGCTGAAGCACCCTGCTGGCCCTTCACAGCAGCCTTTGCGCTCGTAGATGTCCTTTCGAACTCCATAGCAGGAGCGACGTCAGAGCTCGTTGAGCCAGTATTCAAGGCGCTGGACCTGAACGAGGAAGATGCAGCTGGAGACCTCGGTGCGCGGCTCGAGCCTTGCGCATTGCTGGAGGATGACGCCGCGTGAGGTGGACTGGTTGGGCGCGGCGGTTGGACCTCTGCTGGCGGAGCTGTAAAGGAGCCGTCGTAGCGATTGGAGCTCTGCTCCGACATGGCGTCTCTCTATCGATCAGTGACGCCAGAGAGTCCTAAGCACGCACGCAAGCATAATGGGACGCCCAGCGACGGCGGTGCGTGGTCGAGAAGGCGGCGCGTGGTCGTGGATGTGGACGTAAAGGCAAAGCTGCGAGAAGAAAGACTACGCGCAAAACAGATGCATACCGGCCGGCGCATCCTACCACGTTCAAATTCACGATCTCTTTTCGCCGTTCACGACATGAAAGTGCGCAACAAAAACACCTCTGAGGAAGAGTGAGTGAGTGAGCGAGCGAGCGACGCTGCTGCTGATGCGCTGAACAATCATCCGATGAAGGGCCGCTTGATTCTTATATCCAGTCCCCGCCCACCCATCGGTTCAACCCCCTGCAGCGACCTCGTCTCTGCGGGAGCGCAGCATCCAATGATGGCCGATGCCAAGAAGCCCACCAAATGACCACGAGCGCAAGCACGAAAGACGAGAGGAAAAGCCAAGCAAACAGCGCACAGATCGTGCGTGTGCATGCATTGGAAAGGAAAGGGGGTACAAGCGGGAAGGGGAAGAGGGCGTGGGAGGGGGCGAAGGAATATCGGCTCAGGTTGCGTACATGACCACGAGGCTTATTGGATGGCCATCGGTATGAGTCCCGAACCCGTTGGGCGCGGTCTTCGGCAGAGCGGAGTGACTGGGAATGGTGAAATGGAAGGGGGAAAGAGGAGAAAAGCTTTGGTCGAGTCTTCCTCCATCTTGACGTCCTGGAAGTCGTACCGACGAGACTAGCGCGAATGAGAAGCGTACGGAGTCAGCGCGCCTGTCGTTCGCAAAGTGGGACAGTCCTTCGAACACTCACTTCTCCTCACTCCCACCACTGACCATTCTCCATCTTCAGGCCCCATCCCCTTTGTCGTCCAGTCCGTTCCTGCTTGTTGGTAGGGAAAAGGGAAGGGGGCAAAGGTGAAGTTGACGGCTCGCTTGACAAGAGATGACATCGTACCTGCGAAGTAGGCGCTGCCCAACACGGCTCGCGCTTTGCAATCGAAAGCGTCGCAAGGAGGCAATCTGATGCTTGTTGTGTGCCGATCGGAAGCGTCGTTCTGACGAGTCGAAGACTCAAGTCTGAGGAGGCAACCTAATGGCGTTTGGTGTGCTACCAGAAGCATCGTCACACATGTGAAGAGGCCATCTGATGCTGTCGACACGGACACACCGACCAGGAGCGTCGCCCGAATGAGTAGACACTTCGATAAGGGGAGGCTACCCGACGGCGTTGACACGCGACCGCTCTATGGTAGAGCTGAAGGTATGGCGAACGAATCGCTCTCGTCCGTTCGATGAAGGGACAACCGAGTCAGAACATGACTCGTGCCAGCACATTGGAGTGCGGCAAAATAAGCTCCAAGAGCTTCACCGAGTACAATGGTACCGGTTTCACTTCCTCTCGATAGAGGAAGTCCTGAAGATCCGCACTGGGACTTCGAGCGAGAACACTGCCCGCGAGGGTGTGCTCCCAAATGCTGCTCCAAGCAGCCTGAACAGTACGCCGCACGAGCAACATTGCTGATGGGCAACATGAGTCTACCTCGCCTGAGGAAGTCTACGAAGCCAAGACAAGGCTTCGGACAACAGCGATGCCCAACATGGGCACGCTTCTAATGATCGGCTCCGAAGAGCGACTAGTGGTGCCAGCAACGGAGTGCTGGCAAAGCGAGACGGCATACGCCATATTCGCTCGACCTGAGTCAGCGACCCTTTCGGATGCATGACGTTCTTTCTCGAGGTGACGCCGATCCGGCACCTTTGCAACCAGCTCTTGTCGAGCGGTTGACCTCTTGAAAAGGTCTCGAGGTGAAAGTCGCCGATCCGGCACCTTTCTCACCAGCTCTTATCGAGCGGTTGACCTCTTGAAAAGACTTTTATGTATGAGAAGTTGCAATCGTCAAAAGACGACATGTAGTCAGGTTAATTGAAGATGTTCTGAGCACGACCAGACCCCGCAGGTTTCGGTCGAGGAAGTCGAGCAAGATTCGGTCTATAGCCATCCGAATTGGCACGTGGTGGCGACTCAGGAGCCTCCCCAGCTAGCGCCAAAGCGAAGGCTGATAGCCCGAACGCATGTCAACAGACCTCGAGGACTACAACTGCGCAAGCTACCGGCGGCTTTTTTATTCGGGTCAGGTGCGGTGCAATCAACTGATTTGCGAGAGATCCGGCTTTGCCAACAAAGCGGGAAGCCCCTCGTCGATAGCCAGCTGATGCACCAGCCGCGCACGCCGGACTAGTCCGTGAAGACCCGTCTAGCGCACACGGGGATCTCGTGACGGAGGGCGAACGTGTCCATGTTGCCGATGCAGAAAGCCCTCTACGAGCTCGACTGCCACGCCCTATGCAAAGGGATACGAGGTCGAGGAAACATCAACTCGACCAGGTACGGCGTGCGTCTCGGCATGGTCCACGTTGCCACGTCAACTGATCCGGCACCTAGTAATATCAAAGTAGATCTTGAAATCCGTGAAACACGAGCTTCGTAGTAATGTGTTCATGATGAACGAGCTTGTATCAATGAAGAACGAGCTTGATAGACGCAAAGCATCCACTACCGCCAGCTACCTCATCTTGACGCCCTTCTCCTTCTTCTTGACCAACCCAAAAGGCAGCTGCGAGCAGCGGCGATCCGGATGGCGTTAGTCGAAGTCGATGGGCGACAATTCCGGTGAGCGGCGTGCAAGACATTGTGCGCGAAGAGCGACGATGATAACGATGATGTTCCTAGCCAAAAGGCTAAATGCCTGTCCAATGGACAAATACTGCCCCACAAGGGGTTCAAATACGTCCCACGAGGGGCAAAAACGACCCGAAACGGGCGAAAAGACGACCCGAGAAGGACCAGGTGGTGTGCGCACGGATGCGGGGATCGGCCCTGTGCTGCTTCTTCGAATGCCCGTCGAAGAACCCCGAGCTCGTGTGGTGTAATGTTCCGAGGAACTTGACTACCGCATAGCAGTACACGATGTGTGGGGACAGGTCATGAGCACCTGTGCAAGGGCGGACTCAGGCTCGCCCGGCGAGCCTGGGACAGGGGGGCGACACCCTGTCGGTCCATGAGGAGAGGAGGGAAAGGGTGAAAGTTGAGGGGGGCAGTTTAAGTAGTGTGAGGCAAGCCTGGCAGAATGCCCCACGGCTCGCGTTGACCAGCCTTGCAGATCCTCTCCTCTAGTGCTCTGCTTTGTCCTCCCGGGCGCAGGAGCGCGACCCTTTGGCCCCCTTCGAGGCCCAATCGCGCTTTGGGCTATACTGTAGCAGCCCTATACGACGCCATGCAGCAGCAGCAGCAGGCAATTCCGTCTGCAGCTGATGCTCATCTCAGCGCCAGGCAGCGTCCGCGGCCCGGCCTGCTGTATACCGTACAATTATTATTGTGATTCGTGATTGTAATCACAATGTCAATCGGTCACTGCTGTTGGCGTCGCACCGACTCGATTTACCCAGACTCCCGACCATCCGACCAGCGGCTGCATGGAAGTCCACGCATGCAATCGGAGCGTGAGAGCACAAAATGCGTGGAACACCTAATAATCAAAATAGCTGCACTGTGCTGCAGCTCGATCGGCGCCCAGCTAGCTGTAGCTATATAAGCTGTCATGACGGTGGTGGGTGAGATGGCAATCGTGATAGTTCTCGGATCACCTTCGTGCTTCTTGATTCTTTTCACGATTCAAGAAGGGCTCACTGACCATCAGACGGTGAGTCGCGAGTCGTGAGTGCATGACGCTTCAAATCCGTCTCGAACATTCACGATTCTTGATTCGGTGTTTCGTACTTTGACGCCAACTTCATTCACCTCCAGCAACGATTCGAGTTTCGCTGCATGCGTGACGCTTGTAGGGTGAGAAGGTCCCATACTCAGCGTCTGATTGGGTAGCAGATCTTGCAATTCCCCCTCCCCTCCCCGTCTGCCCGTCGATCGCCATTCGATGCCGAACGCCTCGCTGTTTCGTGGCTATGGCGCGCTTGTCGGACGAACTGCTGCTCTCAAAGTGCACTCGCAATCACACGTGTCTCGTGGTGTGCTCGTGCTCGTGCTCGAACAGCGCCATTGCAGCCTGGCTTATTGGTATCAGCTGCAGTGTTATGAGCAGCGATCACTCCACATCGTCCTGCAGTCAAGTCTGGTTGCTCATGGGGCCGACGAGGCCGGCAAGCATGTGATTGCAATCAAGCACGGGGATGGGTAAGTATATATGACGTGGCGCGTGTGGATCGAGTATAGAGGCGCGGATAAAGGTCTAATTCAAGAATACGAGGCGGATGCTGATTTTCCCCACGGGTGCAAGTCGATGAGGGGTGGCAGATCATTGGTAAACAGACTTGGACGAACATCGAGGTGCGATGCTAGTCAGTATTCGAATATATGTAGCAGGCCAAATCGAGGCGTGCGTTCTTATAGAGGGGCTCAAGTGCGCAATTAGGAGCGCCAAGGTCCTCCGGGACCAACGACAGTAAGACGCTCCTGTGCTCGGCGCAACGATTGACGGCAGCGAGCTAGTAGCTCTTCCCTTGCTCGCAGGGAGCGTGTTGCGGCCGTTCCGGTGAGCGTGTCGAGATCCTGCAAACGAATCATTGGAAGCATCTCGACCCAGTCCCAGAAAGTGCTAGGTCCTTCGCCGTCATAGAAGCAGTCGGCCTGACGTTCGAAGAGGCGCTCGACGGTGCGATACATGCAAGGGACTGAAGCCGTCTTGATGGGCTCGTCATAGCAGCTTTGAGGATCAGGACGACTTGCTGCTTGGCAGCAACTGTGAGAGCACCTGTCCAGTTCCAATTCCGGCATCTCAAGGATGCGCAACTCTACGATCTTGGGCTCCTCTCCTGGTGTATCGTTGGATGGAGCGAAGGAAGACCCTGTACGACGACGTTCTTGACGTCGCAGAGTAGCCAAACTCTCACATGCGAGCATTCTCCACTGGTCAGCCCACCAGCACGCACATGCTGCACTAACACCGTCCTTTCGGCAGATCAGGGAGACCGTCTCGAGGGTGGGGTGGGTGAGGAGAGCGGCGAAGAATGCTGGGTCCTCCTTGCACATGCCTCGGCAAATCTGCTGCTCCTGCTCAAGCTCAGTCCGCTCGCGATTGGGCTCCTTTCCAGTAGCAGCAGCAGCGGAGGCCTCGCGCCTCATGTCGGTCACGCAGTCTGGGCACGTTGGCACGAAGCTGATGGCCAGATGCTTCAGTCCAGCTTTCGTGATATAAGATGGAGGTGGACGAAGCGCAAGAGGCCAGAATGGTGGAGGAGGTGGATACTCGCGACGAACGAGAAGGTAGGCACATTGCATGCAATAGACGACGTGCACGTATTGAGGTCCCAGTCTTGCAGCGCTTGATTCGATTTCCGACTCATCTGATGCTGAAGCAGCGGCAGCCTCTTCAGCGGCTTGGACGGCAGGCGGAATTGGTGCGAGAGGACTCGATTCGAGACCAAAGCGAGGGATGTGCGCTTCTACCGAAGGGTGAAGCAGCGAGAGATTGAATGCGTGGGGCGGCGTAAGCATAAGAAGCTTTTCGAGGTTTGGGAGCTCGGCGCAGCACGTGTGCTCCAGCTCGATTTCCATTTCGCGCAACGTCGAGCGAGGCGTAGAAGGTGAGAGAGCAGCTACCATAGTCTGCACATCAAAGCTGTCATAGTCCAGACCTCCTTGGCTGAAGCGAAGCGCGCGCACAGCCTCGTTGACCGGCCGCGTGGAAGAGAGGGAGGCCAGACACAAAGCTTTGCAGAGTCCTGCTTCCTTTGCCAAACGTCTGCGCAACGCCACGGGACTTGCGGATGCGTCACCGAGCTTGGGAGATCGATACAGAGCAGGTTGAAAGATGTCGTAGAGCAGAGAGGATGAGGCTGCCAGGCTGGCACATACATGTTGAGGAACAGCTAGCGATAGGCATTCTAGGATCAAGATGCGCAGCTCCGATGGCAAGCTCGCGATCGCATGTCGCATGAGCACATCTCGCCTCGATTCCGAGCAGGTGCGAGCGTCGAACAGGGCAGATGCGGACCGAGCGAGCTGAGCAGAAGCTGTTCGAGCCGAGGATTTGTACCTGTGCGGGCTGCTCGGCTTCTTCTTCTTGAGGTCCCAGATGGTCATGGATGAGAAAGATCGCCGCATCAGCGTGGTGACGTCTTGTTCTGGTTCGGATTTGTTTGATAGCCAGCCTTTGAGAGTGTTTTGGGAGGAGAGGCTGGAGCGTCCGTGATGAGACGCCCTGTAGAGTGCCGCCTCTATCGTCGAAGGTGGACCCCACTTTGGCAGCTCCTCCGGCAGAAAGCCAAGCGAGTAGGACATCGCGTTGACGTCTGAGGTGCGACAGGCTGAGCAGTAGAGGTGTGAGCAGGTCGAGTGGGCAATGAACAGGTTACGAGTGTTGGACGAAGACAGCAGAGCGTCGGCAGTTGGGTCGAGGAGCGTGGGGCCCAAGATGGAGGTGATGATGTGATGCTAAACGTCAGTCGACTGTTGACTGTGGAGATAAAGGTGGACAGACGCCTGCTGAGCGCCTTGGCTATGACCGACCGAGAGTCACGAGTGGGAAATCGACACAGCCTCAACGACTATTGACCATTCGATTGAAGTCTCTCCACGCACCGATGATGCTGCCTCTCACGTCAGACGCGGGCGGGCCGTCAGCAGCAGCGGTACAGCGGTATGGCTGGAATCGGGTCCAGAATTGCTCTGGCGGCACCGCATCGGTGCGTGAGTGTGGATCGATCGAGTCGCAGAGTTGCTGTGACCGTTGGCGATGCATAGCTATGCAGCTGGATGGCTGAGGTCCGAACATTGCTCTGCTCGACCTGGCAGGTATAGCGTTGCTCATCGGTCTCAATGTCGAGCCGCGTTTGACTGTTCTATAGGCATCGGCGATTGACCACCGCAAGCGGCTGAGCCGCCAGCCGGCGGCTTGTGCTGCTGGGTGGGTGAGACAGCAGGGAACGAGTCCGCTGAACGGGTCCGCTTCTAGGATTCCATCCAAGATCCGGGGCACCTGGTTCACGATCAGACGCTGAAGCTTGCCCATGCATGGACAAACGACATGTATAGCAGCTCTGCCAGCCACGACCTTGTAATCGTATCGTACCGGATTGGCCGTTAGGTCGATGCGTACTAATCTGCGTGAGCCCACTCACACGACCAAGGCAGCCGGCGAGCAGCGCTGCTTGGTGCCAGCATCCACATACCGAGTGCTCACTGCATGACGACTTTTGGCTGGAGGCTGGAGGGTAGAAGACTCACGACTGATCGCATATCTGATCCAGCCGGTCGGTTGGCGGTCAAATGCGGAGAACCTCATGCATGCACGCGCGCGCGTCGACGTCCCCTCTCATGTCACCCGCGACGGCGGCAATCTTGAGCTTGAGTTCGCACATCCCGCTACAGCGCACGCGGACTAGCTCACTCAGACTCACGCCTTAGCGCGCATGCGGTGTTGCCCCCGGCTGAGCGAGCGAGCGATACGGCTATATAGAAACGACGGGTCCCACAGTCGCCGCATGTTGTACAAGCGCGATCCTCACCGTTTATACCGACCGGCCGGCCTGCAAGACCGATGGACGCCTCCAGCGCGCAAAGTGGTGTGCGAGACCGGGATGTGCTCTTCTCAACGGATCCAACACATGCTGGCGGCATGACACAAACACACGCGTTGGCATCCATCGGACCCCTTTCAGAATCACGTGAATACATTCGTGATTCAGGCTCAATAGTAGTAGTAGCGAGCGAGACGGGAGTTCGGAATCTGTACCATTCGTGACGGTGATGGAAATGTTAGCCAGTGCAGGGGCAGGAGCCTTCGTGCGGATGCGAGTCACTTAGCCGCGCTTATTCCGCAACGTAGGGATCTGAATTCAAGCTCCATCAACACATAGATGGGTACGCATCGGGAAGCAGAAAAGGCGCTGCTCGAGGTGCGAGCATCCGCTGCGCCATGTGAGCGCCTTGCTGTTGTGCACCTCACTCGCGATTCCTGACCGCCCAGCACCGCGCTGTTCGTGATTGCCTCTGATCACCCAGCACCCATTCGTGATTCATGGCCCGACCGGCCTCAATGATGGTATGTATGGCATGCGAGCAGCGACCACTGCATGGCTAAGTTGGCTCAAGTTGGATCGTCCGCCTATACAGCGCTCACGAAATGCGCAAGACTAAACAATAAGGAGCAAAAGCGCCACATTTGCAGCTCCGAGGTTCGCTCTTGAGCCGCGTACGCACGCTGCTGCTGCTGGGCGTAGTTGCGCCCACACGGCATTCAACAATTCCACCTTTCAACAGCAGTCGTGAGTGATAGGCTTGCCTTTGACAGACAGGTGAGGTGATCCGATCGCTGTTTCGAACGTCGTTCGTGCATACCCACCATGAATGGACACGACTTGATGACGAGCGCGCAATCATGCTGGTTGATATGGTTGAGTTCGTGATGCACTGCGGCCCGTGGCCATGACTGTTGAGTAGGCATTGGGCGGCGCAATCACTCGTGAATACGTCAACTTACACTGCCGCGAGATATACAGGCAGACAATAAACGAAGCTTGGCACTCGCCAAGCAGGGGGACCACCGACACCGGGCCAACGAGCCCTGCTCGTCGACGAAGTGGTCAGTCTTCAAGGCAGACGGACAGCACGCAATCCACAAGCTATACTCGTGACTGCAGGGCCTTTGCCGCTTGGGTATGCTGCTGTGATGAAGAGCATACAGCATTCAGCCAACCATCCACGCAGCTCCGCCATGCACACGCAGCTGGATCCCATCGCGGAGTTGCGAGACGTTGATGTGGCTGTTGATCGTATCCCGCTCACCAAGATCTGCAAAGGCCCTGCCTGGTCCACACTCACGACTCGCAAATCACGAATCTTGCATCATCCATCATATATGATGGATGCAAAGGGCGCCGGCTCGTCTTGGCCTTGGTCACCGCGCGGCAGCCTTATGCTGACCGTCACGGCAAGGTCCCCTGAGCGTGCAGCAGGAGCCGAGCGGAGCCGAGCCGGGCTGCCGGCGCGAGGCGGCGAAACGGGTGGATCGGTATAGGCATGAGCTTGTGCGCATAGCCAGCTATAGAAATGCAACCGCCATCGTGCTGCTGGCTGTGATGATTGTCCCGGCCATCAGTAGACAGTCAAGCATCCTAGCTGAATCTGAATGAAGAATCGTTGGACCCGAGATTGAGTGGCGAGAACGCAGCGATGTCAAACCAATTCAAATATCGTAGATATTTTTGCTGTTTACAATATTCAAGAGCGGCAGAAAGCTATCTCATACTAGACTCGTGACTCTTGACTGTATTGTGTACGGGCGCACAGAGCGGAGATTTCGTGTGCACGTTCAAGAGGTTTCAAAACCCACTCAGCAATTCGCTTCACATCCGCGCGCCTTCTCGATACGGCACAAACATATATAGCAAGCTCATGCTGATGATGCTGCGCGTATACAAATATGCAGAAGTGGCGCGCGTGCAGCCGTCGCGCCAGACGCTTGACTCGCATGCATGCATGCACGCTTCCTCTCAGCGATGCTATAGCTGTATGGGTACGGGTGATTTGCGTTGTGCATTGCCTACCTTTGTAATCCAAGAGCGTCTTTGCTTTGTGTTTTACAATTACTACCGGTGTTCCGCGTTCAGGCGCAATGTACGCGGGTGGAGATCGAAGAGGCACACACATCGTACATCACGGCAGCTAGGGTCTAGGCTTGACCAGAGTCACAGTCGTGAGTGCAATCGATCACTCACCCATCAACAAGCAAGAATTGATGAAGATTTGCGCGCGCCTCTGACCGCAAGCATCACCCGGCGGCGCGCACGCGAAGATCTCGCCCTGCTCTCGAGTCCCTTCATGCTCTGGCCCTGGCCCTGGCCCTGCTCCGTCTCTCCCTCCCTCTCTCTCTATTCTCTGTCCCTTCTCTCTGTATTTCTTCTTCTCTCTTTGTTTGCCGGGTTTAGCCTCCCGCACAGCATCGTCGGAGCTTCCAGCTCGCTTGGGGGTAGCACGGAAATACGGCGGCACATTCTTGAACTCTCATCATCATCAACAGCAGGCACCGCGGCTCTTCGAAAGATCACTCGCGCAAGCCCGAGACCGTAATTGAGCGGACCGCCGTCCGCACCCAAACTCGGACGATCCCCTCGGAGAAAGTCGCAATCACGAGGCACGAGTGAGGGCAGTCTTAGTAGCGCATCGACCTGGCTCACTTGTCACAGGAGCACAGCCTTGCACTTGCTCATTGCCTGCATCATTCAAGGCTTCGGCTCTGTGTCCCTTTTCGTGACCTCTATCCGCCGCTTGGCCAGCTAAGCTTCTACTTCCCGCTGCCATTCTGCGATCGGTTGCCCCTTGGGCGCTGCAGCTCGCCCATTCCAAACGCATCTTTGCTCGCACAAGCGGTACTGAGGTTTATTTAAGCAACCTCTTTAGCGCTTGTCGCTCAGCCCCCTCCCCCTCCTATATCATCGCAACTTGCCAGCCTGCTCCCCCTTTGATTCCCAGGACAAATTCTCCGACCTTCTCATCGCCCCGCCCCTTTCGATCGCTCGATTTCAAACTGGACCGTACTGCCTTGCACTTGCTGTGCGCATCTACACCAGTGCGTGATGCGCCTCTGCAATAGCCGTAAAGCGGCTCAATGGAGCTTGCTTGCCGTCTTCAGCGCCCTGCTCCTTTGCCAGGGAGCACGAGGGCAGCGCCAAGTATCGCTGCAGGCAACGGACTCATCGGACGTTGTCACGTCGTCGACCTACTTGGACACTGCCGGCTCCACAGACAGCGGCTCCAGCGCCGCTCCGACCCCGACCTCTAGCACCCTGCCGATCGGCAGTGCCGCGGTAAGCACTGTCGACGACGATGACGATCCCTCTGCGGCAGCGTCGGCTTGGCAACCACCACCGACTCAGTCAGCAACGGTTCCGTCGCCAAACGGTGCTTACCCAAACCCTCAGTGGTCGAGCCTGCTCGGTAAGACGCTCTACTTCTATGACATTCAGCGCGCCGGCCAGCTACCGAGCAATTTCCGCGTCCAGTGGCGCGATAGCTCCTCGACCAGCGATGGTAGCGACGAAGGTCTGGACCTGACAAAAGGCTTTTTCGACGCTGGCAACTTCATCAAGGCTACCCTCCCGCTCTCTTGGACGTTGCAGCAGCTCGCTTGGGCCGGCGCTATGTACGGCGAGTCCTTCGACTCGACTGGCCAGACAAAGTACCTCAACAGAACCATGAGAGTCGGTCTCGATTGGCTTCTGGAGGCCAGCAGCAAACCAGACACGGTCGTCGTGCAGGTGAGCTTCCGTGACATCGACTGGCAAAGACTCGATCCGCTAACTTCACTTTGCCCTATCTGTTGCCGCTCTGCTCGCAACAGGTGGGCCGCCTGGACGACAACTATTGGGGTCCAGCGAGCGGGATCCCTCAAAACCGTCCTTCCTACACGGTGACGCGCGACAATCCAGGAACCGACATTTTTGCCGCCGTTTCCGCTACGATGGCGCTTGGCGCCCTGTTGTACAGCGGCACGGCCATTCCCGCCGGCTTGAATCAAAACGGCACAGTCGCCTCTCTCCGCGATGACGCCTATGCCTCCCGGCTACAGCAGCGGGCTATCTCCATGATGCAGTTGGCCCAGAGCGCGACGCCTCAACAAGTCTACCAGAAAGCTCAGCCGTACGGTGCGCAAGCATATCCCTCTAGCGACTTTAACGACGAACTCATCCTAGCTGCCACGTGGCTCGCTGCCCTTACGGGGCAGCAACAATACGCCCAATATGCGCTGGATGTGTTCAACGACAACGGGTTCCCATGGACTTCTGGTGCACTCAATTGGGATTCCAAAGTCGCCGCGACACCAGTTGCAATGCTCCAAGCCGCTGTGCTGAGGCCAGAGCTCTCGTCTGTCTTCAATGTCGACACACTGCGAGACAAGTCGGAGGTCTGGCTCGATGCAGCGGTAGACAACAAAATGTCCAGCTTTTTCTACACTCCTGGTGCACTCCCTTGGTGGAAAGGGGACTCGGATGGTACGAGCATGAATCCCATGATGAATGCAGCCTTCTTGTCGGCCATCTACGGACCATTTGCGCGGGGCAGCAAGGTGAACAAGTACGCTGGATGGACGAATTTCCTGATCGATTACGTCCTCGGCAAGAATCCGATGAACACTGTGTACGTCATCGGCGCCAGTCCCAACAGTCCGCTGAATGCGCATTCCAGCATGGCGAGCGGCGGTCGCGACATCAGCGAGATAGACACGTCGCCACCCGTCATGGCGCACACCCTCTGGGGAGGCGTGCTTGGCGGTCCGGACAGGAAAGATCGATTTTTTGATCAACGCAGCGATTACACTCAGAGCGAGCCCACCGTCGACCTGGTCTCACCGATGGTCTTTCTCTCCGCGCAGAGAATCGCAACTCGCGCTGCTGACCCTTACTACGTCTCCAACCTTGCTGACAAGCCGCGCAAGGTGGCAAAGAGGCCCAAGTCGAGCAGCCAAGTCGCTCTCGAAGCTGCTCTACCTACCGTTCTCATCGTCCTCGCGCTCGCCATCGCCGGATTCGTCGCTTTCAAGAAGCGAGACACGATCCGGCAGTGGTCGCGACAGAGACGTATGAAGAAGATCGGTGTCTCTTACAAGAAGGAAGACTTTGTCTAGCCTTCTTGTTCGTCTCCTTGGACATTAAAGACCTGTCGTCGCCGCTACTATCCTCTGCCATTGTTGCCACACCATCTTTCCCCGTTTTCTCCCACGCATCAAATGTACTTTGCTACGGCTCGAACCCGTCTATGAAGCTTCGGAATCGCATCTCACCACGTCCTCGCGTGATCAAGGCCGCTGCCGTTCCTCATCCTATCGCAATCTGCTCTGCACACTGCATGGTCGATGCATCTTTATTGCAATATCATCGATTGCGTCGCGAAGTTGGGGCAAATGAAGAACGGGAGAGAAAGTGGCGATGCAAATGAATCGCAGTAGAAGAGAAAAGCGAAGTAGCGACGCCGCTTACAACGCTGCCGCTTACAACGCTGCACGGAACGACGCCTTGAATCGCGTTGGTATATGAGCGCAGAGGGGCACGAGCCGGCCGTGTGTCCACCGTGAGAGAGAGAGAGAGCGTGCGAGACACGAAGGGCTGACTATGCGCATCTGTATCGAGGGGGCCGAAAGAGAGAAGAAAAGATGCTGATCCGTGCGAAAGATTCATCTCCTCATCTTGAGATGAGACCTCGAGTCGCGTGAAAGGGACGATGGTTCCAATCGCTCCGAGAATGAATGCCGGTCAAAGGATTGACGGACTACTGTTCGGCAGGAGTGGTCAATCGGTCCTTGACCTCGTTGCCGTAAGCTGCAAGGCCTGCGACGATTTGTGCACCTGCTGCAGCGGCAGCTCCAGCCTGCTGCATCCAAGCCGGCGCTTGCTGCTGCTGCCCATCGCTTGGAGTCTGGCCCTGATTGGGCGTCTGAGCTCCAGAATTTGCAGGGTCTGCCGAAGCGCTAGCGCTCGCTGCGCTCTCAGACGCAGAAGCTGAGCCAGAAGAGGCGTTCGAGGAGGCTGACGCTGAAGCAGAAGCCGAAGCCGTGGTCTTGTGAGACGCAGACTCGGCCTTATGATGCTTGGCTTTGTGCTCTGTGGGAGCCTTGTGGTCCGCGGGCGCCTTCGCGTGCTCCTTCTTGGTGTCTTTGTCCTTGTTAGACTTGCTGTTGTTATGCTTCGAGGCAGCACCCTTTCCATCCGCCTTGCTCTTGTTGCTGTGAGCCTTGCTCTTTCTGCCGGCTGCTTGAGCGATCTTTGCACCAATAGGACTTCCACTCTGCACAGCGCTGCTAGCACCGCTTGCTGCGGCCGAAGCCGTAGAGTCCCCCTCATTGGCGCCTTCCAGAGCGGCAACCTTTTGCCTTATACCGTTATGGTCGAGGCTAGAGTCCGGAGGGGGTCTGACGGATCCGTCGGTGACGCACACCATCAAGCCATCGTACAGATTGTCGCAGTTGATGGAGGGGTTGTTGTTGACGAGCGTGTCCCTGGAGATGGAGTAGTCGCGCGCCATCGACTCGCACGTGTCCGATCCTCGCACCCGATGAACCAACTGGCAATCGTTTCCGTATCGACCCAGGCAGAGCGTGCTGCCAATCTCCAGGCCGTAGCACAGTGGTCCGCTGATGAGGTTGAATTGCATAATGTGGTAGGTGCTGGTCCAGGTTTTTTGACCAACCTTGTCGCACGTATCACCCGCTACCACTCTGTACGTCTCTGTGCAAGCCGTGTCCGAGCTGGCAAATTCTAGCGGGGACTCTGTCGCGCCAGGCACGTCCATCGTAGCGCTGTCAGGAAGCAAGGGTGCAGCGGACGCGGTGGCATTTGCGACGGGTGCTGATTCGGAAGTCGAAGCCGAGGGCAGCGGTGAGGATGCGTCGCTAGCCGACTGGACTTCACCCGCGGAGCTCTGAGCAAGCACAGCCGAAGACGCGAGCGCCAAAGCGCCCATTGACAGAGCAAATAGCCGCGTCATGGTGTGTACGTATTGGCGATCGTCGACTGGCGAGTGCTTGAGTAGGCGTTCTTACAGGCCTTCTACCTGACAAGCAAACAAAGCGTGGCTGAGGGTTGCCTTGGAAGTTGGGGAATGCGCCCGCGCAGTGCAGTGTGTTTGTGAGATGAAAGGAGCGTGTGTGGTGCCAGCTAATGATGATGCTTGATAGCGAGAGCTGAGAAGCCGAGTAGCAGGGCGCGAATCTAGATTGCAGTCTGGCGAGCTTGGGAGTGCGCAAGCCAAGTGCAAAGGTTTCCGAGGGGACGGCCCGTGGGGATGGTGTAGATTTCGGAGATGAGGGATATATCGGCAATACCTTGTGGGCAGCTCGAGTGAATGACGAGAAGAGAGGGAAAGCAAAGCGCTAGAGGCCCATCAAGAATCGTGTCCTCTATCGTTGGATGCAAAGCACGACCGGAACAGGAGCAATGGCTGCGTACGGGGGAGGGAAGCAAAGGCGAAGAAGGGACGGGCAGGGGTCATCGAGGCAGGCAAGTAGGCAGGCAGGCAAGTCGGTCGAATGGATGGGACGCGATGAGCGTCGGACCCCCTTTCGGTCGCGCGGCTGCCAAACACCAGAGCGCGGCAGGTATGAGTCAAATTGATGTGATTACAAATGCTAGCTCTCAAGCATTCACTCTTAAAATAAAAACAATTCAACGGCCACGGCGCAGATTCGAAATCCTGCGCCAACTAGCGTGGGGGCCGAACCGGCGTTCCAAAGATGTCTTGATTCAAATTGCTTGATTCTTGATTGATTCTCACTATATTTCTTCATTCTTGACTTGATCAACGTCTGGCTGCTCACTCTTAAAATTCTACAGGGGCGCGTCTGAAATCGAAATCAAGAATGAAGAATGTGGCTCGGTCTTTACGTTTTGAGAAATTCGAACCTTTCGACCAAAGAATGTTCTTGCGCGGACTGAAACGTCACCCGTACGCTAACCTTGAACCAATGAATCATCATTCCTGAAAATCAAAACAAAACAAATCAAATCAAATCAAATCAAATCAAATCAAGAATCTGGAGTCTTGAGTGAAAGTCGAAAGTTGACTCAACGACCTGCAACAAATTAAAAGAGCGCGGTATAGGCACATCACGACTGAGATAGGTCCCCGCGCGTGCATCAGGGCGCCAAGGGGAACGCAACACATACACCGCTGCTGCTGCACGCTGCAGCATGCATGCCGTGGGCACCAGCCGCACCTCAAGCCGACGCTGACCCATGAAAATCGAAATCGACAAATTGGATGGATAAAGTCTGAGTCACATTTTAACCACTTCAAAGACAGGTCTGAATGGGCCAAATCATCACGTGATAGCAGCAACTGCGTTCCTTGCGCACGTCCACACGTCTCTCCTGGCCATCCCTTTCACGCATTCGCAAGAGTCGAGACAAGACGAGACGAAGCATTGGACCGCGATGCTCTCAGTTCTCCTCCCTCACACACACCGCCAACATCTTCAAATCCTTCGTGAAAACATTTGCGGGAGCCACATCACGCCGAAATGATCTCTCTGCTGCCAGCAACGAGGCAAGCTCTGCGCACCAGCAGCAGTAGCAGCGCCATCCGCCGTCCTCTACTCTCACCTGCGGCCCTTCCCGCAGCTTGCCTCTCTCGCTCCTTGCAGACCACTGTCCGCGCTCAGGCCGTCTCCAAGCGCTTCACCGCAGAGCACGAATGGGTCTCTTTCGATGATGCTACGAACATCGGAAAAGTCGGCATCACGGACTACGCCCAGAAATCTCTGGGAGATGTGGTGTACGTCGAACTGCCCAGTGAGGGCAGCACTGTGGATATGGGCGGTAAGTGCCAAGTTCAATGCGCGTGTGCGTATTGTGTAGGTAGCGGTGCGCTCATATCGTCTCGTGCCTTGTTGCCTCGTCCCTGGCGTCCTTGACGGGCAATGATGGTCAGAGCAAATCGGAGCTGTGGAGTCCGTCAAGGCTGCGTCCGACATCTACTCGCCTGTGAGCGGTGTGATCGAGAGCGTCAACGACCAGCTCGGTAATGAGCCTGGCTTGCTGAACAAGAGCCCTGAGGACAAGGGTGAGTCATGACGCTCCTGGGACTCTGCAGTCGTTAGCATCTAAGTGAGAGCTGGCACGTCTAATCGCTGTGTCTGGCACCACTCGAACGCAACAGGCTGGCTGTGCGCTATCAAGCTTGCCTCTCCCAACGAATTCGAGACTTTGCTGGACGAGAAAGCGTACCAGGCTCTGTGCGAAGACTCGTAGACCGATCGACGGCACACGCAAGTCGAATGAGTGGCGACGCTGCGCACAAAGCGACGCTTGCTCTGCGCTCAGAAAAGCGTGTCATGGGTGTGGGAGAGTAATCAATAATGTCCGTCGGATTTGTGTTCTTTGGGAGAGAATCGCGTCAGTAGCCACTGTGAAACCGTATTTTTCGAGTCCTGGCAAGCTCATCTAGCGGACGGCCGAAATAGAGCTTCGCGCCCCCACTCAGAGGGAACGTCGTGCGCTCTCTTCCTACTTGACCATTCATTGCCCTATCACCTTGGCCGCGCTGCTGCTTAGGAACAGGAGCCTCGCGACTTGGGCTCAGCTTTTTGATCTTTGCGATGAGCTGGTGAGTCTTGCTGTGCGGGGCCAACACAGCTTCCAGATCTTTGGCTCGCGTGGGACACTGAACGTCATGTCTGCCTAGCGGCAGCGGCAGCAGCACCGCTAATCGACTGCTCGCTTGAGCATTCAGACAGGTGGTGAGCGAGCTCACAGAGAGCGCTTTTGCGATGGGTCAAGATTGCGCGCGATTTGCATGATGCGGACGTTGTACGACTCGCTGCGAAAACCTTATCGCAAGTTGCGGCTGGCAAATTGAATGCCGCCGAGAGCTTGCTGGAGTCAGGGTTGTGGATGAGGAGCAGTGTGAGGGTCTGGATAAGGCACACACACAGTCAAGACTCGATCGTGACTCCAAAACTCGCGTCTCGTGTCTCGAGATCGTCTCGTGACTTTTCCTTTCCGCGGTGGCGCAGACGAGCCAGTCCGCGCATACTCAATCAGTGACTGACCCCGCGTATACACTCGATCGCGCTGTGTGTGCCGATATACGCATGATGCTGTGCAGCAAGTCGTGAGTGTATAGCTATGCTGCAATGCCGCGCCGCCCTGCGACCGCGAGTGCACGGACTTCGACCGATCCCGCGCACAGGCGAAGCCCAAAAATTCCCCCGCAAATCTCGTGTTTTGATGCGCTCGGTGATCTACCTCGACATCTCGCTGTGCTGCGATGTGGCAGACGCAGTCAGACGAGTCACGAGCGGACACAGTCAGGAGGAGTGACGCAGTGACAATGTGGATACATCGGCACATCTCACAATGCTTGCTTCGCAACCAGCAACTACGACCATACCCAAGCCTATCGCTCAGTCGATTACAGCTTGATACGACATTGATACACAGCTACAGCCCTGCCTCTGCACTGACACGGCACACGCACACGCTCACGCTCACGCCCACGCCAGCTCATCTCGTATCATGACGTCCATCGATCCCTTCGCGCCCGTCGAGCTGCAACATCCCGGAGCAGGTCTCTCCCTGCACATTCTGCCTTACGGTCTCATTCCGCATCGGTTGCTGCTCAATGTTCGTCAGGATGGACCTCTGCATCCCTCCAGCGGCATCGAAGGAGGAGGTTCAGCAACGCACGATCTCTTGACTGGTCCTGAGGAGCCAAACCATCACCAGACTTATGGGCGATCCTTCTTCGGACCCGTCATTGGCCGATACGCCAATCGATTGCCAGCTGGAAAACAGAAATATGGCCACGGTCAAGAGATGCTCGTTCCAGTCTGGGGTGAGTAGGAGGGCCTCTCAGTCTCGATCAGCGGATGGACCGGACGCACCTAGGTGTACGTGTGGCTGCTTGCTGACTCTGCATTTGGGCGCCAACACAGGTGGCGAAAACCTTTGTCTTCACGGGGGCCCGGCGTCTGGACCTAACGGAGGCCCGCCCGTCAGTCTGCCTTTGATCTCTCAGGATGACGTGCCGCTACAGGAAGGGCCGTTGGACACTATAGTGTGGACCCCTCTTTCGAACGTGTCGAAAGCGGAGCTGTTCAAAGATCAAGACTTGTCAGATCCGGTGAATGGCAGCAAGGCACCTCAAGGTTCGGCGCGGGTCTTCGCTATCAACCATCGACCATCGAGCGACGGGAGTGGTCCTCCAGTGACTTTAAGAATCGAAGCTCTCATCGCTGTGCAAGGTCCCAGTGACCCAGCTGTGAGCAGCGAGGATGTGCCACCTCTTGGATTATCGGCAGGTAAGGTGCGCATCGAGTACAGAGCCGAGCAGAGGCGATCAGGGAAGGAGGAAGCAGTCCCAACGCCGCTCAACCTCACTCATCACTGGGCATTCAACCTCAGCGCATCGGATCCTTCAGCTCGGCAAACAGAAAAGGGCACCATAGAGCAGCACGAACTGCGCATGCTGGTGCGTGGCAAGGAGGAAGAACGAACGCTGGAGCTGGACAGTCGATCGGTTCCGCTGGGCCAGCTCAAAGCTGCTGATGGAGAGTATGATTTCCACGCTACGGGCAAAGAAGGCTTTGGTCGATTGATAGGCGAAAAGGCTCCACCGGGAGGCCATGATCATTGGCATGGATGGGGTCCCACATTACCCAAAGGAGAAGCACGAACCGTGCTCCGCTCTCCATTGACCAAGATCGGGGTGCTGTTCAGCACCGACCAGTCCGGTGTGCAGCTGTATTGCGCAACGGGCCAACCCGCTTATCCCGCCACATCGAGTAAAGGAGGACCAAAGAAGCGTCTTCACAGATCCGAGAAGGATACGGATGAGGGAAAACTCGGTAATCACCTGCACTCCGCTTGCTTCTTGGAATTTGCTCACCCGCACGCCACTGCGCTCTTCGAGCCTCTGCAAAAGTGGGCTGGCACCGACACACTGCTTAGAGAAGGTCGAACTTACCGCGCTTTTGTCCAAGCTGAAGTCTATGAGCCATAGATGAGCATCCACATCCACCTTTCAAGGCCCAAGGGGTGTCGTAGAGGAGCGCATGTGGCAAGTGAATGATATGAGCACACTCCATCGCCTTACTCCGTCCCCACATGTCAGCGCACAGGGAGTAAACTCGAGGCTTTGTAGTGATCGCGATTGCTTGATGACTTGCTAGAGTGAACGCAAACCGATGTCCAATGTCCTTCGTAATCACACACACCACGCCACGCCCCCAAACGTGCTCTAGGAAGCGTCGCGGCAAAGATTTTTGCGCGCGCGCACGGCGGAGACTGGTGAAGCAATGTCCCCTCTTTCTAGCTTTTCCCTTTTCGGTGGCCCTGTCTTGGAAATACCATGCACCTTCAGCTTCTGCCTTGCCTCCCTCTTCCCTCTAGTCTTCTCTCGGATGCAGCATCCTCCGCCTCGAGCGGCTCAAACATGCACCCCCACAGTATTGAAGAGCGCCACTGTACCGAATCCCGTGCAAAGGCTGGCTAGGAGCGCAACGATTATCTCCTTTGCTGAGATGATCGAAGTTTTTGGAAGACTTGATCGTCGTGATCGCCGAACGGAGTGGCGTATGATCGTTCGAGGATGGAAGGATGCAAAGCGAAATGGGAAGTGCTCGGTGTCAGCATGCAATTAGGCTGCCTGCCCGAAGTTTCCTTCATCAAAGTGCTTGCAGGCGCCACACAGAATGTCATGCCCTTCTGACGACTGCGCAACCCTTCACCAATTCGCCTCGAGCATCACCATGTCAGCCGAAAGTCCTACATCCGGTGGGCCTGCAGCTTTCTGGAGTCCCGCATTGTGCGCAGAGACTGCCTCACCTACTCACGTTGTGAAGTAGAAGCCGAGCAAGAAGGCGAGCGAAAGGAGCAGCGTAGCGAGGTACGGCAATAGGGAGACCGGAATATCGGGCGTAAATGCCTGGGCGGAGATGTGGGCCGACTGCAAGGACGATGGGGGAAGGAGGCAGCAGCAGCATGGGAGCGCGTCAAAATTGCTGCTCAGAGCGAGACCCAGCCAACAATCGTAGATCTGGAAGACGCTGAAACCTGCTTTCCACTCACCTCGGCCACGCTGAACGCTACTTGTTGCACCATCTTGAGCGCACACTCTGCTCTGCAGCCTCAGCTCCCTTCCAATCCAGCCGATCAAAGTTGTGCGGTCTCTGCCTAGTCTGCTGCTTGAGATCCTGTCCGCTTGTAACGGGCCTGTTGGAGTGCGGTGATGAGGGAGCTGAAGCAGGAGTTGCACGGGTTTTGGAGTTTGAGTCCAAGTCACGAGTGCATGCTGCGTCGAGGTTGAGCAGCTGCGTGCATTCACGTGATTGCGTAGCTGCGATCCTCCGCCGCGAGGGGCAGTCGTGAGTCTGAGTCCGTGCAACTCGATCACGAATCGAATGGCTGCTGGAAAGCTTTGCACGCAACGCACACCCGCTGGCTGTGTAGGCCGGTCCATCACGAATAGAAGAGATGCATGCATGCACCGCCCACTCACATACTCACGAATACATGATCGCTTCCAAGGGTTGGCGTGTGCCACACGCGCTCTACTTGCACAGCAGCGATCACACGGATCCCACTCACAAGCACACGCTCGATCACTGTAGTGGTCCAGACGCACCCTTGCTAGCCTTCATCCACTTTTGCATCTCGTTTCATCCACTCGGCCCTGCGCTGCGGCCCCATCGGTCGCCGTCGTTCGACAAGAAGAACCAGTCGGACCGCGCATCGCGTCATGTCGGTCCCCGCACCAGAGACGGACTCCAAGCTGCTCGAGGGTCAGGTAGCCGGACACGGAGGAGTGCAGCTCTCTCCAGATGGCAGCACGGTCATCAAGCCCAGCGTCGCATCCGAGCTGCACTTCTACACGCAACTCCAGGCCGCATCGCAAGGCACCGGCGCCTATTCGTCCGCATCGCAACTGCGAGACGACCTCGCGCGCTTGAGCGCATGGACACCCGCTTTTCGTGGCGAGGTGCTCGACGAATCGCGCGATTCGACGCAACAAGAAGCGACAAAGCAAAAAGCGCTGATTCAGCTGGAAAATCTGACGCACGGATTTGCCAAACCTTGCGTGCTGGATGTAAAGTTGGGCACTCAGTTGTGGGACGAGTCGGATGCGAGCGAGGAAAAGAGGGCTCGCATGAACAAGACTGCTCTGGAGACGACGAGCGCAGAGACTGGCATTCGATTTACAGGCTGTAGGGTGAGTTGCTGCCGATGCTTCTGGGGGTCCATGCCCTGCTCTCACTCGTCGGCGCGGAGCTAAACACTTGTCCGCGCACCGCAACTTCGCCCTCAGATATGGGACTCGTCCGCTTCCGCCTGGTTCGAGCTTCCCAAAGCCTTTGGCAAGTCCATCGACGCATCCCTCCTTCCCCTCGGCTTCTCCTCCTACTTTTCCGACCCGCTAGACTCGGACGAAGCTCGTCTGTCTCAAGTCGCTTCGCGGGCCGGCTTCAAGCTGCCCGAAGGAGGTCATCTACCTCGACTCCCTCCCAAAATCGTCGCCTATCTGCTCCAACACAGTCTGGCCGCTTTGAACGAGTTTCGGGCGCTTTTTGCGAATATCGAGCTGAGGATGAGGGGAGGTAGCCTGCTATTCATATATGAAGGGCATCTGCCAAGCTTGGAGACCGCAATCGAAGCGCACGACACGGGCTCAAAGGTGCTCTCCGTGAAGCTGATCGACTTTGCGCACACTAGATTGACTCCAGGCGAAGGTCCTGACCTTGGCGTTCTCAGGGGCGTGGACACGACCATAGCCATTATCGATCGCCTTCTCAAGGATGTCAAAGCGGGCAGGGCAACTCAAGATCACGCATGACATTGCGCCGAGTCACGAGTGTGCCACCAGTGGAAGCTCGAACAGGCTGCATCATGCTGCGACGCTTCGGCGCGCAGCACATGGGATGGGATCAAATGTATGGCTTGGAAGGCAGACTTCATCGGAGGTCGCGGAAATGCAGTGTATACATACTTGTTGTTGTGGAATACGAATTCGAAATATTCGCGTCTATGTCGTGTGGTAAATGCTGCACAATTCTCGCAGTTGCACGAAGGTTGGCGTAGACGGACTATGACTGCGCAGCGCCATCCTCACCGAAGCGAGGATGTTGTCAGTGGCTTGGAGGAAACGAGAGTAGAGGAAGGAGATCCCCTAGACACTGCAACTCTTTGTCTAGCTCCGGCGCCTGTCTGTGGGGAAGGGGCGCTGCTGCTGAGGTTCGTGCTCGCGCTGCGATCAGCAGACATCGGGCTTGCTCTTCCGCTCGAACCATTGCTGGTCGAAGAAGGCTTGCGCGTCAAAGCCGCCGTAGAATTCTTGCCCTGTGCCATCAAGGCGTCGTGCAAGGTTGGTCGCTGTTTTGCCTCGCTGCTGGCAGTCGCACGGCCAAGGCTCTGGACTCCATTTCCAAGCTCCTCACGTCGCACCCCATTTGCCAGAGCTCGAGAAGTTGCTCCAGAAAAGCTTCGCGGCCTTTCTCTCTCTGTGTCGGTAGGCGTCGCCACTCTTTCAGGCGCTTGCGAAGGCTTGCCAGGTGCTGCAAATGGCACCACGAATCGTTGGGGAGCCTTGCTGGAGCTCGCGCTCGAAGCTGCGTGAGACTGCTCACCAGACGAGGCAAGTCCTCTAGATTGAGTGCTCGGCAAAGCCGCGCCTACCACCTTGACCCTAGAGCTTGTTCCAGCGGACACGCTGCGCGCGGGCAGCGGACTGAGTTCGGGACCTGTGAAGCCCAAGTCACGCAATGTCACTGCTGTCTCTGTGTGACGCTGCTGCTCCGACGTGCTGCGTCCCGATGCCAGTGTGGATGGCCGTCGAGGTGGACTTTGGGCTCTCACGCCTCGAACCTCTGCCCCTGGACTGTTGCGCGTTGGCTCAGTATTTGAGCGAATTCGCATCGCGGGTCGAGTCTCGCTCATATCACTTCGCAATGAGGATTCTCCCGTCTTGCTCGAGGCTCCTCCATCCTCCTGCTCGACGAGACCCCTTTTAGACGAGGCCGAGTTCTTTTTTGTGGTTCTTTTCGAATGGCCTTCTTCGTCTTCGCGCTCATCGGCGATGACGGCAGCCAGCGTAGCCTCAGCAGCCTTGCGTGCTGCACGAGGCGCGTTCGATTGTCTTCGCCAGGGTCCAGAAGCAAGGTCAGGCGTGGGCATCCTTGGGGGCGTGTCTGTCTCAGCGGCTCTCATGAGTTCTGCCAGTGAGTCATCCGCTCTACTACTGGTAGTGTCTCCTGGCTCCCCTCCAGGCCCTGAGCTTCCACGAGGCGTTCGATCCCGATCGTCTTCGACATCACTAAGATCGTCTGACTCGTCGGCAGCACGCTCAGCAGTGCGCCCTGGTCTGCTCGACTTCGCCGAGTCGACCTTCGCCTCAGCAGAGCTTTGGTGCAGCTTGCGTATGTCTTTCAAGTTACCTGAGCTCGCTGCTTGCTTAGGCCCAGGCGGTCGCCGCGCTGGTGCGGACGCTGCGACTTGGATCTGACCATTCTCGCCAGCAGCGCTCTCTTCAGACGACTCGCGACTCCTCGACGGTGGCTTGCCAGGGCTCGGCAGGGCGAGAGACTCTGAAGAGGTCGCAGGAACGAGATCCGTGGGGTCTGGTTTTCGCATCTTTGTGTTCAGTTTGGGCAACGCGTAGTTAACGCTTGTGCGGCTCCTCGAGCTCGTTCGGCGGCCTCGCAAGCTTGCGTCCTCTTCCGTTGCAATCGAAGGGGCGCTCATCGACGTGGACATCCCTTCCACAGACCCGCCGCTCAATCGGCTTTTCTCCGGGGAGTTGGGCGTCTTTCTTTTGCGGGCGACTGGTGTTGGCACTGTTCCAAGACATCAAAGTCAGACGGCGAAGGGTCAGGAGGAAGAAATCATTGGACTCACCCTCTTCCACCTTTGCCGCGTCTGCAAGCGATTTCTTTGGCAGTATTTCTCCCTTGCCGGCTGCAATTTGAGGGGCTAATAGCTGTGCTTCTGGCTCATCCTCAGAAATGATGATCTCATCATCGTTGAAGGAACTCAGACTATCGATGCTTTGCCTTCTCTCGTGCGTCTCGCCGGCAGCCACTAGGGACGTGGGAGCGGCGTCATGCAGGCTGACCGGATCCCGGAAGACGTCGTGTTCGGGCTGATTCGGGACATTGTGGAGCCCACTGCGTCTCGCCGTCCGTGCTGAAGGCGCCTTCGAAAGTGTTGGTGGATCTAGGCTCCTGAGGCCAAAGTCCTTGTGTTGATGGTCAGCAACTGCGTCCTCGTTCCCATCAGCGCCGTCGCATTGCCTTTGAGCAACAACGTGGCTCAGACTAGACATCGGAGCCAACTCAAACGCTGGACTGGTAAGCGGACTTGGTGCACCGCTCAAATCCAGCTCACTCGACTTGATGGGTGGAGGAAGATTGACTCTGCGAGCCCCAGACGTTCCAGTGCGCGTAGAGCTGGTCGAGCCCGGTGTCCGTCCCAACACCCTTCTCGATCCAGATCGAGATCTCTCGATCGCACGTGGCGGTTCGGCATACACCGAAGATTGCGCAGCGCGCTTCGCAGACTCAGCTGCGCGCGGCGCACCCGAACCGTCAGAGAATGCCATCTCCGTCTCTGCTGACGTGTTGCGCTGGTTGTCAACAGCTGTGGCTGCCTGTTGATGCGTGATCTCGCGACTTTCCTCATCCGAGATGTCACGCACGTCTGGAGTTCCACTTGCCGAGTCGGCATACTCGTCCTCGTTCTCTTCCAGCACATTTGCGATCTGACATTCGGGCGCCTTTGCAATGTGACGCACAACTCCCGCCGGAAGTGCTGTGGGGTCTATGATTATGCGAGCAGCAGGGCCCAAGTGTGGCTCGAAATGGTCGGCGCGCTCAGAGCTTTGCCAACGCCCTTCATTTCGAGCAGAAGAGGAGGAGCCATGACTGCTTCGTCTTCGAGGTGAGTGACCCGTTAAAGCCGAGATGCCGTACCCCATCCCCTCCCAGCCTCGTTGTATGCTGCGCATGTAGTGCTCGTACCTTGCCAGAGCGATCTCAAGCCTGTTGACGACATGACTATGCTCTGCTCGTTCAGCTTCCATCTGCCTCACTTTCGACTCCAACTCGCGAATACGGATCTGAGCGAGCGCATTGGTCTTGATGATGTCTCGATTTTGAGCGATGTGCTTTCGTTTGACTGCGTTGGACGGATGATTTGCTCAGTGAACCTGAGTCCTCGAGTTCCATGCGCGCATGCAGCACCATCACCGAGCGCAAGGCGCGCCGACATGGGCCAGCGTGCGCCAGGCCCGGCCTCTTGTTGTACTCACACTGATCGAAATGCTCGAGGATGTGTTCGATGTTTGGTGTTGACTGATTGCCAAAGGCACCACTCAGTCGCGTCGAGGGCGGCATGGCGCTGCCATGGATGTGATTGCTCCCTTTCACCACTGATACTCGCTCGACAGCTCGAGTAGAATAATGGCGCCGCAGCGAGTCTGACGTAGCTAGTCTGCGTGACTGATGCGATAGAAGGACGGGTGGATGGATGGACGGATGGGTGACGGACGCTCGCTGGAGCCTCTATCGTATTCACACTCATGATCTCTCGACGTCGTCCGCTGCACCACTGCACCGCTCACATGCGGGAAGCAGAGAAGAACAGCCAACACGCGCTCGCTCGCGTGAACGCGTGCCGCTAGCTCAACATCACGTGACGAGCCGGTGACGCTTCTTGAGCTCGATTTTGAGACATAATTCACGACTGGGGTGACGCTCCACACCACCTGTCGTCACTACCACGCGGTCAGAGTAGCTCAGCTGCATGGTCACTCCACCCCAAGGCACTCAGCTAATTGCCTTCTTCATCCTATAGTCCTTGGGATGAGGAGCGGCCCACGAGGCAACGCGCCACACGCGAAGGTTTTCGGCGCGACCAATTCGTCAAGAGCTCGATCGGAACGTGAACGGAATCTATTGGTATTGCTGTACGGGAAAACGGTTGCGAAGGTGATCAAAGAATAAAAGTTGGTGGTGCGCAAATTGGGAGAGGGGGGGGGGGGGGGGGGGGGGGGGGGGGGGGGGGGGGGGGGGGGGCGCAAAAGGCAGTAGAGAACAAAGACCTCGTGTTGAAGGACGTATTTATACTCTCACGACTGTCTCTACGACCCATCTATTTCTTGGACTTGCGCACGCTACGCCAAGCTCTGGCAGCAACGCTCTTAGAGGCGGCGACACCGATTCCATAGCCCTTGACATTCATCCACCAATATCCGAAGAAGACAGCAAAGAGATTGAAGAAGGTGAAGCCGAGCAAGATGCCCCAGGCTTGCCAGCGGAAGCTGTAGTCGGCGTTGAGGGTCATTGCGAATTGAGAGCCTTCCCGGTATTGACAGAAGCCGCATTCGGCGGTGGCTTCAGGGTTGCTGAGATAGCCACCAGCAGTCTGAGCCCAAGCGCCAGCGTATGCGGAGCAATCCTGACCGGGAGGAGGATTGAAGATGGCGAGATCTTCCCTTTCACAGACGACCTGCAAGGGATGCATGATCGTGGAAACCTGTGCCTGCACGTAGTACGAGATAGGGTTGACGTAGTAGACAAAAGACCTGAACGGCTGAGGCATGCTGGCCCTGGGAACGATGACACCGTTGCAGATGGCAAGGATGGGCAGCAAGAATGGCACAAGCTCGGCTGCAATGACGGGCGAGGGGCAAGAGCCGACCAAGATAAGGGCGAAGAGGATGAAGAAGTAGACGACGGTGAGAGTGTTGAGGAAGAAGAAACCCGCGACATAGGTCGGCTGTTTGCCGTACGGCAAGAAGAATCCAGGTACAAAGTAGATTACTGCACAAACCAATGCCACTGGAGTCAGAGCAATGAGGAAGGCCGCGATAAGAGAGTACCAAGCGTAAATCTTGGATGGCGACTCGCGGGCTTCGAACAAAACGCGGAGCTCAAAGAACTTGCTGATGATGGCGTTGACGACAGCAGGAACGTTGAGCAAAATGAGAAAGACGACGAAGATCCTGTTCTGCAGATCCACCGGAGAAGTGTTGAGGCCGTAGAAGATGCCACCGCTCAGGAGGCCGACGAGTAAGTGTGAGAAGAGTAGACCATAAGTGAATGCAGAGTCACGCCAGGTGTCGCGCAATTGACGGTGCACCAGAACACGGATCTGTTCATAGGTGTGCGCGCTGTATTCCCGCAAGTCGCGCGAAGCCACCTTGTTGGGTCGCTGAGAGCGTTCGCCAATGATGTTGTCGATTTCCGTGCGTACTGCTTTGCTGTCGTCAGACTCGCGCCATTTCTTGCCCCAATCGACTCCACGGCCAAGAGAGCCTCCAACGACTTCAAGAATGTATTCGGCGACATTTTGAGCCGGATGACACTCAGGAGCGCCCTGAGACTCGAAGTAGCGACGGATGCGCTCGCTGCCTTTGCCAGCTACATTACCAGCCTGACCGAAGAACGTCACTTCACCGCCTGGCTTGAGCAACAGGACGTTGTCGAAAGATTCGAAGAGTAACGCTGATGGCTGATGGATGGTGCAGAGAATAGCTTGACCTTCGCTTGCAAGTCTACGCAGCAGTCGAACGATCGCGGCAGCGCCCGCAGAGTCAAGACCACTAGTGGGTTCATCCAGGAAGAGGAGTAGATCGGGCTTTGCAGCCAATTCTACACCGATAGTGACACGTTTACGCTTCTCAATCGAAAGACCCGCGCCGGGCATGCCGATCAGTGCATCGGCCAAGCTTTCCAGCTCGAGGGTCTCGATCACCTCTTGAGCATGAGCAAGCTTATCGGCTCGGGGGATCTCTGCTGGCTGACGAAGGAGGGCGCTGAATTCGATTGCTTCGCGAACCGTCTGAGTTGCAAGATGCATGTCGGCCTGCAGTACGAGACCAGTACCCTTGGAGAAGGCCTTGTCAATCGGTTTTCCATCAACCAGCATTTCTCCAGTCAGGTGTCCAGCAGCACCGCGTTGAGAGAGAGCCGTCATCAAAGTGGTCTTGCCTGCACCTGATTGACCAAGCAGGGCAGTCATCTGTCCTGGACGCACCCAACCATCAACTTCGTGAAGCAGCTTTCGCCCGTTTCCGAGCGTCAAGTTGATGTCCTTCCAGGTGAAGATGGCCTTGTCATTCCATTTGTCGAGCGCCTTCTTTTGGACGTTTGCATCTCCAGTTGTCTGCTCGGGCGAATTCGCGCGCGTCTCGTCGGATGCTTCGCCGCTGTTACTGCGCGAAGGCTTGACCGGGGCCGCTTCTGGGTCGTCCTTGCGGGCTGGCTCGGTAGTGGCGCCTGCCAAACGGCGCTTCGCTTCCTTGGTTCGCGCCCAGATGGTAACACCTCCTCCGCCCGCAGTCCAGTCGAGCTTTTCGACGGCCACGAGGGTAATGATGAGGTACAGAATAGTGAATGCCAGAACGACAGCCCAATTGTAGCCGCGAGTGCGGGACTGGTATCTGAACGTAGTGGAGAGATAGTCCTCCGAGGGGGTGTCCAGACTACCAGGGGACGCACCAGTGATAGCGCATGTCTGATAGGTGACGTCACGAGGCTCGTTGAAGGGTACGATTTGGCTAGGATTGCATGGAATAGGGCCAACAAGCTCGTTCACTAGCAAGGCCTCGAATGCGTAGGGAATACCGCTGATGTAGTTGAGGAAAATCGTCCAGTTCATCTGTGGTCGGCGAATGACGTATCCGATGGTCATGATGATGACGTTGAGTGCCATGACGCTAAAGCGGATAGCCTCGTTAAAGCCTGGGACGAGGGAAGCTATGGCGCGATACAGAGCAGTGAGATTGTAGGCGCAGAGAAAGACGACGAGGAAGAAGTAGAAGAACGCTCCGGCGTCCGCCCTGAGATTGGCAATCCAGTAGAGGATTATGGTCGTGAGCAAGCATTGGACCGCAAGGAAAGGAATGTCGATGATCGCTCGAGCAAGAGACACTGCCGCGGGCCGGTGGAATGCAAAGGTCCTGTGACGCGCCAGCATGGGTCTGCCGGCAACTGCAGAAAAGGCGACCTCGAGTTGCAACCAACCGTTGAGCAGAGTGGCGAAAAGGAGCACACCACCGCGCGTGAAGACGCCAGTAGAGTCACGGCTTTGGCCAAAGAAGAGAGCGCCGATGACAAGATTGATGGTGACGATGGTGAATAGCTTCAGATACATGTCTTCACGGGTAGACCACTGGATAAGAAGCTGGCGCCACATGCACGCCTTCGTTTGCTGCCAGAAGCTGACGGTGTAAGGACTGCTGGGTTTGACACCGGTGTTCTTCTCGTTCGCAGTGACTGTGCCGAGTTGCTGAGCGTGATCTGCATCCGCTGTCGCGCTTTCATACTCTTGCGTCTCATTGAGGAGAGCCTTGTAAAGATCGCTTTGTAGCCATGCGCGCTCACGGTCTTCGGCGGTGCGAGGGGCACGAGTCTCGAAGCCTTCCTTGAACTGCACTTGATCCGGGTCTACGAGCGCAGTGCAGAAGTCTGAAGTGGTTTGACGTTCGGGAGTGTAGTATCCGAGGCCCTCGAAATATGATCTGGTCTGGTTTCTGGGACCATAGTAGATCACTCGACCTTCATCGACGACGGCTACGCGGTCAAAGAGATCAAAGATGCTCTCCGAGACTTGGTAGAGGGTAGCGATGGTCGTTCGCTCAGCGAGATCTGTGATGATGCGCAGACTGCGAGCGTACTCGAGCGCGGTCGAAGCGTCCAGACCCCGGGTAGCGTTGTCAAAGGCTATCACGGAAGCGCGGGTGATCAAAGCCTCGCTGAGGGTGACGCGTTTTCTTTCACCACCCGAGACTCCGCGGACGGCAGCATCGCCGACGATTGTGTCTCGAACGTGGGACATATTGAACATCTTGAGCAGCAACGTGACAATCGTCTCGATGAAGTCGTCGCGCGATTCGCCTTCCAATCGAGCTTTTTTGGTTGGTACTTTGTTGCGCAGCGCAAACTTTAGCGTCTGCCCAACGGTGATCGTGGAGAAGTGGATGTCGTCCTGCAGAAAGCCGTGTCGAGTGAAGTTCACGAGGTCAGGCGCTCTCGCTCTCGTGTCGTATCGCAGTCATTGCCTCGACTCACCTCTCCAGAGAAGACGACCTCACCACGGTACCTCTTGTTGATCTCGGCGGGAGAAAGGCCAGAGTAAGATATACTTCCTCCTTGAGACACGTTCGCATCGCTCGATGAAGTGAGGGCCTTGAGGAATGTGGTGCACCCACTGCCAGGACGGCCAATGACCAGGACCATCTCGCCAGATCGCAGGACGCCGGATGTAGGGTGAAGCAGTGGCGACTGCTGCAAGCCGCTCGCTTTGCTCAGCAACTTCCCAAATCCAGGAACGAGCTTCGCCAAAATGCCGAGGGGATCATTCGTCGCAGTGTTGATGATGGATTGTGGGACAGTCTTGACGAAGATCCCACCACCACCGGCACCAGGCGCGCTGATGGACACGTCACGCCATGAGAGGCCGAGAGGCTTCTTGCTGTTGACGCCTTGCCGTTGCTGTTGAGCAAATCGACTTTGTATCCAAGCGCCCAAATCAAAGTCTTCATCCGAGGTGGCCAAGTGCGCCTTGGCGTCCGCCTTTTCATCGTCAGTCCCTGATCCCTCTTCGATCGCCTTCTCGGCATTTTTGGCTCGACGACTGGACCCAGATATTATTTGGGCGATCGTCCCACCGCCAGCAAAGGATGGGTCGCGCGATGTAGTGCTTCGCTGACGACTGGCTAGACGAGCCAGCTCAAAGTCTTCGCGGGCGCGAGCTGGATCGACGGGTTTGCCGCGCTGGCTCTCGCCCCAGGTACCCGCGGAGCTCATGGGCGCAGCGTCTGCACCTCCCTGGAAATTGGGAATGGCAGCAGGAGCTGCCTTGGGTGCTTCGGCTGCAGGTTGCACCTCTCCTGTGACTTGCTCGGCAGCAACATTGGACTGCTGGGCGATGGGCGCGTTGTGCGACATGTTGATCGCCGAGAGAGGAAGAAGTGATTCGCCTTCGACCTAGCGTAATCGAGCAGAGCGAGCCTGCGCTTGAGTGAAGGCCAGTCGTCGTTCGCGATGTCTCGCGCTGACCTTGCTGTGATAGACAAGGGGCCTTGGATGGAGAGGAAAGGAAATTGCCCACGCAGATGCGTGTTGGAGCTCGTGAGCAGAGCGTTGGAGGGCAGCCTAAAGGTGGGGTGCTGCCTTTGAGCTCGGTGCATGTATATATATTTTGTGTGTGTATATCTACAAACACACGTGGACGCCTGCGGAACTGGCATCCGCGTTGGAGCGCCAAGCCAAGGGTTCCGCCTAATCTGAATTCCTCCCCTCACACTGCTTGCTTGCTGATATTGACAGTCAGCAATCTGCCTGATGCAAATCGCAAGCCTTCCAATGTTTTGGCATCGCTTATTGCAGACAATCTGTGCTTATTCTTCGCTTCGTGATTTGTCGAGCTGCCGCGCGCACATCGTGATTTGTCTTCTCATCATCCCCGCCGCCTGCATAGGTGTCATCACCCGCCTCGGACTTGCTTTCGCCGTCTCGGCGCGAGCAGATTTTCTTGAAAAACGGCATGTAGACTGCTTAGGCGCCTCCCGGATGTAAGAATTAACTCCGCCCCGTAAGATCTGCCGTACAATTTGGATGGTGCATGCGCATGCATGCAGCGCTAGCTGCTGCTGATGATGATGATGCTGCATGCAGGGGCCATTCTATTTCGTGCTCGATTCACGCGATTCGCTGCTGCTGTCGAATGACTCGTATTCTGCACGAGCACCCGCCGTCGCGCAAGTGTTCCATGAAACCACGGTGACCTACTCATATGGGACCCGATGCCTGCTGTGAATCTGAATAGCGGCTGTACGTATGCATGCATATATGCAGCATAACATGCGCAATGACTCACTCCGGTCCCCGGCCGAGTCACGCGCGCGTGACTCTGCAACTGCCTGAGCGACTCCTGCTCCCATCGAGTCAGGCAGGCGCGGGTCGACTATAGCTGCAGTCACAGTCAGGGCCCACCTTGCAGAATTTGAAAGTCAGCTTGTTGGCCCTATCCAGATTACAGTCTGTGGAGTCAGAAGTCAGGGGAGGCCATCTCAACGCCTGCCTTTTGTCGACCTCCACTTTGCATTGCTCGTTGAGGACGCGAGCCGCAGTCCCAAAATCACAGTCTGAATGCGGATGCGGAACATGTAGGGTAAAAGTGGAGCCAACGACGTAGGTGGCATTCTTGATTCGATTGATGAGGCTTGAGCATGAAAGCACGAATCGTGAATGAGACATGAAGCGGCTATCGTGATCATCGTGAACAAACCCTCGATTTGTGGTTGTCATCCATACATGGGCGGAACCGACACCCTGGATACTCTCTTTGCGACATCCTGCTACGCCTGCACCTCGTATCCTTATTGTGACAAGCCATCGAACGTCTCATGGGTATCATCGCAGCCGAGTTGCGAGTGAAGAACGGATCATACTTACCGAGTCAGGCGCGCAGCAGCTCTTCCGAAGGCATGAAATTGACCGCCAAATACTGACGCTCACTGACGAGGGACTCTCTGCGACGAGGCAAACGATCCGGCGGCCCATGGCCTGCCCAAGAGACACCGAGGGGTTCCCCAAGTGCTCGAATGTCGGTCGGGCGCGCGTTCGCTTCGACGTGTTCGCTGTAGCATGCTCAGGCCTCTGTGTTTGCAACGCGAGCACGGTGGAGCAAGGCGCCTCATGTGTGGTTTTACCAGGCTTGTGCTCCACGAGCTCATGTCAGCTGACAAGCCGACATCCCTTGGCCGTTCTGGATTGGAGCGCGTATCGAGTACGCGGCACAAGTGATGGCGAGTTCGGCGAGTGTCCGCCGACCTCATGCAAGGCAACCCGGACTGCTTGACTTTGATGCCAAGTACTCCAAAGAACGCTAGCTGCGACTGTGGCTGATCAAACCTCGACTGGACGCTGCTATCTCCGTGATAGCGATAGGCCCGAATGACCGAGACGGGGGTAGGTCGCGTCACGTCTGCCTGGTCAATCGCTTCGGTGGTCAGCACGGCACCAGAAACACGGCGTCGTCGATGAGCTTTCGCCGATATAAAGCATGCGCATGTCATCCTCACGCGCATGTCATCCTTCGCTACGACGCAATGGAGCTTCCCAGCTCAGTGCGAGGATAGATATATGATCTGGGACAGGCAGAGAGGTCCCTCATCCGCAAAACGTCGAAAGAGAGGCTGGCGCATCCCCCTCTCCACCCCCCACACTCTGTGACAGTAAGCTCAAGTCCCGCATGGCAAATGCGTCTCGAGAAGATCAGGTGCAGATGCTTCGAGGGCACGAGGCTTCTGTCACTGACGCACTCCGCTCTGCCACGCCAAGCGCACCTCGCCTCACCCAAGGCCGTTTAGTGTGGGTACGGAGCAGTGGATTCGTCATGGGGTTCCGAGGAGAGATGACGCGCTTTCCAAACAGCTCTTCGGACCCTCTTGCTCTTGCCACCTCAAATGAACACTCGATCTTATTCTCGGCACCTTGCGTGACTAGTATAGTGGAGGTTGCTGGCGCTGATGAGAGTGATGGTGTGTCTGGCGCTCTCGCCTTTGGTGAACAGATCTGGAGCAAGCTGGCTCACACTGTGCGTCTAACAGCAAACCCGGCAGCCGCATATGCCCTTGAGTGTCGACGCGATCACAGAGTCCCACCCACGGGCTCCTCATTGGTGATATGCGGGGCGCTTTGACGAAAATGTACGGAGTGCGGCGGAGTCCTTCATGAATCTGGTCCTGTACCCCCTGGAATCATCTGCGAACGAAACAGATCGACCGTCAGCTTTTGTCGGATTCCCAGCTCTTGCACCTTGCTTGTCAATCTTTGACGAACAAGCATACTCACCATGCAGATGTTGGCACCATTCAAGAGAGTCTGCTTCAACTTTGTCTTCTTTCTGCTCTCACCATGGCCCTCCCATTCGGTCACATCGTCCAACACCATGTCTGCGTGAGACGTGAGAAGGCAAGTCAGCACAGCGCAGGCCAATCTAGCACGATTGTGATGCTCCGAGCACAGGTCACGCCCTCTCGCTTCCTTTCTTCTAAGCCTTCTTTCCCGGTGCGTCCGAGAGCAAGCGCACTCGCAATGCATCGGAAATCGACTCTCGAAGCCGATCATCTCCATTGTATGCCCTGTAGCTCTTCAAACGAGGCGCATATAGCTTTTACTCACTGACGTAATCATCAAAGCCTCTCAAAGTCCCTACGAGCTCCCTGCCATTGCTCTTCATGATAATCCAGACGCTCGATCCGATGCACCTGTCCATCAGCTCAAGAGGCAAGATACTGCTTGGGGCCGCCGCAGCACCCGGTCCTGGTGGAGGAGGTACCATCTGCGAGCTGAATAGCGCACAGTAACGCTTGGGGGCGGGATGGGAGTGGACCAACTGGCAGCTACTTTGGAACGCCGAAGCAGTGAAAGTGTCAATAACCGTAGTAGATGGCTGGCAAGATCTATGAAGCCACACCCTGCTCATTGGGCTGCTTGCTTCTTTACCACGCTCTCGAGAAAGGTCGTAAGAGTTCACTTCATGTGTTGGTGTGAGACTGAGAAGAGCCGTGTGTATGGTGGATGTGCGGCGTGCTGAGAAGCTTGAATGGGTGGCATCAGCGCGCGCCATTCACGTGATTCGTGATTGCACGGCTCTCAGTGGTACGCACAAGCGAGGCACATCAAATTTCGCGCAGTATTCCTCGCGCGCGTGCACCTTTGCTTCTGTGCCGCGCTCGTGGAGGCTCGAGCTTCGGCAGCACGCACCTGTTGTGTCCAGCTTGACCATCATCATCAGCAGCGACTCGACGTTCGAGCAGAGCGCATCGCACAACACTTCACAATAAGCTCCTCGCAAAGCCTTCGAACGCAAAGTAAGGGAAGATGGTGTTTGGAATTGGAGGTTCTTCTGCCAAGCCAGCAGGACCTGCTGGCATGGGTGCAGGTGTCGGAAGCGCTCAGCTGGAGGCTGCCACTGCAGAGGTGAGTGTGCAAATCAGGTGCTGCTCTTCCACTTCCCTCAGCGTTTGAGGAATGTACTCATCTGATAATGAGTGCAATCTTGACCTCGTCTTGCTCAGCTCGACATGATCACAGATGTTTACAACCGACTGGTCAGCTCTTGCCACAAGAAGTGCATCTCTACGCACTACGGAGAGCCAGACTTGAACAAGGGAGAGAGCGTGTGCATAGATAGGTGAGGCTAGCGGATTTGCAGAGGAGGCACTGTTGTACCTACTTGAAGATGCCTGCTTTGAGCTTGGTCAACACGGCCGATGCTCACCGTTCACGCTGCAATTTTTGGACTCTCAGATGCGCAGTCAAGTTCTTTGCTGTGAACAAGGCGGTGGGCGAGCAGCTGCAAAAGGTCACGGGAGATGCACAAAGCGGTGGAGCTTCGGCAGGGTCATTGTAAGTCTTTGTCGAAGTCGTATATGCATCAGTCGCACGCGAGAGGGGCGCTGACATGGTTCGTTTGTTCACGCCATTCAGCTTCTGAGCTGAGGGAAGAGAATGCCACAGGTATGCATATGTATGCCAAGGGCTGCAGGAGTGATTATGCTTGGGAACAGGGAACAAGACATACGCTAGAAGAAAGAGGGGACGAGCTTCTAGCGGTCGCGATCTCGCAATGGCATGAACGCTAGCGGGCGCACTCCCCGAATAAATTTTGCCAAAGGTTGTGACAATCGCTGCGCGATCTGAACCTCGCCTTGCTCATTCAGAGCAAGAAGTATAAGCTGCTTAGCCATCAAAGGATGCCCTTCATGCCGAAAACTCTTCGCGCAAAGCGAGTCACAAGCTTGCATCCCGTCAGGCAATTCAGGTGTAGATCAAGATCAGGCCAGTGCTAAGCTTGCAAGTCAAGCAGCACCAGTGAGGCCATTCAGGCGGCACAAAGCAGCTAACCTCGCACGATTCGGATTCAATTCAGGCTGCTGCGCGGAAAATGAAAGGATATGACATGACTGTCCAGCATAGCATTTCCAAAACTACAAGACACCTGTGTGGCGAGAGAGAAAAAGGCAGTGCGTGAGCGGAAGTGACGGGTAGCTGTAGCGTGACGCATGCAGATGGGCACACTCACCCTTTGTCGAAGGGACGTCGTCCAGTCCTGTCCGAGAGACGGCCTCCTTGATGGCTAAGGCCAGAGCTTTGAAAGCGCTCTCGGATCTGTGATGGTCATTGTCGCCTCTTAGACAGTCTACGTGGAGCGTGACGCCAGCTGCCATGGCGAAGCTGTGAAAGACGTGAGGAATCATTTCGCAGCTCAAATCTCCAATCTTTTCCCTCTTGAGACCCAACTCGGCCACGCAGAATGGTCGAGAGGAGATGTCAATCACCGCGCGTGATAGCGCTTCGTCCAAAGGGGCGTGACCAGTGCCGTACCGCTTGATACCCTTCACTGGACCCAAGGCGGCTTTGAAGGCTTCGCCGAGAGCTAGTGCGCAATCCTCTGCGGTGTGGTGATCATCGATCCATAGATCTCCATCACAGACGATGCTTAGCGACATTCCGCCGTGCTTGGCCAGGGCATGGAGCATCTGGTAGTCCGTGTTCAGCACAGCAGGTCAAAGAAGGGGG